ATCGCTATCTGTCAAGACTCACACGACGACGGGGCGCCGTTGGGACACTGGCATGGGTGGCTGTTGGTTGTGGAGACATGCTCATCTCGCATGCGGAGAAGACCATCTGCTCTGCCGACCGATTGGTTCTTTCAAGGTGACCGCTGTTGCAGACCGTATCTTCGGCCCTGCAGCTTCTTCATCAGGTCAAGTGCTTGCCTTACAGGTTGACCCTCGTCGTTTCTTCATGGCTAACCGCAGGTCTTGTCAGCCAATGCCACCGGCTTGATCCATTGTCGCCAAGGGCAATGCAACACCCTGGATCCAGTCCAAACTCTGGGCATCATCATTGACTTTCTTCGTTTGCACAGATGCCTCGACTATTCACGACAAGCGAAAGGGATCAGTTTACTCAAGCATTGAATCTGAATGCAAAGTACCACCATTGACTAGTGTGGTATAAGCGGATTTCTCACGTACTTAGAAGACCCAAAGGACAACACAGCCGCATTGGCACTGTGCTAAGTTTTCTGACCGTCACAAGCATGCCGCCTTGTGGGTTACTTCGACCATTTTCCGATTTCGCCTTCTCTATCTATTACAACATCAACGGCTTTTCTCATGGGCAATTAAACTCCGCATCCAGACGCCAGCTTCCATCTTCCAATCACGCAACAACATCTACATCTATGCTTCAAGTGTTTCGGGAAAAGAAATGAGCTGGCCTCTGGGCTTTTGAGGAGACACCTGAGCAGAGACCAGCTGGAGTTTTACACCTGAATGGCCGACGGTATACTCCATGGCACCTGCGCCTCTAGGAACAGATGTCACCTTTCTTGGGGTCAACATGCAGGTCTTCTCATCTTGAAAACTCGTGACATATGCACGTGATGTTGAGTGGGAAGCTCTTATCCGACGAGAAGATCCTGCAGAATCCCGGTCAGGAGGACGTACTCTCATGCAGGTTCCAGGAGAGGTATATCGAGATCTTTCTTCTTTCTCAAACCCTCTCCTCTATTTCCTCTCATCCCCCTTAGTCAATGGCGGTGATGACTGGCACATGAAAGTCCGAGGTCACACCTTCCGGAGTGAGCAGACACTAGCTGCCCGGTTACTCGTATGATCTCAGAAACACCCCATTCCTCTCCATGCTCTGCCCACAAGCAGTCGGCTTCGATCAAAAGCTATCCTCGACTGGTAGGTGACCTTTCAGGCTGGTTCAAGACCTCCACTGACTGCTTCATCCAGGTTGTCCGCAGAAGGAGCGTTGCCGACCATCAACCACAGTTTCACCTGGTGAGTCTGGCCTTGTAGCGTGACATTGCAGACAGGAGTAAAAAGCAGCGCATCCTCTCCATCTCCTGTGATGAGGAATCCGACTAAAGAAGTCACGGATGCCGTCTTAAGGATCCGCAGCCGTCCAGGAAGATCGTGACGTTAAACTGTAACACCGGATCATACCGGTCCACCTTCTCGCAAGGCAGATTTGGATTGCTTGTTTTCTTTAAGTTCTTGCTTTACTTCATACGTATGTAAGATATATGTAGGAATTTCAATCTAATTTAGGAACTCACTGTGACGTGATGAAAAGGCTGGAGTTCAGAGAACGGCTTACACCCGACACGGTAGGCAACAGGACGTGGTACGCTTGAAGGTCGAATGGCCCATTGCTCAATGGCTCATTAGTTACAAAATATACGCCGTAGAAATTGCAGAAACCCACACACACTCAACACCCTTCTTTTCGTGCATACAGATTCAGTTCAGTAACAGTGATCTGTTTCATCCTCCGCCCCAATTCAAGTCCTCGCACTTAAAACCCCTACTACCAACACCGGTACCATCGCAGGGTGAAGTGACGTAATGGCAGCAAACACCGCTGCTCGTTCACACCGTGTAGCCTTTCACTGCCGCAGTACTCTACTCCTCTCGTCCTGATTCCCACCGTTCTGGCCGCTGATTCATGGAGCCCAGAGCCATCAGTACATGCGTCTGGAAACAAGCAGTCGGGTAGGTGTGTGTGTGTGTTGTAGGGGTTTACCAACTGCAGCACGCGTCTGACGTCCGTCCTGAACACTCGCCCAGACGCGAGTGACTTGTAGGCGACGATGAGGAGGATGCGAGGCGGTCCGGTATACGGCATGGTTTGATGCAAGAGGGAGAGGGAGAGAGAAATTGAGCTTAGCTTATTCTCTCTTTTTTTTTCCCTTCCTTCGTTCGTCTCAACCGCTCGTATGTTAAAAAAAAGTTGCATGTAGGAACGATGGGGAGCGCCGGGTGCAACATAGCACGAAGCTGGCGGAACAGCAGTCGAACAGCCCCTCATCGAGGCGGTGTCCAGGACTCTTCTGCCTGCTGCCTGTTTCTTCCTCTCCACCATCTCTCTCACATGCAAAGAGAGCTTCGGTTCTAGAAGCTTTTCTCCTATGGCATTCCCCATCCTCGCGCGATGGTGCAGTCGTAAGTTGTGGCAGTGCGAGTGGTCAGTCAGGTCACGCCGTAACCGCTTTTGGTCTTTTTCTCTCTTTCCGTCTCACGGGGAATCGGACGATGGTGCCGGCGATATTGACCCTGGCTCGCGCGTAGATTCAATTGAGAAGGTGAAGAACTCCCAATTGGTGCGACCACGACAGCAAGGATGCGTGTGCTGGTATGGAATACAGTGAAGCGAGCGTGGGCTATGACCCATGTCGTGATGTGAGGTGACCACCGTCGCGCCGAGACCGATGAAATGGGAAAGAAAAAAGGGAGGCGTGCGGCGCTCTGTCGATGTTGGTGTCGGTGCTCTCCATCTCTCTCTCACACTGCCGAAATGGCGGAGCGAGCGGGCTTCGGCAATGTGAACACATTTCCTGTTTTTGAGCTGAGTCGCGGCGTTGTGGGGTGATTTTGGTACCATGTTGGTGGAAATTGTGCGAGCCGGGTGAGTGCGCAGCCTTCGAACTTCTGTGCATTCAATGCTCGCGCTAGGTGCCGCATGCACGACGCGCGGCATCATGCCCTCGTGATGGAGTAGAGTGGAAGAAAGAATAGTCGACGGGTGTCGTGATACGCTCAGCCCCCGCCAAGTCGTTTAGCCTGATTAGGAAGTCCCCGGAAGTGGTTTAGCGTCGCGTATTCGCTTTATGTCTTGTAGCACTTGGTGTCAAGCACTTGGAGGCGAAACGTGTTGTAAACGATCTAGTCCTTCGGTGTCCCGAGTTGCGCATTCCTTACGTGGCATCTGCAGCAGTTGTTTGGATGCAATTGTACATTTCAACGCCCCTCTTGAGCGTGCAGTCGAAGGGAATGTTCGAGTAGATGTCGATACATATACATCAACTAGATGAAGCTTATACCTAGATGCCAATATAGATGCTGATCCTTTCCTACGTAAGCCTGGCCCTTCCTGCAATGCCGCCGTGAACTTCAAACACCACTCTTCCCCCGCCCATGCCCGAGGCCCGCAGACTCGACGATCCGACACATGCGTTTATACAGAGGCACACGAACAGACTCTGAAATAGCCTCTATCCATGTCATCTGTGAAATTATGCCCCGTAGTACAGCACCAAAACTAAATCTGCGGCCTACATCCACCGGCCTTGCCATATCAAAGGTCGTAGACCTATCCTAGCCACGGCAGGAACATCCGAACGTTGATGTTTGAAGCCCACATTCTTCTACTAAGTTCAAGTCCTAGGTCTACCAACCATTGTCAGAAAACCATACACACGGTAGTGAGCCGAAAGGATGCTCCGCGCAGAATTCCTAGAAGCGGAGCCATCGTCGCCACCCCTCCCAACTCCAAACCGCAAGCTCGAATGAAGGAGGTGGACAATCTGGCCGAATCCCTCCAAACCAAACGCACCCGACAATGCAACCGGGGTTAGTGGTACGGCAGCAGCCTCGAAAAAAGTCAGCAGAGGTTGCGTATCATAAACGAGGTTTAAGAAAAAAAATAAAAATTCGGGTCAGCCTCACTCGATGCTCCTCTCTCCAGGGATGATCGCTTTAAATTCGGGATGCGAAACGTCGGACGATCCCTGTTTTTGCTTGCAGCAATTGTCGCAGCCAGCCGAGGAGCCGCGACTTTTGCTTTTTATTTTGTTTTCCAACCCCTCCCACAGCACGACATGGCCTAACCCTGTTGGAGAATGACTCGCAGCTTGAGATGCGTTTCCGTGCGGGGATGGAGGTATGTACCTATGCGATTTCGTTTGGTCGCTGTCGCTGTTGAAGGAGGGGTGTACCACTGCTACTACTACCTTGACAACCATACGCGGACCACAGCGGACATCTCTCCGCTTTGCGAATGGCGTGAGATTTTGATGACCTTGAGCAATCGCCCACTACCGTTGCAAACACTCTTCTTCGACTAGAAGACAGTTCGGTGCCATTTTTTGCCGTTTCCGATGCTCTTGAGCTGGGGTGGACGAGGAGATCGGACCCAGGTGTTCCTCTGCCTATGCTAGCGTCGATATGCGTTACAGATGGAAACAAGGCCCTTGTCTTAGGCGCATGAACTTCCACCAGCATCAGGGAAGTAGTGTGCAGGAGAGAGAAAACAAAATCAAACGATCAGCCTTGGTGAATCCTGGGGGGGCGACGGCGAGAAGGTCATCATCCTTGATCGTGGCAAAAAACGTTTGCGGGGAGGTTGGACGGCACAAAGAGGATCATCGCTGTAACCCAACATTTGGATTCCCCGTCACCTAATTAGAAGGATGCAAGTGATGGGAAGGCCTGAAACGCTGCGGGCACCAGAAACACGTGAGGGATTGGGGATCTTGGGGATCTCGCAATTTCCTTTGCTTATTTGGCGGCGTTGCAACCAACAAAATTCCCACGCTATGCCAATATGAATCTACAGACAACAAAGCGCTAGCGAAGCATGAGTCTATGAGGAGAAGGGTAGTATCTTGCGACTATCGGTGGCGTAGTACGAGAAAGACGTCAGCCAAGTAAAGGCATCATGATTTGTTCCGAGGGTGTCCCAAGCTTCGTCTTCGAGCCCCATGTCAATCAAGCCCCTTGATCTACTACACGCCAGGCATGCCGATGACGGCACGATAGCCCGGCACGCCGCGCGGAAGGAAGTAGATTAGCCAAATGGCGGAAAAGGCAACGAGCAGGCCGGTGAACTTCTCAAACCAGGTGTGGAAGAAGGCGGCCGTCATGAGCAGCATCCACCAGCTCAGCGCCATGACCCCCAACGACACCTTGACCCCGAGCCCAGGGTCCTTCTCGTCGTCAACAGCCGAGTACGAGTGGCTCTCGCGCTGAGCCTCAGCGCCAGCCGTGCGTGTTTTGCCGTCAGACATGACGATTCGGCGGCCGTCGCGCAGGCCCTCGGAGCGCAGCACAGCGGGCAGGATCTCCAGCCAGAGGAGCAGGCTGCCCAAGATCAACAGGAAGACGTGCCCGCTGATGTCATGGCCCCCTTTCCATACGCCACCGGCCACCTTGCACGTTGCCGACGTGAGATACTCGCGGGTGTCAGACATGGCCTCGCGTGCGCTCGGGTCGCGCACCAGTTCGCACTGGCCGCCGGTGAAGCGGAAGAGGGTGTCGATGAGCGGCGGCCCGAAGAACCACTGCGTAACGAAGACCCAGGCGAGCGTGACCAGTGCCCAGCGCAGCACGCTGCGCACCCTCCGCGGCGTGAGGACGGGCCGCATGGGCGGGCCCAGGCTCGGGTGCGTCAGCACGAACAGGAACAGCGCGCCCGTCGTCCATGCCCAACCCTTCTTGACAAATAGCACGTTGAAGATGTTCTTCTTCTGGGCGAAGTACGACGGCGCGTGGTCGACGGGATGCGATTGGGTCGTGGCGCTGTAGGGCGCGTTGCGCGTCGTCGGCGACACGATGGAGAAGACGGAACCGAGCACCAGAGTGGCGGGATAGATCGACAGGAGGAGGAGCTCGAGGCGGGTGGGCAGGAAAGGCGAGAGCCGTGCTAGAGACGTGCGGTGAGGGCTTGTGCTGTCGTTCTCCATAGTGGCGTTGGGCGGAGGCTCGTTGTAGCTGGCGGAGCTGCGGGACGGCTTCCGTCGAGCAGACATGTCTGGTCGGTGTGGTTGGGGTGTAGGAGAGCAGAGAGGCTGGAGACTCAGAGGGGTGCTGCTGCCGTTGTCAACGCGATCATGAACCTTTCAGCGAGATGACGTCGCACGCCGCCCGCCGCCCGCAGTCACGTGCACCGGACCCAAACGCGCCGCACGTGAGCGAGGCCGACCCATTGTCGACGATGCAAGGGCTGCACAAGTCCGACCAGGCGTGCCTTCTTGATAGAAGCGTGTCTACCTCTCAAATTGGCAGGAGACGGCGGGGACTTCGACCTGTCTTCCTCTCACAGCCGCGTCTCGAGTTAAACGACGTCGGCGGCCACGTCCTCGACCATGCACAGGGAAGCTTAACGTCGAAGCCAAAAAAGGACGGGTGCCCGCCCTGCGAGCCTGGGATGCCGCTGCTTACCCCTGAGGGTTGCGTCGAAAATCCTCCCCAGCCTTCTAGAAGGCGGATCCTTAGCCGACCGCGCGAAAGACTGGCCGCAAGCCACGGCGGCGCCCGACACGGCACACGCCCGCCCCTGGAATCCAGCTGCGCGGACCTGGCTGACTCGTCGAGGTGGGCGACGAGGGCACAGAGGTGTGGAAGCACCTTGATCCCCTGACTAAGGACGCGCTGGGTTGCAACGCGGCACGAAACCTACCCCAGACCGGGCGGACCTCATTGGGCCGGGTTGGCGGGAGCTGGCGAGCTTCTGGAAGACTGCGGGCGGGCCATGGAAGCTGTGGATAAGGGGCGATGGCGACGGTACCATATAAAGCCGTGAAAGGCCCGATAGACAGGTACGCTCGAACCCTCCCGCTCGCGCCGCTGAGCGTTCTTATCCGCCCAGAGCAGGAACCACCAACACACCCGGCCGCCCTTCTGGACCAGAGCGTTGACAGCGCTCGTAAGGCTGCGCTTCGTCAAGCCCACGCTCCCGACCTGGGGCCTCTGCTGGCCTGAGCCTCCGCCGCCAACAAGCCACGTCAACCACTTCTGCCGGGCCGCGTCGTTCTCCAGACCTTCTGGAAGCCGCGACGGGGAGCCGGGGCGCCCAGTGCTGATGTGGCTCGAGAGCGGCGGTGCCGCAGAAGATTCGGGCCTAAGCCATGCGCGGGAAATCATCTGTTGGCCTTTCGGCGACGGAGGCCGGATCCTGCGCGCTGGGAGAGCGAGATGGTCGGGTAATCCCATCGCGGTTTCGGTGGGTGCCTGCGGGAAGTGGAGACCATCGCCGCTAGGAGCAAGCGCTGATGTCCCTGCAGTAGTTCAGGCTGCCCAGACATGCTATCGAGCTTACTCAGAAAGTGTCGCCGATAAGGTGAATCCTTCGCCGAAAAGCAAAAGTCGCCCCAGCAGAGGGGGAGCGAGGTGGAATTGTGGGTGACGACGTCCCCAATAAGCTTCGCCGTGCGAAACCCAACGCTCGTTGCGGAGCCGGTGGCCTCGGCGGACTGCAGGGATGGCGTGCCCTTCGTGATGGTCGACGACAAACATTCTCGTAATTGCCTCTGGGCTTAATATTGCACCAATCACCTGGGACACGAGTCTCTAGGAGCAAACTGCCTGATGCTACAAACGGCCGTCGTACCCTGATGGCTTTGTTGGGAAACTCTCAACGGCGCCGAACAAGTCATGTTTGATAGTAACTCGTCGTATCACAGGTTCAGGTAGTCAGCTGTCGTTCCCTCACCAACGGGTGGCGCCTGGGGAACACGGCAGCTGGACGCACAGTTTCGAGATTCCAGATCCTGCTGCTACCCATGCCGCCAGTGCCAGATGCAGTGCGGCCGGGGCAGTGTTGCTGGGACGGCCGGATTGGGAGATCGATGATGAAAGGCAGCAGATGAACATGGCCCCAATTGGGAAAAGGAGCGTCCGGATGGGCATGAATGCTGGCCTGGTAAAAAAAATTTTGCTCACCGAGCTTTGAGTCGCTCAGCCCTGTGCAACGACGTCCCGCAAGCCGGGCGATTGGATCCCGAGAGCCCCGAGAGGGAGGGACAGCGGTTGACCTTGCGCAGCGCCTGTCGTTCCCGGACGAGCTGATGAGGTCTGAGCGGGTGGAATGCGAGATGGGCCATATGGCGATCGCCGCAACGACGGAAAATTCTCGAACAAGGCGCGCTCGCTAGCAATAATCTCTCGGCTGGTGGCCGGGCCGCGACGGGCATGTTCATCGCGCTGGGTGGGCAAAGGGTCCAGCGGGCGGAGGAGTGGCATCGCTTGTTCGCTTGTTGCTGCCCGGGATGCTGATCAAACAGGCAGCAAATGAGCGCCACGGCCAGCCAACAGTGCCGCATCCAGCGCGATCGCCGTGATCGCCAGGAGGATCCCAGAGGCGGGCTGGGCTTGGGATGAAGAAGCCAAATGACGGGCTGGCGCGTGAAACGTTGCTTCCAGAGGCCAAGGCCGGGCCGTCGTTTCCCCTGCGCTGGCCGCGCAGCAGCTGCGACGCGTAGGCGCCCGAGTGGCTCGCCGGCGGCGGGCTGAGCCCGGGGCGTGGACGAGGTCGACAGCTGGAGTCGGTCTGGAGAGGCTGAACTGAACATGGGATGCGATCTGTAACGGTGACGGCGCATATGCAAGACGCCTCCTTTTCGCAGGGCAGCGGCCCACTGCCACGTGCGGCCGGGATGGGACCTGCTGCACAGCTGATCGCATCCAACCCACCCCTGTGTTCGCTTCCGCCGGATTGGAAGAGCCGATGCAGCAACCTTGGAGCTAACGAAGCCTCGCAACGTTCTCCCGCGCTTCCGGCCATCCCCGCAAGCGCACCTCCAGGGCCACCAGGGCCACCAGGGCCAGCACGGCTGGCCAACCTTTTTTTCTTTTGCGCTGCTGGAGGTGGCAGCGCTGGCGCGCCTCGCCCACGGGCAGTAGTGGGCAGCCACCACGCGGCGGCGCGATGCGGGACGCCGAGACTGATGATGTGCACGCCGTTCGCCTGCGCCGGCTAGTCGACTCGTCGTTCTTGCAGCCGTTGGCGCTCGCGAGCTCCAGGCGACGCGATTAGGTTGGCGGGCGCGGTGCAAGCCGCAGTCTATTCGCGACCGCGTCGCGTCTCAGGTTGGCCCCCATGCCGTCGCTATCGTCATACCCCAACGGCAGCCGCTTTGGCGAGCGAGCACTTCATCGAACCGGAGCAGCGGGCAGCGGGCAGCGGGCAGCGCGCCGCGGAGCGGCCGATTCCTGGGGAAGAAGCGAGAGGGCGAGAAATCGCGCGGGCTGTCTGTGCCGCGCAGTCTTTTGCCGACGACACCATAGGTAATAATACGACCGGTCAATAATAAGTGCAAGACAGTCGTCGCGGGTCGTCGCGGGCGTTTTGGGAGGGCGGTGCGTGCGACGCGGCCCAGCGCCGCCGTCCTTGCAGAACAAAGGCGCGGGAGGATAGGCGCAGCTCCCAGCGCGGAAGGCTTGCAGGCGCATCCGGCAGATGCGACGTGTTTGAGCGATCAAAAGACAGATCCAGCGTCACACAGGCAGCGCAAACCGGGTCCGCATTGCTTTTGGAGGCGCCGGAAATGTGTGCGTTCGCAGTTAGAGTGGCGGCGTTTGCGCTGCCCGCAAGGGGACGGGCGTTGGTGCGGCGGCGAGGCGATCAAACGCAGACGTGCGCCTTCGAGAGGCCTTCCAGAAGCCCGGCAGCAGTGATTGGAGCGGCGGGAGCAGCTGGGGGCCGCCGCGCGGGCCTCGGCTGCGCCGTGCTGCCCTGCTCCGGGCCTCATTCAGCAGCTCGCCTGCTGCCCAGAGTGTGTGTGCGTGCGAGAGGCGAAGGACGAGACGGCCAGCCGGCGGCGGCGTCCACGTCCACGTGCGGGGGCTGGCGCGGCTTGAGCAGTGCCCTGACGCAGGCTGTGAATCAGCGGCCGGCGAGTGATAACGCTGATAGTCCACCGATTTGGGTCGCTGCGAGCTTACCAGCGACCCGGGAGGCGGCGGGGGGCGAGGCTGGGAGGCAGCAGGCCTCGCTGGGCGTTGGCTTGGGGCGTCGCAGCTGGAGACGCACATCGATGCGGCGTCGGCTGCCTTCCCGCGCGCTTCTAGCACGCTTTAGCCCGCTTTGGCACGGGTTCTAGTCAGGTTCTAGCGGGCTTCAGTGCCTCAGGGCCGCGAGTCACGGCCCAGCGCGCATTGACGGCAGGCTCACTGGCCGCGCCCCGGCCATGGGGCACGCCAGCTGTTGCGCAGCGTCAGACGGACGCGGTGTCATCGACTGCTGCGGTGGCGAGCGGCTGCAGCTGGTGAGCAGCCAGGGCGCGCGGCGCACTGCAAGAGCGTTGGCGCTGGCGCGGGCGTATGGGCGTTGGCAGAGGCGCGCTCCCTGCTGGAGGCCGGCGTGCGGTGGTGGAAACGGGCTGCTCGCGTTAGCCGGATTTCATGCCAGGTACGAGACCGCAAGCCAGGGGCATCCCTTCCGCTGGAACTGCTGGAACATCTGTGCCGTCGATCCCCTTGCCATTTACCAGAAATTATGGCTTTTGCGCAGAGCAGGGTCTCCTTTGAAACAGCCCGAAGAGCCGTCGGTCGGCACGTCATGTCATGTCTGCGAAATGCGTCCAAATTTCATTTGTCTCTCGCTTCCTGCCAAGCTAGGTTGCAGTGCTTTTGCTTTGGAAAGGGGCATGCTCTATATCTACCACCGGCGCCCATCCTCTTACCCCATCTCACGCATCCAAGCCTCCACCCTCCAACCCAAGGCGACGCCTCTCACCTCCTCTCCCTCGTCCCGCCGCAAGTGTTTGCTTGCCTGTCCCACTCCGGCCTCCTCCCGCACTCCGCCTCGCCCCGCGTTCGCCTCTGTGGTCTGCGACACTCGATAATTCCTCGCCTCCGGTCCTCCCGCCTCGCACGACCTACCGCCCGGCCGCTTCCTCCCGCCGCCCTCTAATCGCCCCCCGGACCCGCAGCAGCCGAGAAAGCTGCCGCCCACCTGCACCACGCATTCGCCAGTCTTTTCCGTGAGTCCTCCGCCGCCCGACCGCCGCCGGCTGCGGTTTGCTGACCCATAAAGCAGGCCTCAACCCGCAAAATGATTCTCCGGGAGACCGCCTCCGCCTCGACCAACATGGGCCGTGGTGCCTACGACACGACCGGCACGCCCAAGCCCACCAACCCGCCGCCGCCCAAGCGCAGATGAGAACATGCACCGCAGTGTTCGCCTGGCCCGACGGCAGCCAGTCAGCATGACTTCCTCACCTGGCTGGCCTTGGTGATGCGTCGTCGCGCTAGTTGGAAAGCCGCAGGGTTCGGCATCGTCCATCGTAAGTGCTGTCCCGAGCGCCTGTCAAGCGGCGACACCTTGCATATGCCACACCGCATCGAGTACTGACATCGGCCCCTGCGCAGACGCCTTGCCATCCCTCGCACGCACCTCTTCCGCTTTCTGTCGCCCCACACTTTATGGCCTTCTTCGACGTTCGACTCTCGGTTACTACGACTTTTTAATACGAGCGACTGCGACTTACCTTCGACATGTTTAATACCCCCTCGAGCGATTCGATTTGCGAGCGGCCTGCTTTTGCTTTGCGCCGCAGTGTATCATTAGTAGCGACGGACGCCTCCTTGCTTTTCTCCATGCCAAAAGTGTTTCATCAGGCGTTATATTAGATCATGGGTTTGCTCACGCAAAAGGGGATACCAAAACTGGGGCTGCTTTCGTTGTTGACCCTCCTCATTCGATTTTTGTTTCCTTGTGTTTTTACCTCCGCTTTGGGAACATTGGCATAGACTTCGTTTCACACCGCAGTTCGCTCTGCACGCACACGCAACGGCTTTTTTGGGGACCCTGTACTGTACAATACGGAACTCGTTCGGATTCATGAATGATCGGGTTCTTTCTGCCAGTTGAGCACTTCCAGCGCGAAGGGGAGATGGTCTGGGAAAGCCTTTGTCCATGTGTATCATTAGAGAGCATCGCCGTCTTACTTGCTTGTTTGGACAGGGGTAGACGGCGGGCTAGTAGAACATGCACCTAATCACGATTTGCATTCTCGACAAGTCTGTTCTGCCGCGCTTTGGTGAGAGGAGGGGAGGAGTGCCATCCCGGGGTTGCGGGCGTGTGACGGTCGCACAGGGCTGCATCGGAAGGAGGTCCCGCTGGCTGTCACCCGTGTCTGCTGCAGCCGGCTCAAGGCGGGCGGCTGGTTGATTGGCACATCCATGAAGCCGACGAGCGATCTGGCGGGCATGTCTGTTTCCCGGTCAGCGCGCTTGCCCTGGGCCGCTCGTCGACCCTCCCGATTCGGCGAGCAGAGGCGTCACATATCTCGCATCCAGTTCCCGTGTGCCGCGTCGCTCGAACCCTTGCTTGTGCGACTTAGCGGAGCGGACAGCGCGGTCCGGGTCCAGGGTTGGTGCTGTTTTTGGAGCGAGGCTTGTTGTGCTGGACGAGCAGCGGCCGCCAAGAGCGACCCGCCTGCGGCCCGCCCGCTGCAGTGAGCACCCCACGTCGTCACCGCCCAAGCTGCCTGCCTGCCCACCTACCTCACCTCCAGCAGCCAACGCCTCCGCCTCCTCTCGTACGCCCGCGCTCCCGTCCTGCACTCCGGTCTCAGACAGCGCCCGCGAAGAAAAAAGCCAGCGCACACTCACCGACCCGCCTGAGCTGGCCACCCCCCCCAAGACGCCGCCCCGGCCACCGTTCCCCCTCTCCCCGCAGCCGCCCAGCTAGCTCCGCCGCCGCCACGCACCCACCACCTCCAACATGGCGAACATCAATTGGCGCACCATCAACGTCGATGCGCTGGACCCGGACTCGCCGGCCAACTTCGACATGGCCTCCCTGACGCCCTCGGTCGTGCCTGTCGCCACGGCCGACGTGCAGACGCTGGCTGGCCAGATCCGCCAGCTGCTCAGGGGCGGCGACAGCGAGGGCGCGCTGAGGGGCGCCCTCGAGAATGCGCCCTACGGGGCTGATCAGCAAGGGAAGGTGAGTTCCCTCGGTCGTGGCCGCAAAGCCCCGGCCCCCGGCAAATATTGGAAATATCGGGGAGGCATGGGAGGGGGAGGGAGGGTATAGGCAGGCGGGCACTCTACGCGTTGCTTTTGAGAAATGCGCGTCTGGGTGCCGCCTCTGCCTGAATGAGGGGATGGGTGGCATGGGGCCGTCAGCTCTCGCCCGCCTTGTCTCCCGCCGGCTTTCTCCTTCCCGGACACACACACACTCACACACACACACACGCCCCGACCGTTGGGATGTGATGCGGCGCGGATGGCGCGATGCTTGTCCTGGCGTGCATTTGCTGACCCCCCCATGTTACTCCCGCAGGACATCCACACCGCTACTGTCATTGAGGTCCTCCAGTCCATCCGCGCGTCGGAAATGTCCCCTATCCTGGGTCGGATATACCAGTCTGAGGGCGGTCCCGAGGTTCTGGACACGCTTATGAAGTACCTGTACGTCTTGATCCCGTGCCCGTGTTAGTCGTGCGGCTTTTGTCGCACGAACCGCTCCAATCTTTTGGCTTTGCGTTTTTGACTGGTCGGGGTCTCCTGTAATGGGTCAATTCCAACGTTCCACTTCCCATTCGGTCGCCCAAGCAGCTCAACACCTGAAGACATTGTGAGCTTGGATACTGACCATGGTTACAGCTACAAGGGCATGTCCCAAGGTGCCCCCTCGGGCGGCAAGTCGAGCCTCACCCCCCAGCCAACCGGCTTCTCCCAAGTGTCTACGATATCCTCGCGCATTGGCAGCGGCGAGGGCGGTGGTCAGGCCATGAGCGTGCTGCTTAGCTGGCACGAGAAGGTACGTTAAGTTACGCTTTTCACCCTGTTTCAGCGCGTGTGCAGCGGTGGCTTTTGGCAGTTTGGTCTCCACTTTTCCCAAATCAATCGGCACAATACCGCTTTCGGGGCCGCCATGACCGGTTCGGGAAGGAGGACGTGTGGCAGCGGCTCTTTGTGGCTTTTTGCACATACCTCTCCCTTGTCGCAGATCATATTGGCGCGGTTGCACTACAACGCTGCGCTGGGCGAAACTTGGCTTTCCCTCTTGTCTCTGGTCTACGATGTCACCATATCGTTCCCTCGTCGTCGCTGCAACCAAAAACCCCCACGCTGTCTCTATTTCTTCATTCCATATTTCCGCGTCAGATGAGCTCGTACTAACCGCCACTTTTTTTCCCCCTTCCGCATACAGGTCGTCGAGGTCGCTGGTCTCGGAACTATTGCGCGCGTCATGTCGGACCGGAGGACTGTGTAGTACCTATCAGCCCGCAACAAAGTTATTGCCTCATTCCGCTAGTTCGTCACGGGACCAAGATCACGTTTAGAGAGAGAAAGTGACTCAGAAGAGGAGCGAGCGGCAATGTCACACAAAGAGAGAAAAGTGGTCTACTTATTGCCGCCGGAGGGGAGGCTGTGTACATTCTTGCAATTACCAATCGTAAAAAAGTAGCATCGGTCGGCATGAGCCGGAGTGTGCGCGCGCCTGCTTTTCTTTTTTCTTTTTTTCTTCGTTATTCATGCTTCATGCTTCATGATCCATACCCGATAGATCGCCCCTTTCCTTTTTTTTTTCCACACCCCTCTACACGGTCCAGATTGCTCTTCGTATCCTTCGTCTTCGTAGACATTCTTCTGTCCTGGTGGTGGTCATACGTCCACCACCGCCCCCACCACTCTGCTTCTCCCGCGCGTCTGCCTTTTTTTAGATTGCACGCACACACACATGTACCTGAGTGAGGGAATTGGATTGGAGGAAGTGTGTAGGCGTGTAATGATGATGGTGGAGCATCTTGCGCTCATAGAAAGTACCTTGTCAATTTGGAAACAAGAACGCCGTTTGCACAGCTTGTAAGAGAGCTGGGGGATTTTAAGGTTTAGGTCTTGTGTGAAGAGCCTATGTTAGAGTTTATTTTTCTTTTCGTTTTTGGTTATTTTTAACGTGATTTGAATCCGCAGTATGCTAATGCTGACCTTGATAGTTGATACTGGCTGGACCAATTAGGTATACCTTGACCTATGTATGTGAGGAGAAGGGATCCTTATCGGCGAGTTCGACATATAGCGTCTTTCGACCCTTCGGGGAGACGTGATGCGTGTATGCGTGTGTTGGTGGGCCATTAACGTGAGCAGCCGGTCGTAGACGGGCGGCAGGTTTCAAACCATCCAGGTACGTCCAGTTATTGAATCCCCACCATCCGACGTGAATAAGAATACAATTTTTCATATATGTGGTACGGGGGGTTGAAAAGGAACCAATATCGTCTCGCGATCCGGCTGTGCGGCTGTTGTGAGACATTCACTTGGATTTGAGAGAAAGCAAAAGGCCTCCGGATTCGCTATGGAAGGAGGGGCTCTAAACTCATTATTGGAATTTTGGATTTTGTCTTCGGGCGTTGAAATACGTGCAATATAATCCACCGGAGTGGAGGAAAAAGGCAGCTCGCGTTTGCAGTAAGTGGCGAGACTTATCTCACCGAGGAGCGGTGGCTGGTCTCGTCCACGGCATGGATAAGAAATATTGAATGCCACGGGCTAGAACCTGCGGATAAATTCTTGGCGGTGAGCGTCTTTATTACTCCTAACAGAGAAGTTCACGTCTTAGGAGGTGTGGAATAGAATAGGAGACAAATTCTGGGGACACTTGATGATGTTAAAGAAACGAATGTTGAGACTATCTTCCCGGTGTTTTATACGCTGATCACAGAAGAGGGAGATCAGCACTACCCAGACGTTGGTAATGGTAGAGTATTGGGGATCGGAGTTTGGCAATTGAGGACCTAGCAACTGAGGACCTAGCAACTGAGTTCGGTAAGGGAAAGACAAGAAACGAAAAAGGAAGAGTAACTCCAAGTCAAAGCGAACGGTAGCATTACGGAAATGAAAATAGTGGCCAGTCTAATGGCATAGAAGATGATGAAAATAGTCTGGGAGTGGTCCCGCCGTCGAGAAAGGCAAGAAAGATCATGTTTCGTTGCAGGTGAAGGAGAAAGAAGGAAGAGGCTTCAGGTCATGATACAGAGATCATTACAGAATAAATGTACGTGGTGCATGACTGGTGCATATCAGAGATGTTGATAAGAGGGACCATGCGAATTTGAAGTTCTTTAAAAGACCTGGTATCCGAAAGTACTCGTAATGGTATAGTAATACAAAGATGAGAAGTCACCGATCCGCATGCCGCCATTTTACTCTTTACGAGGGACACTCGCTTGTTTTCCGCTTTTCTTCCGATTCCCTTTCTATAGTACATGTGGGTATCATTCGTGATCGAATCGTGAGAAGATTGCAATTGGAAAAGGAAAGGGGGATAAGAAGGAGACGTCGCTTCACACTTGGTTACTTCCGACGGAGACGTCATCTTCACACACCCTCGTACGTCTTATCGCCGTTCACATGGACATTGTCCGGACGAGCGACGTCGCTGGTAGTATCGGCCGGGCCATCGACGACGGGGGCGCCACCGAAGCCCTTCTCGGCCTCGCGAGCATGGGTACTCTTGGGACCGAGACGGTCGTTGTGGCTCAGACTCATCCACAGTATGACGGTGCTGGCGACGGTTGCAACGAAACCGGGCCAGAGGAAGACGACGCTGGCGATGGCGCGGCCGTTTTTGCGGTAGCGCATGGGGCTGCCGCCATAAGCTTCAAGCAAGCGAGTGGCCTCGGGTGCATCAACGCCAGTCACGTAGGCGGAGTGGGTTGCGGTGATGATGGTCAGGGTTAGGGCGGAAGCGAGGGCGAAGACGCAGGCCAGCACGGAGCAGATACGCCAGGCCAGCTTGACGGCAGGGGACTCGTAGCGCTCCGGCCAGAACAGGTCAAAGAAGAAGCCGGAGCCAAAGATGGTGGCGACGTAGATGCCGACGAAGATGTTGTACGAGGCGGCGCCAATGTAGTCATTGTTGAAGACGTAGGCGTCGGGGTTGTGTTTGGCAACGAAAGACTGTTGGTCGACGTAGTCTGTCGGATCAAGGGTCAGTGGCGGCGACTGAGACGGGGAAAGGGAGTGCGCATACCAGATAGTGCGGCGGTGCCGAGGGATTCGGAGACGACACAGAAGATCATGGCGCATTGGTAGACAATGAACTTGGTGCGGCGCAGGTGGTACTCAGTGTTCCACATGTACGAGTTCTTGAACTTGCCCCACTGCATCTCCCTGAGATCGAGGCCCCAGATGACAGCCATGGCTGAGGTAGTGCAGGAAGGGGATGGTGTGGGCGGTGGAGGCTGAAGCGGTGTCGCTGGTGGCGGGGGGAGTCCAAGGATGAATGGCCTTATTGTTGTTGTGACGGGAACGGATAGAAGGCGCGGAATGGAGGGATGCAGGCAGACTGTCGGCGGAAACCCACGAAGCCGACAAAACGCGGCGAAAACAACGAAGCGGCACGAGCGACGAGAAGTAGATGGGTCGTCCGGGAGTGCAGAGGTGAAGAGGGAGCAAAGTGAGTGGAAGAGGGAGGGTTATAGAGCTCTGTCGAAGGGTCTGACGTGTTGAGCAGGCGCGACCCGGCGACGGGGATAACCACGAATCTGCGCCGACCATCCGGCTAGCCCTGATGACTAGCAGCTCGCTCGCTCAGCACATCTTCTGTGGCCCGCTCCCGAGAGATATCCAGACCATGACGTCAGGGGCATCGCATCACAAGCGCCCAGCCGGGAGACCGCCCTCACACCCGCGACCAAGCCCGCGACCAAGCCGACCAAGCCGACCAAGCCCTTGTCCCAAGACGCCGCGCTCAACAACCTGCTCGCTCGTCCCGATCGTCGGCCAGCGACCCAGATGCTCTCAGCGCAGCCCGCATCCGGTCCGACCAGCATGCGGCGCGCCCGCTTCAAAGCATCCCGCATGAGCTTGGTCATGCCGGGTGATCTACGCCGGCAACCCTAGCCGCACAATCCCTGCTCCACTCACTCTCGCCACTCGAGTACCACGACGATTGCTGCCTCTCGCGGTATTTGCGCTGTGCATGCGCGTCATCAATCTACCTCTGATCACCTTCTCCATCCCTCACTGCTGCATGCCCCGCCAGTGTTATGCCATTGTCATGACCAGCTGGATATGAGGCTGAATCCACCATCTGCTTTGTGGCTGGCGCCATCCGGGGGAGGGAGGCAGCTCGGCAGGCAGTCCCGCCTTGCTCCGCGCGTCTCCGCTCGCTGCCCGCTAAAACACATCCGCCACATCCCCGCCAATCACCACCCCGGCCACGTGCCGTGTCTATCGCGAATGGCCACTCACTTCACCCACCCGCCGCCCCGACCATACTCGTCCGAGTTATTGTTCGCGGCTTCGGCCCTTTACTTAACCTCGCAAAAGCAAAGTCACCCATGTGCGAACTCTTCGGACAAAGCATATTTATAATCGTGTACCCATGGCAAAAACATGTGCTGCTCAGTGACCCAAAAGAGAAGGACCATTGCTTCAAAAAGATTTTGCTAAGCACCAAAACAGACTACCAAAAGATGCTACTCTATAATCATCTTCTACGAGAGAATTTTCGCGGTACGAATCAAGGCGTCCTCCAAAACAGAGCGCCAACAACAAGGCCCATGCCCACACTTGCGCGAAGCGCGCCGACGTCCAGTTCAACTCACACGTTCGGCCCCTCCAACAACTTCCGCGAGCACTCCCGACAATGCAACTGCTGATACAAGTCATCCGCCCGCCCCGCCCCACCATAAACACAGCAGGCGCAGGACCGCGACGCCCTCGCCCCCACCCCCCTCATCCTCGCCGCCGCAACAACCCTCGCGACCCCTCGCCCCTCCCTCCACTCCTCCTCCTCACTCTCCTCCTCCTCCTCCTCGTCTCCCTCGTCTCCCTCCTCCCCTGCCGCAGGCGCAGGCGCAGCAATACCGTCCCCCACCACCACCACCTCCTCCTCACCACCACAAACACTCCCACTCCTACTCATACTCCTACTCCCCCTCCCCCTCTCCCGCCGCCCCTTCCTCCCCCGGCTCCCCCTCATCGCCACCACTATCCTCCCCCCCGCCCGCGCCCGCGACATCCTCCGCCCCCAGCAGCCGTGGTGGTCCTCGCTCGACGACAATAGCGACGACGACGACGATTGCGGCAGCGGCGCCCACGCTATTGACGATGACGCTCGTCGGTTCGTCACTTCTTCTTCGTCGTTGTTGTTGTCGTTGTCGTCGTTGTCGTCGTCGTCGTCGTCGTCGTCGTCGTCGTCGTCGTCGTAGACGATGGTGCCTCTGATGCGCATTGTTGGGACTGCGAATGTTGGTATGCTGCGTGGCGGCGGAGTGGTGGTGGGAATGTCGGTGGTGGAGGTGGTGGTGGTTGTGGAGACGAGGGTTGAGGTGGAGGTGGGAGGAGTTGGGGGTTTGTTGGTCGGCGGCGTCGGCATCGGCGTCGTCGCCGTCGTTATTGCGGGCGGCGGTGGTGGTGCTGTGGGGTATGATGACGGTGCTGCTGCAGTTGATAGCGGCGGTGTAGGTGGTGGTGTAGGTGGCGGTATAGGTGGTGGTGCAAGTGGTGATGCTGTTGACGGTGATGTTGCCGCAGCAGCAGCATTGTGCGTCGCGGTCCGGTACATCGCGGGGTAGCGCTGCCGCTCCACCAGGTCGGAGACGGCGGCGGAGACGTTGTTTTTGAGAGACATGTTCTGTGACGGTCTCTGTTATTTTGTTGCTCCCGGGGAAGCGGTGGAAGAGAGGGTTCGCGCTTTTACCTCCTGCTCCTGATGCCTTGCCTGGATCGCGAGGTTTCGCTTGATGGACACGTCTCCTGTTGTTGGGATGTTTCGTTCTTTTTGCTTCTGGATAAGAGGTACGAAGATCGCGGAGCTGTTTGGCGAAGTTCTTTTCCACCGTTTTTTCCTTCTCGGGTGGGAATGGGGGAGTAGAAGAACAGAGTGGACTTCGTGACCGAAACGAATGAAAAAGCCGCAGTCAAAATCGTCATCTAATATCAGGTACGGGAAAGGGCTCAAGATAACGGTGGTTGAGGGACCAGCCCAACGACCTGTTCTCTAGAAAGGGGGCCCTATAAGAACACCATTGGTAGCGTGATGACGCACATGTACCTGTATGTTCGACGCGCTTGTTCTTACTCTTCAATCTGGGGTAAGCTTGACAACCTTGCTTGGCCACCGCGATATATTGTTATCCCGGGTGTCATAAAGATGGAGGCGTCCCAGTGGGCGACGAAAGAAATCGACCCACCTGCATGGGCAGCGGAATCCTATATCTAGATGCCTTTGTATTATTTTGATACTCGCATCTACGTTCGAACATCTGCTTTAGCTAATAATAAAGAATGGTCGTTTAAACTTACATCTACGTCGGTATACTTACTTTAGCTACCCAGACGAAGGATCGCCGCAGATCAATTTCTTTCATCACCCACTATGGCGCTGTGAACGACACGTATTCACACGACGAAGAACAACACACGTAGAAGAACCAAAAAAAAAAAAAAAAAAAAGGCCAGAGGACGAGAGGCTCGACCATACCCACAATCCCATCCCCAACACCAGCAAAACATCACTAATAAAAACAAATATTATCATCAGGCAAGCGATCGAGCACCAGAGCACGTTGCAACCAGGCAAACCATTCTATTCGGACCGCCGCGCCACACACGGCCCTGCATCGCCACGTGTCTGCGCCAACCCCTTGGCACGACGTTCGAAGATGGGAATAAGCAACTCGGAGTTTGGATGCGCAGCCGGCCCGTACGTAAGTACCCTGCTGTATATCCTTCCTGGTCTTGGCTGCTGCGGCGGTCTTGTCTGGCCGGGGGCTTGTGTGTAAAGGTAGGTAGGTATATGTGCATATATTAAGGAGGGGAGTCGCAGAAGGTCTGTGTGTAAGGGAGCAGCGGCAGCAGCAGCATATTGCAGGGGTTGTGTTCGATTTCAAAAGTCTCTTGCTAACTACCTGTTGCAGGCAATCGGAGGAAATTGAAGCTGCTGGCGGGATTTTTTTTTTTTACTCAACTCCCATAATGCGTGCGGGAGTTGCTGCTACACGCTACCAACAACAAGTCTGGTGGAAGCGAATAAGAAAAAAATAGTCTATTCTACCCAACACACGCCATGGTTCGTTCTACAAGACACTCTTTCCACGTCCCCGAACCACCAACCAGATAAGTTCAAACCCAAAAGGAAAGATAGTGTACACAAAAAAAAAGAAGCATTAGAAAAAAAAAAAGGCCATACGGCCATCGAAACGCCACGCTCATGCATGCATTATTACCCAAGCACTCACTCACACAACCCAGCCCCCTCACCTCAGCCTCACCGCACCACCCCCCCTATTCCCCCCACCAAACAGCCTCTCCAACGGCCCCAACGGGCCATCCCCATCACCACCACCAGTATTGCTACTCCCCGCATTCCCACCGCCGCGAGCGCCGCCGCCGCCGCCGCCGCCGCCGTCGCTCCCATCGCTCGAGCCCGGCCTCATCCACCTCGGCGGCGTGAAGTCGGCCGTCTCGAACGTGTTGCGGATGCGGTGGGTGAAGTCGCCGAGCCAGCCGCCCTCGGCCTCGGCCGCGTCCTCGGCGGCGGCGCTGGAGAAGATGCTGCCGCCGCGGTCGGCGGGGCGGCCGCGCGAGGACGAGGACGAGGACGAAGCGGCTGCGGTGGCGGAAGCAGCGGCGGCGGAAGCGGCAGGCGTCGATCGTTGCTGCTGCCATGCCGCGGTGCTGGTGGCGGTGCGGTTGTGGCCTGTGGGACGGACGGGGGAGCGGCTGGCATTGTTGTTGTTGTTCGGCGAGGGACGCTGTGCGGGACTGGCGGTGCGCGGGGAGGAGCCGGCGAGCGGGGAGGAGGATGAGTTGTGCGGGGCGGCGGAGGCGGAGGTGTTGCGGAGGCCGAGGGCGCTGGATGTGCCGGCGAGGAGGCCGTTGCCGTGGGCCTCGCGGTCGATGAGGGCGCGGCCCTCGCGCCAGCCCGAGAAGGCGTTGTCGATCTCGTCGTCGTCCTCGTCGCCGATCTCCATGTACTCGCCCAGGCCGATGACGCGCTTCGCCTTGCCGTAGAGGCCGAAGAGCGTGGCCGCGACCGGGATGAGGATGAGCATCGGGAACCAGCTGGAGAAGCCCGATCCGAGAGGGGTCAGGTTGACGAGCTTGCCGAGGAAGGAAAAGAAGACGGTCTCCTTGTAGATCTCCCCTTCGAAGAACGTGATGAAGTTGTAGGCCAGCGGGACCGTCAGTTTGGCAACTTGGCACGAGTACCAGCACGCGCTTTCGGCGTAAGTTTGGCGACGGACCAATGCGCGGTTTCCCCAGATCTTGACCTCGGTGATGGCATAGAGCGCTGACAGGACCATGTACAGTAGCCAGAGCGCTGCAATGCATTGTCCTGCGAAGCCAATCTTGGAATCGGAGCTGGGATGGTGCACAACGGTGCGGCTAATGATGTTGACCTTGGCGGAGATGGCCTTGGTGAATTCAGACCAAACGACAGCAGCCGATGCCAATCCAAGAAATATACTCATGGTGTAATAGACAGCGGGAACGAGGTGGGTGTGCCAGTGGTAACGCATGCGAGGGCTGAGTGTTCTTCGGCCAAGTCGGGACCAGAAGTTGTCCCGTCTCCAGTTAGAGCCAGCCGTGGCATCGAGCTTTTGGGTGGCCGAAGCATCGAGTATAGCCTGAGTGAAAACCGCAGACGAGACCAGCCGTGCCCACTCATCTTCAAAGCGCAGTTTCGCGTGTCTCGCTCTTTTCAGGCGTCTTGTCAAGTCGGCCAAGTACTTCTCAGTGATCACTGATGGAACGGTCGTTCTTGGAGCGCCCACAGACCTCGATGGCTGTGCTTCCAATAGAGATGCAGTGTCCGCCAGCTCCTCAATCCATTCCTGGAACTCCCTGGGCGCCGAACTTCTCTTGTTCCTCAACTGCATGACCTGCGCCTCGTACTCGTCCAACTTCTCGATGGCATCCTCAAGTTTCTCATGGATCTTGGGCGCGTGGGCCTGAATCCTCTTTAGCCGCTCCACGATGCTCGCACTTCTCCAGAGGTTTCTAGGCAGAGCCACAAGTCCATGCCCCATGAGGTAGATGGCGAGGATAAGACCCCATGCATAGGCCAAAGCCATGACCAAACCCTTCAAAGACGTGAAGTGGAAGCCATTGGACATTATGAAGTATATAGCGCCAACAATGCTGCAACCAATGATGATCATCCAGTACTGCCCGTTGGAGCGAAGGGAGTAAAGGAAGCGCGATTTCGGAGACAGGTAACCGGCATCGCTATATTCGCCAAGAAGCGGAAGGATTGCCCTGCGTCAACTAAATTAGCTTCTGCACTTCCGCGCCCCAGGACGGCGGGAGGTCATACCAAGTGAGCACGAAGGTCAACCAGTATCCAATCCTCCAGCAGACCAGCAGCGCCCTGTCAGGCAGCCAGATGCCCCTTCCGCCCTCGTCCTCGCCATTGACGCCCCTCACGCTGCCGAGGTCGATGGGCACGAGCAGGATTATGCTGGCGGGCAGGGCCAGGGCGAGGAATACCGGGACGAGCAGGTAGGCGGGGGTTTTGCGCAGCGGGAGGAAGTAGCGCAGCAGCAGCAGGACGAGCAGGCAGTTGACGGCGACGGAGATGGAGAAGAAGGCGTTGGAGCCGGGCGACGACCGCCTGGCCAGCGCGGACGCCGCAGCGGCGATGCTTCCGGAGTCGGCACCCATGGCGCGTGCGGCGGTGATGGTGATGGGCTGCGCGCGGTGTGGGCTCCAGGGTGAGATGGGACGATAAGGCGGTGGTGGAAGGACGGGGAAAAGGGCCCCCAGGAGTCGCAAAACGTGGTGACTTAGGGCTGGCGTGGCGCGCGCATGTCTCTCACACTCCGCATGCGTCGGTGGGCGGCGGGATGGTGGGATGCGAGGGCAGATAGGCAGATGTTCCGGATGGTCGCGAGAGTCGAGATCGCCAGGTAGGTGGCCGGTTTGGGCAGCTGGAGTTGTTTGGTGACAGGCGTGGGTGGCAGCTTTGGTGCAGTGACCGCCAAGGCCGATCGGGAGGCTTGCGTCATTGCCTGCGTCCCTGCACCGCAGCGGCAGGCGGCAACAATGCTTGGCGGCTCCAGACAGTCCAGCACGAGCATTCTTCGGCTTAGCAATCCGTCGCTGACACAACCCCTCCAAGCCCTGCCCCGCCCAAAGAGCTCGCCGACCATCTTTGTCGCCATCCGGTCCAGGCCTTGCGCTATTCCAGTTCCCCGCCCGCATATAACCACCAGACCCCTCCCACTGAGCTCGAGCTTTTTGAACAAGCTCAAGCGCCCCAACAACTGCCCACCATTTCGTTCCTACGATCCTTCTTCACCCGCGCAACCAGTCCCGCCAGCATGTCTGCCGCGAAGACCAAGGCCCAGGGCATCATTGACGACAATGCTGTCGGTGCGTCTCCAGCAGCTCTTTCCCCCTCCTCCCAGCCGCGCGGATGCTGACGTCTCTCTCATTTCCCGACAGCCGTCTTCAGCAAGTCGTACTGCCCCTACTGCCGCGCCACCAAGTCGCTGCTGTCCGAGCAGGGCGCCAAGTACTTCGCCATCGAGCTGGACCAAGTCGGTACGTAGACCAGCCGGCCGCCCCTCCCCTTCTACCTCGGCAAGCGGATTCCGAAAACGACCGGCACGCCGCTAGCTAGGATACTACATCGGACAGAAAGAGCATGGATCGCTGACGGAATCATGGACAGATGACGGCGCCGCCATCCAGGACGCTCTCGAGGAGCTGACCGGCCAGCGCAGCGTCCCCAACATCTTCATCGACAAGAAGCACATTGGCGGCAACAGCGACCTGCAGGCCAAGAAGTCGGAGCTTCCCAGCCTGCTCAAGGCCGCCAAGGCCATCTAAATGTCCTTACGCTACAAATCCCTCGTCGGCAGTATTAGAGAGATACCATTTGCTAGGGTTCTTCAGATGGACAATCAAATGATGTGAAATGAAACTTGTGCATTGGTTCTTTTCTTTTTCTTTCTGATCTCCGTGTACTATGACGATCGCCGGTCTCAATTGTGGAACTGCGATATGATAAAGATTCGAGTCCTCCTATGCCGGTTTTCATGTGTTTACTACAGACGTTGCAGCAGTCTACTTTTACGTGCGTTTATCCGGGTTTAAAACTCGGGATTTACGTCTGACCCATTTGCCTTGACTCCCTATCGGAAGACTGTAGTATCCTTCGCGGTACACAGCAGAAGGATCAATCGAGCATAATAGCACAGATGCTATCAACGATAGTAAGCGCTTCGTTTACACTCATCAGTGGCAGCTTGTCGTCCACAATATCAGCAGCAGCGGAAGGGAAAAAAAAATCAAGAAGCAAGTATCATTACTCCATTTGACTGACAGCGTCTTCTCAACGCAAAATCAACAACCCAAAAAGCTTTTCCGTGCTACATCTGCAAGCCTAAAAACCTGCGTCGAACGCAGCAATCCATGTCCCGTAATCGTGCCCATTACCCACGGGAGAGGGAGAGAGATAGAAAGGGGACATCCACACCACCCCGATGGGAGGGAAAAAAAAAGATACAGGGAAAGGATCCGAGACGAACCGGAAAAGAAGCGAGTAAACGAACATAAGAGTAAAAACGGCAAAAAACGCCTTCTCCAATGTCTTTGTGTGTACGTGTGCGTGTGTGCATGCTGGGCGGCCGCCGTTGATCTTGACGAATAAAAAAAAAACAGGCTGATGGGTAGATAGACATATTACCCATAAAGAACGGAACTAGTCCTAACGAGATGGGATGGTCGTGTATGGGGCTAGTTCCAATCCCCTTTTCCGTAAAACAAAGACGAAGAAAGTAAGGGTATGGCTTGTTGATGTGTTGGAAAAAAAAAAGCTTCATGCTTTGGATTCTTCCTTGTTCTTTTCCAACCAGTCTTCCCCTCCCTCCCTGCCTGTTTTAAGCTCAACGCACAGCGCCACGAGCTTCATCGAAACTTTTTTTGAGTGTGTGTATGCTGAAGTGCCTTCGTGTGAACAAAAATAATTTTTTTGGACACTCCCTCCTCGCTTTTAAAAAGCACCAACCACCTAGTCTTTCCATTCCCATACTTTCGCGAGGAAGGACTCCATGTTGACCTTCTTGCTCCTCATCTCAACCATCCACGGATGTTCCAGCATGCGCCAAGGTGTTGCCCGGCGGTTCGGCTCCTTCTCCAGACTATGGGTTGTTCAGTCAGTAAAAAAGTGGACACTTTGCCCGTGTGGAAGGTTAAGTCTCACCAGCATTCAATGAAGTACTTGAACCCGTCTCCCCAGAAGATGTTGTTCTTGGGTTCATCCTTGAGTTTGGGGATCGGTTGCCGCACAATGTACGTGAGAAGGTCGATAAGACCGGCACGCGGTGCTATCGCGCCGCTCTCGCCATCTGCGTCGGCCGGGAAGGGGAAGCGACCCTGGGCAACTTCTAGCAATGTGACACCCAGGCTCCACACGTCTGATGTGATGGTGTACGAGAGACCTTGGATCCGCTCTGGTGCCATGTAGTACGACGTTCCAATAAACGTGTCGGCCATGCCCTTGGTACCGAACTCTCCGCTGACGCCAAAATCGCAAAGCTTCACGATGCCTTCCCAGGCATTCAAACGGGAGCCTCTGGTAGCTTGCCTTGAGCCATCAGGATTCATCGGGGAACGCGACAGAAGAATGTTGGAAGGTTTGATATCGCGATGGATGATACGCTTGCTGTGAAGGTACGTCAGGCCTTCCAGCACGCCGCGTGCAATCACACCCAGCACCTTCTCTCCAATACGGCCGCCGCGCCCGAGAACTTCTCGATAGACCGAGTCTAGAGAACCGCCCTCGCAGAATTCCATGGCAATGTTGATTATCGAGGTATTAGACGGAGGCTGGAAAGCTCCATAGTAACGACAAATACTGGGATGTTGTAAGGAGGCGTTGAACTGCAGTTCGCGCACAATCTGACGTTTTATGCTAGGATCGGGATTTGAAGTGATGATCTAAAGCAGTCAGCCGGGGGTTCGATCGGATACGAGGGCCACGGGCGCCCCTCCCCCTGGAGGTATGCGAGTCTCACCTTCAACGCAAAAACAGTCCTGGAGCCCTTCAAGACACACCTCGTAACTGCGCCGCCCGCACCTTCGCCTAGCGAGCCCAGCTCTTCGATCAGGCCCTCCTTGCTTGCTGCTCTCCAGCCAGCATTATCCAAATCGCCAGGTTCCAGGTTTGCACCCTTGTCGATTTTCAGCTTCTCAAGATCGGGGAGGACCATTCCTGACATGTCGCTATTGGTTCGTGCCATCTCCGTGGACGAGTTGGAGTTAAGGGTCGGCGATTGCCCGTTAGACAGAGCCGAGATGGGGTCGTGCGTGTTGTTGTTTATCGTGTTAATCTGCAACGACGGAGGCCCACGCTCGCCGAAGCTACCGCTTCTGCTCTGGGCCGAGGCATTGCTGCTTCCTGACGTCGAGGTTCCTGGTAATTGTAGCTTGAGACCGGTCACACCCCGTTTCGGGGCACCACCGCCCTCATGCGGTGTCGCTTGGCCTCCGCTAGGAGTGGCCAGGGCTAGCTTCGGGAGGGAGGGGCGGGCGTTAAGCGGTTGCTGCGGAGGGAGGAGGGCGGGCATGGACTGGGCGTCGTTCGTTTGGCCGTTCACGACTGGTCTTGCGTTGGGAGAGGGCGGGATGGAGAGGCCAAGGCGCGGAGCGCGCGGCGAGGAGTGGCTCCGCGCACCGGGGATCGGCGGACGGAGCAGAGGAGCTGGCGTCGACATGTCGCCTGAAGACTGAGTCTGGTGTTGCGGGGTACTGGGGCGTGAGCCGGACGCGGCTTGGTTCGGCTGCATGTAGGGTGGTCTGAGAAGGCTGGCTCGGGCTGGCTCGATTATCCTCGCGAGCAATCGAGATGGCGTCGAGGGCGGTGGTCGAGCTGGTCACACGGCCAAAGCCCTTGTGCAGGGTCTGCAAGCACCCGCAGCGATGCCACCGGCAGCGTTAGGCACGCGGCGGGAAACGCTGCGGGAAGAGGCTCGGACCGCGTCTTGTGTCCCTTTGTAGATTGACCCAGCTGGCGGGTCGGGCGGCGCTTGGCTGCAGCAAGGCTAAGGTCGCTGGGGGTGCGAGGAGAGCCGTGCTGGACGAGTGTCTGGAGGGGATCCACGAGGCGCGGATTGGAGGGCGTGGTGGGCTGGCGGAGATGGCTGGCTGGCGATGTGGGAGGAGAAGGCAGTGGTGGAGCTCGCGGTTATCGAGGCCGGCCGTGCGCGTGCGGTGGGACGGGTGGACGAGCAGCTATGGCGAAGGCGGCGCGGACGAGGCGCGGAGAAGCGCAGGAAGCGGGCGGGTGCGGCGCGGGGCTTGCTGCGGCGCAATGGACGAGGCCGAAGCAGGCCGAAGCAGCTGGCGGGCGTCTGCGTCTGGTTGACGGCTGCGTGCGCGTCTGGGTCGGTTCTGGCGCGTGCTGGGGGTCTGCCGAGAGTGATCTCCGCCTGGCGCTGGGTGCGGGCAGCCCTACGGCAAGCAGGTGACAGGCGGGGGAGGACAGCAGCGAGCGAAGGGATGCAGAGAGAGGGAGCAGGTCGAGGTCGGGCGGAGGGCAGGTTTTACGGCTGTAGCCGTCGTGTAGCCGCCCGCGTGCGAGTCGATTGAGGCGTAGCTGGTCTCCTTGGCCGTTGGGCTGGGGGCCGGGGCCGCTGGTGCGTTTCATAAGGCGCTGTTCTTATGTGCCCGCCGCTGCGCGCTGCCGTGCTGCGCCAGCGTTGGGGCCGCGGCCGCTCGAGCTTGCCTCACCGATCTCCGCGGCAACGATGTCTTCAAAACGGTGCTGGGGAGCTGCTGGGCTGGCGGTGAATTGGCGCGGTTGTGCCCTACTACTACACGCCGGGTGGTCAGAGAGCCCCTCGAGCGACCCGCCCGGCACGACGTCACGCTTGCACGATCCGCCCCGATGTAGCCTGCGCCGCCCGCCTGCGCCTGCTGACGCCGGCCGCTGCTGCGTCTGGAGCCGGCCAGAAGCGCAGCAGCACGCTCGACCGGGCCCGTGAAGCAACGCCTGTCCCACACGTGTCCCGGACGCTGTGGAGGCTGGCCAGCCCGAGTCTGCCAGAAGCCGGCCCGTCACGGCTCGCCCTGGCTCGCCCTGGCTCGACAGAGGGTTCCGGGGGTGCGCCTCAAGGCGCCGCCTGTCTGCCCGCCTGCTGCTGCTGCTGCTGCTGCTGCTGCCGCCGCCGCTGCCGCCCTTTGCATGCGCTGCCATCTGCATGCGCTGCTGTCTGCATCCGGAGGGCCTGAGTTTCTGGGCTGCCCGCGCTTTGCGCCGCATCCCGGTCGGGGTGCATCTTGATGATCACCAGGGGATCTCGCCTACGCCAACGGCTGGAGAAGGCCTCTGATCAGGCCTCGACGCATTGATGGACCCTGGCGCGGCAATCGCAGGCTCGGCGCTTCGAGCCAACGTGCGATTTGGTGTTGCGCAGGCCATGGTGGAACAGGCTGCTGCGGCTTGCGAGGGGCTCATGATCGCAGCGACGCATGCACGCAGTATGGACAATCATGCTGGCAGCCAACAGCAATGCACGAAGCGGGAGTTGGAATCACAGCCTTGGCAGCCAATCGAAGCCAAGCCCCCGGCCCAGACGTTGCGCGCCGGCGCCCCAGCCGGGCCATGCAGGGCGTTGATAGGTGACGATTCACGTCAAGACGAGTTTCCATCCGCCACTACGGAGTAGGTGGCCAGCGACGCGACTGCCCGGTGACTAAGCGGGCCCGGAAAAACTAGTGCCAGGCCCGAGCGCCCAAGTTTTCTGACGACTTTCGTCCGCCGGCGACCATGCACCCTGGCCACCTCGCAAAACAATGTCGCCTTCGTCCGTAGACGCCTCGTCCTCGGCCTCCGACTCGGAGAGCTCGCATGTAAGAGTGGAGGAGAACGGAGCCAGGAAACGGAGAAGACTGTCGCCTGTCGCCGACTCGGACTCAGAACATGTGCCGCAACCCAGGTCCACGCTCTCCCGCGTGAAGGCCAAGCAGACTGGTGCTACCCAGCAAGACGCCCCCGCTACTATTCTCGCTTCCCAAAATCACAAAGAAAACCTTTCCTTTGCTTCTCTCAATGTTTCGCCATGGCTTGTCGCCTCTCTGTCTGCCATGGCCATCAAAAAGCCGACCGGGATCCAAAAAGGCTGCATTCCGGAGATCATCAAGGGACGCGATTGCATAGGTGGCAGCAGAACCGGTTCTGGCAAGACAGCCGCGTTTGCGGTGCCCATTCTCCAGAAATGGAGCGAAGATCCCGTGGCCATCTTTGCCGTAGTCCTCACCCCAACCCGGTATGTCCTTACAACTCCTTGCATGCACTTCCTAACAACCCTGCAGTGAACTTGCCCTACAGATATATGAGCAATTCAACGCTATCGGAGGCCCTCAAAGTCTCAAAACCATCCTGGTCACTGGTGGTTCCGACATGCGCTCACAAGCAATAGCACTGGCTTCAAGACCCCATGTTGTGATTGCCACTCCCGGCCGTCTTGCTGACCACATCAACTCGTCTGGTGAAGACACCATCAACGGCCTCCGTCGAGTGCGCTTCATTGTCCTTGACGAGGCCGATCGCCTTCTCGCTTCCGGCCGCGGCAGCATGCTCCCGGACGTCGAGACATGCCTGTCCGTCCTCCCACCCTCCTCTCAACGGCAAACGTGCCTGTTCACGGCGACCGTCACGCCCGAGGTCCGCGCTCTGAAAGACATGCCGCGGACCCCCGGCAAACAAGAAGTGTTCGTTTGTGAGGTTGACACAGAGGATCTGGCCGTCCCAACGACGCTGCAGCAAAAGTACCTCCAGGTCCCAGTCACTCACCGCGAAGCCTTCCTCCACACCCTTCTCCTCACCCCCGCCAACACGTCCAAGTCAACCATCATCTTCGTCAACCGCACCTCCACCGCGCAACTTCTCGAACAGATGCTGCGCCTGCTCGATCACCGCGTCACGAGCTTGCACTCTGGCCTTCGGCAGTCTGAACGCATATCAAACCTCGCGCGTTTCCGTGCCAAGGCTGCCCGAATCTTAGTGGCTACGGACGTCGCGGCCCGTGGTCTCGATATTCCCGCCGTTGAGATGGTTGTCAACTACGACGTCCCGCGGGATCCTGATGACTACATCCACCGGGTCGGTCGTACGGCGCGTGCGGGACGTTCCGGAGAGAGTGTGACGATGGTGGGACAAAGGGATGTGGAACTCGTCTTGGCTATTGAAAACAGAGTTGGCACGAAGATGGTTGAGTTTGAAGAGGAGGGGGTCAATATTGAGACCAGAGTCATTCGCGATGCGCTGAAGGTCGTGGGTGAGAAGAAGAGAGAAGCCTTGCTGGAGATTGGGGAGGGAAGGGATGTGACCGGAAAGAGGAAGAAGGGGTTGATGAAGCGCAAGAAATGAAGGTTGTAGGTGTGGCTCTTTCCTCAGGTTATAAAAAGGGTTCCCCAATTCATACCTGTCTTGCGTTCATGACCTACAAGCTTGTCATGATTCTGCTGTAATATATCCATCAATTCTTTGTTGAAAAGTTATACCTCTTCCAATGAATGCTGCGGTCACTTGCTGATGAACGGTACAGTTGATTGGCGTAATATATTCAGAAGCTCATCCAGGCTAAGATCTAGCCACACCAGAAGCTCATGATAGAGCAGACTTGCAAGTTGTTTACGCACAGAACCGTATACAGATCCCTCCAGCACACGTTTATCCCACAGTGACCTCTAGTGTCCTCACGAAAGAGGTCCGTTTGGATGAATCAGCACCTTGGTATACCCGTCAACCCGCTTGTCAAACTTTTCGTATGCATCGGACGCATCGTCAATCGTAATCTCATGAGAGACCACGAACGAAGGCTTGGCCTTGCCAGCGACGATCAGGTCTCGAAGGTATCTGTTGTAAGCCTTGACGTTGCATTGACCGGTTCCGAGCGACAGGCCCTTGGACTTGGTCAGCACAACTCCCATCACACTCAAACACCCACCTCCATCTCACCTTCTCAAACAGCTTCCCAAACGAGATCAGAATCTGCCCCTTCCCGCTCTGGGCATCCGGCGCCCCCGGATCCGCCGGGACGTACAAGCCCGGAATCCCCAGCCCGCCCGTCGGCCTCGTAACCCTGATGAGCTGATCGAGCACAACATTCGGCCTCTCCTTGCTCCCCGACGCATCCACAGCCTGGTACCCCACGGCATCCACGGCCCGATCCACCATCTCCCCGCCATTCGCCCTCACAATCTGCTCCACCGGATCCCCCTCTCGAAAATCCACCGCCACGCACCCAATCCGCCGCGCCGCCTCCAGCCTCTCCCCCACCTGATCCACCACAAACACCCTGCTCGCCCCCCTCACCACCCCGCTATACGCCGCCATCAACCCCACCGGCCCCGCCCCCCACACCGCCACCGTCTCCCCCGCCTTGAACCCCGCCAACACCAACCCGTGCCACCCCGTCGGAAACACATCCGCCAGCATCGCGAAGTCGCTCTCGTGCTCCGTCCCGGCCGGCAATTTCAGCGCGTTGAAGTCCGCGTGCGGCACCCGCAGATACTGCGCCTGCCCGCCCTGGTACGGCCCCATGGCGACGTAGCCGTACGCGCCGCCCGCGAAGCCTGGGTTCACGCCCGTGCAGAACGCCGTGCGGCCTTCTTCGCAGTTGCGGCAACGCCCGTCGGCGACGTTGAAGGGGAGCACGACCCGGTCGCCGCGGGCGAGGAGGGTCACGCCGGTGCCGGTTTCCTGTGAGGGGGGGGAGGAGGTTTCAGTGGGGGGGTTTTGTTCTTTTTCTTTTTTTGTTTTGGGAGGGGAGGGGTTGTGGGTGCGCATACGGTGACTATGCCCATGTTTTCGTGCCCGAAGACTAGGCCGGGTGAGGCGGCTGTGCGGCCCTGGTACATGTGGAGGTCGGAGCCGCAGATGGCTGTTGTTGGTGGTGGCGGGGTTTGTTTGTCAGTCTTGTCATTGGATGGGAAGAGGGGGCGGACTTCGTGGATGACATACCCGCGGTGGTGACCTTGATGATCACGTCGTCTGGGTGTTGGACTTTTGGCAGGGGCACCTCCTTGACTGAGACCTTGAAAGGGCCCTCGTAGTGGACTGCTTTCATGGTTTGCGCCATTTTCTCTTTTGCTTCGTGATGCGACGGGGACTTCACTGTGCTGAGCGGCGGTGTTGGAAGTCAATCTTCAGAGCATCACAATAATCATACGAGAGAGAACGGAAGCAAGCGAGCGGCCATTTGTAATCGACCCTCTCACTCGAGAAAGAGGGGTGGGGAAACACGGACTGGCGGCGGGTCTCCTCACTCAGACAAGAGCTGCGGGGGAGAAGGACGATTCCATGCATCAAACGTCATTATTGGTTTGTGCATGTCTACACCCCGATTTCCTGTTCCGGAGATAGGCATCTTTTCGCAGGCCCGGCCGTCCGTCCTGGAAAGGTAATTGGTGCGGGTATCGACAGGATGACCCTTTCCCCGCATTGCCCCCTCATGGCCGGTATCTCCGCCCGGCGTCGAGACCGCAGAATCCATAATTGATTACGGAAGACCTCATATTCAGCGGACGTTCTTTCGCAAAACATCACTGCGCTCGACTTGCGTGTGTAGTTAAAGTCATTCTCGGATGTTGTATGTATCTGTGGCTACTCCATGAATTCATCTATTATACAGAAGACAAGAGGCGACAAGTAAAGTCATTTAAACTTCACAACAGTAGTGAAAAAAACAACGGAGATGAGAGGAGGTGGAACTCACACAACACGCGCACGACTTAGTGCATGGCGACGAAATTGGTAATCGAAGTATTACTTCGGACACCTTTACTCGCCCACATCCAGATGGACGCTTCAGCTGCCCATTCGCAGCCACCCTGGCCGTCACAATACGATGGGGGCTCACAGCACATCTAGATTAAAGAGCACGAATTCATCAAATCAACTCCCGAGTCTGGTAAAGACGGTTTTCGGTGAGCCATTCCCAAATAAAGAGGACAATGCCTACTTCAGGAAGCCGGTGGATCCGCACCGGCCCAGAACCGCATCCGCAGGAACCAAATGCGCATGGTTCACACCTTCTGCCCAATCAACAATGCTACCATCAAGTCACACTATCCGATGCGATAGATAGAGCCGATCCCGAACGTCATAGGGATTTATACGCAACCATAGATTTTTTATAATAATGTCAGTGGTGGTAGACCGTTCGATTTGTGCTTTGAGTTTTTGATGGAGTGGTATTTCCCCAGAATTGCATGGGCGAAACTAACCTTGAACCCGAAAAAGAGCGTCTTCTTCATAGACACTGTGGACGTGCTGGGCTATAAGAGAGGTAGGTCCTCGCGGACTTCGACCTTCTGCCGACAAGATGAAAGTCATTAAGGAATGGCCGGTCCCGACAGATGACAAATCGTTGACGAGCCCTTGCTACTTTCCAGCATACAAACCTCCGAAACTGACAAAAACCTCACATCCAAAACTCCACAGTCGTGACCAGCACGATATAAAACCCGAAAAAAAGCCCCCACCCAGAAACACAAAGAGAGGAAACATCCCCAACACTCTCGCCAAACCACCTCCAATCCTCCCCCCCTCCCTCCCCGCGCTTCCGCTCAAACCCTCCCCCTCAACCACTCCCTCGTCTCCGTGTACATTTTCAAATCCTCCTTCCCAAACCCCCACATTGTATCCAACCAACAACTGACATGGCCGGCCCCCTCAGCCAGCACGCACGCGACCTCGCCTCCATCCGCGCTCCTCCACTCGTTCCTCACGCTCTCCGCGCAGTTCAAGATGCCGTCGAGCAAGACCTCGTACTCGCCCGCGACGAACAGCACGTCGCGCACGACCCTGCCGCCGAGCCCCTTCCACCAGCCCGCGGGCACGTCGACGGGCTCGTTGTAAGGGTCCGTGGGGCGGCCGCCGAGGAAGAGGGTCGACCAGCGCGCGAGGCCGGCCGGCGTGATGGGGTCGCGCGTGCGGTTGGTCGCGAACGAGGCCGTCGTCGTGTCGAACGAGACCCACGGCGAGATGAGCACCGCGGCGAGGAGCCGGTTGTCGTCCGCGTCCGCGTCCGCGTCGTCGGCCGGCCCGCTCGATGCCGCCCCATGAGCCGGGTCCTCCTGTCCTTCTCCTCTTCCTCCTCCTACTCCGCCGCCGCTCGCCCCCGCAACGACGCTGTCCGCCCGGCCGGTCGTCTCGCCTTCCCCCGACGTCGAGAAATCCCGCAATTCCACGCGCGGCACCGCCGCCGCCTCCGGATGCGGGTGCAGCACGTGGCTCAGCAGCGCGAGGGCGAGGTTGCCGCCGGCGGAGTCGCCGCCGAGGATGACGTTGCGCGGCGGCACGCGCAGCGCGCGCAGGACGTAGTTGAGCAGCCGCGCGGCCTGGCCGAGCTGCCGCGGGTACGCCGCGAAGGGGGCGACGTCGTAGTGGAGGACGAGGGCGGCGAGGCCGCCGGGCACGCTCGGGCCGAGGTCGGTCGTGAGCGAGTGGAGGAGGGTGAAGTGCGCGGGGTCGGCGGGGATGGAGTAGCCGCCGCCTGGGGTTTGGTTAGACACTACTGCGAGGAGGAGAGGGGGAAGTGGTGGTGGAAGGGAAAGAGGCGCGTACCGTGAAAGTATATCAATACTTTTTCGGCGCCCTTGGAGCCGACCCAGTATGCGCAGGTGCCGTCTTTGAGGGTTTCGGTGACGGGCTGGACGTTGAAGCGCTTGCAGTATGCGAGGTAGGCGTCGTCTGTTCCTGGGGCGAGGGCTCTGCCAGTGCAACAGGTAAGTTTCAGTCACATGTGGTCCACGTTGATGTTCCTGTTTCCCTTTCTCTTTTTTCGTGATCATGGTTGAGAGGGAGGCCATACTGTTCTGTTCTTGAGGTGTTATGCGATGTGAGTGTGCGCAGGGCCGCGTACCCCAGCATCCGCGCGAACGAGGAAGGCCGTTTATTTTTTGACGTGAACTTGGCCGTCAGGGCTGTCCAGAAAGTCTTTCCCACTGCGTGAGTTAGTATCACTTGGGCCAGAAGTGGAGGCTGGAACGTACGGACGGCTGCGAAGATGGGCAGCAGACCCAGCTTCTCAAAGAAGCCGAGTCTTAAGTCGGTGGTTTTTGGGCGCGGAGCCATGATGCTGCCTGTTGAAGAGAAGCAGGAGCTGGGGGGAAGAGGAGCTCAGTTGCGAGATATTTGTCGCACCGCGGTGCGATGAGCTTCTTTTACACCAGCTGGTTAGCGGGGCCCGGGATCTGCGGGCTCACCGCACACCATGGGACGCCATGGAGTCCCCGCATTTCGGCATCCCCTGCCGCTGCAGCATGCTCCCGTTGGGGCAAGGCTCCTGTTTTGTGTGCGATGGTGCTAGGACGTGTAGGGCGATAGTCCAAGCCGGCGGACCAACAAGGCTGGCCGTTGGGGCGAGGGTCTGGTGGCTTTCTCTAGTGTGTTAATTATCGTGGAGGTCAGCGACGGCTACTGGTGTTTTTATTAGCCGTGTCTCGGGGCGGGCGGAGCGGGCGCTGTGTCGTCAGTTGCTCACCCGCCGCGTGCGCGTTGCAGCCATGGCGCGTGAGCATCGGGTCGTGCAGGACTTGGCTTCCAGACTCTCTACTCCAAACTCAGGTGCAGGAACGAAGGGTGTGACGGAGGCGGGCGGCGCTCGAAGCGGGTTCGGGCGAGCTGTGGCCGAGGCAGACGCTGACTCGCGTGCTGCGATGCCGTCATGCGGGGGAGCCACCAATTCTTTCTCACAACTTTCTTCGCTGCTGAGCCACAGCCACTCTCCTCAGCTTCACGAGCTGCTTGCAATGCCGTCCCCAAGGTCAGAAAATCTTTGCTTGCTAGTCAATGCCCAGCTCACGCCTTTTAGCTACGTCCTGGTCACCGGAGCCACCGGCTTCATTGGCAGCCATGTCGTCGACACTCTGCTTCGCCAAGGCTTCAGAGTCCGCGGCTCTGCCCGCTCCAAAGCCAAAGCCGATGACATGCTCGCTGCCCGCCCGCAATGGAAAGACCGACTAGACTTCGTCGAGGTGGCTGATTTCGAGGGAAAGACGGACCTTACCGACGCGGTCAAGGATGTTGATGGGATAATACATGTCGCCAGTGTACGTGGAACTTGGCAGAAGAGAAGCCGACGAGAGAACTCACAGCTGTCCAGCCCTTCAACTATAACATTACCAGCAATGAGCAAGAGCTCGTCCTCCCCGCCATCAACGGCGTCCGTGCCATTCTCTCCGCCGCGGCCCAGAATCCCAAAGTCCAGCGCATCGTCCTCACTTCGTCCTTTGCCGCCGTCGTCGACATCGCTAGCGCCGCAGGGCCCGGCTTCACCTACAACAGCACCCACTGGAACCCGCTGACCTACGCCGAGTCCATCGCGCCCGACACCACCACCGTCGTCGCCTATCGCGGCTCCAAGAAGTTCGCCGAGCTTGAAGCCTGGCAATACATCGAGAAGCACCACCCGCACTTCGATCTCGTCACCCTCTGCCCCCCCATGGTCTTCGGCCCCGTCGCCCATCCCGTCGCCAGCCCCGCAGCGCTCAACGAGTCCAACGCTCAGCTCTGGTCCGTCCTCGACAGCGCTAAGCCCCTGCCCGAAGTGCGTGTTCCGCTTTGGATTGACGTGAGGGACCTGGCCCTCGCCCATGTCAACGCCTTGCTCCGCGATGCTGCCGGCGGCAAGCGCTATACCCCCGTCAGCCCACAGCATTTCTCCTTCGGCCTGATCGCGCGTATTGTGCGCGAACGGTTCCCGGGTAAGGCGCGGTCGCCGGGGACGGAGCCGGCGGCGGACGAGACGCTGCCGGGGCCGAGCTACGGGCTGGATGGAGAGACGGCGGGGAGGGAGCTGGGCATCGAGTACAGGCCGTTTGAGAACACTGTGGTGGATTTGTTGCGGCAGATGGAGGCGTTGGAGGCGGCTGGGTCACGGTGAGGGGGAAAGGTGCTTCGCTCTGAGAGACGAGGAGAACGGAGGGTAGGATGGAGGGAGTACATACCGAGCTATTGTGACGATAAGATAGACTAGATAGAACGTGACATGACGCGCATTATACTTTACTGCACGATGCTATTATTACTTGTTCAGACCGTGTGCGCAGTGCTGTGCTCCCATTTGTGACTTCATCCGCCAGCTGAAGAGGCACTTGTGTGACGAAATCTTCGCCATCCCACAAAACCTAACTTCCCCACAGCAATCCCCACGAGAAACTAACGACCGAGGCTGTAAAGTTGCGCACGGCGCTCTCCCGACTTCCCGCCCTCACCTGCGCTCCCGAGATCACTTCAATGCTCTCCAGCCAGCAACTCATTGATCTCCCGCGCCAACCCGTATCCCCAGACCGTCCCCTCTATCGCGTCCACGACATCTATCGCGTCCACGACAACAAACCCGGTCGTGCTCATTGAACATGGTACTGCCACAATCCCGACCCACCGACTCCTTCTCTGCGGAAGTCGAGCAAGGGAAGGACACTGTTCTCACTTCCCGCGCTCCAAACACACACCTTTGCGACGCATCAAGCCAGAGGGCGACGCCCAACGTCATCAAGACGTTCAGTCTCTACAACCGCAAGCCTGCCCCGTTTGATTCCAGCAAGGACAAGAAGCGTCGGTTTTACGGCCCACGCTTGAACTTGGCGGAGGTCGTAGTGAACAGCACGGCCAAGACCACCACCTCTACGCCCACTTCCAGCTCGACGCCAGAAAGATCTTCGCACACTTGCAACACGCCAACTCCAGAGGACCTAGAATCTATCTCCTCCCCCACACCCGACGGTCACAATAAGACCGACACTATCACCACGGCCAATAGCACGACAATTGAAGGAGCGGCCGTCAACATCACCTCTATAATAACCGCCCCACTCGTAGCCACGCCGCCTAGACTTCCAGCTCCAAACTCACCCGCACCCTCGATGCAACGCACACCAAGCCGTTTCTTCAACCGTCCTCCCACCAGCGCTAGCACCAGCACCGACACAGACCCAGACACCCACGCCAACGCCCACACCAACACCAACACCATGGCCACACCACCACGCTCATCAGCCCCCAAACCCCCAGCCCTAGACCTTTCCCTCTCCTCCATGCTCCTCGACATCAACGCCAACAGAGGAGAAAACCGCGCAGCACTATCCCCCCTCCTCCCGACGGCGTCCTCCTCGCCCAGCTCCGCGGCATTGGTCCCCTCCCCCCTCCACGTCACCCGCCATGGCCACGTACGCCGACGCCACGCAGCGGTGATGGGCCCGTCGTTCTCGCCGTTACTGCTGTCGCCGCTGCCGCCGACGAGCCCGCCATCGAGCCCGCCACCCCTCCCTACGGCAGCGCGTCGTCATCAAAGCAGCAGCAGTAGCAGCGCCAACACCCACACCCCCGCTGGCTCGACTACCCCGGGCTGGATGATGATGAAGATGATGAGCGATAGTATGACGATGACCACGACGACGAACAGCAACAGCGTCAGCAGCGCCGCGTTCACGACGTCGACGACGACAACCATGACGCCAATGACATCGCCCGTACTCTCACCCTACGTAACAAGCTCTTTTGGGCGCAACAGCAGCAGCGGCGGCGGCGGCGGCGACGAATCCTCGGCGTCGTGGAGGCAGCAGCAGCAGCAATCCGTGACGACGACAACGACAAAGACGCCCCGCCGTCTGCTTTTCCCTCCGCGGGACGGGGCGCGGCGGGTGGCGGCGGTGGTGGAGGGCGTGGTGGTGGTGGGGGGATCTGCGTCTGCGTCTGCTCCTGCCGCTTCTCCTCCCATCACTTCTCCCGTCGACACCACTTCTTCCGCCTCGGACGCTTTCTTCTTCTCGGCGGCGGCGGCGTCGTCGTCGTCGTCGTCGTCGCCGCTGCTGCTGGGGGACAACGGCGGACATGGACGTCGTGGTGGTGATGGTGGAAAGTCACGCGCGCCACCGAGGAATGGCACGGTGGACCGGCGGCGGCAGCAGAACACCGGCGGCAAGAAGGGGGAGGAGAAGAAGAAGAAAACCAACCGCGGGGCCGATGACGACGACGACGACGACGACGGGAAGGACAGCCGCAGCGGCGGCACCAGCTATGCCGAGCAGATCGAACGGCTGGAGCGCGAAGTCCTGGCGCTGCTGTTCCCCGTACGGACCGCACCGCCGCCTTCATCTCCACCTCCCGCGCTCGATCCGAGCCTACGAGACGAAGACAAAAACGAAAACGAACCCGAAGCCCTGATGTACGCCCTCATGCGCGAAGCGGAAGAAGAAGGCGAAGACGACGACGACCACGACGACGACGACTACGACGACGACGGCTCCGACCGCCACCGGAGGCATCTTCGGGGAGGACGGGATGAACCGCCGATGCAGGAGGGATGCCAGGAGAAGGAGAAGGAGACGGCGCGCCCGTTTCGCCGGCGCAACATCGTGCGCCAGTGCTCCGGCCCGCCGCCGGCCATGAGCCTCCCGGAGCTTCCGCCGTCGCTGCTGCTGCAGCTGCCGCGTCGGTCCGCGGGTCTGCGCGGTTAGGAGGGAGGGAGGGAAGGGGCGTCGTGGTGTGCGTTTGCTTCGAGAGTGGGTGGGGGTGTGGGGGATGGGGGTTGAGATGGTGGGATGGGTTGGGCTGGGAAGAGAGAGAAGGAGGGAGGGAGGGGTTGGTTGGGCCGGGCTTGCTAAGGCGATTCGGGTCTTGATTCTGTAATGGGTGTTTTTAGTTGATTTTACTACTCGTTTGGCAAAGGATTCGGGACAGGGTTTCCTTCATAGTGCTGGGGAAAAGCGGTCTTTTCATCTCAGAGGTCACTAAACAGGGGGGCAAGTAGAAAGAGGGTTTAGCTTCCATTTCGACGAGAAGGTGGTGGAATAACCCCTATACAGTTAGACGATAGTAGCGCTGCTGTCATGATTAGTGGCACCGTCTCTACATACCACCCCCTTGCGTCTCGTCCTCGCTCTCTCCATGCACCACCCAGTCCGTCTCGTCCTCGCTCTCTCCATGCACCACCCAGTCCGTCTCATCCTCGCCCTCCTTCACCGGCTTCTTGAGTTTCCTCATCTCCCGAACCCGCTTGTTCCAGTTTGATTTCTCAAAAGCGAGGTTGATGGCAAACGGTGTGTTATTGACGACCCAGTTGAGGTTTCGCACCCAGATGGGTGAGGAGTCGTCGTCCGCTACTTCCAAGGTGGCGGCGTCGTTACAGGGCTTTTCGAAGTTACTCAGCAGCGTCTGTCCCCAGGCCGCTGTAATAAACAGATGGGCGTACTGTGCATCCCTCGCGCTGCAGGGAAAGCAGATAGGATAGGCAAATACCTCCAACTCGGGCTGAAGACAGCGCTCTACAGAGGCAGAGGTGTCCGTTTCAAGCGCCAACTGTCGGATGACCTTGGAGAAGCCTGCTATGAAAGGTAGAGTTAAGTCGGCGGTGGAGTTCCCGTTCAAGTCTTTCAAATTTCGAGTAAATCCGAAGTGGGTTAGCGGAAATGATTGCATCGGTGAATCCCATTCGGCTTCCGCTATTTCCTCGATCCGGTGCAAGAGAGCTTCGCAGGTTTCCAGGAGATCGATCATAGCATCTGACTGACGTTCATCCTGTGGCTTTATGAAGTAGCTCCAGGCGAATGATCTGAGCGATTTGCACTCCTCGTCTTGTCTTGCCCACTGGTCGAATTTAATAGCTGCCACGCCCCAATCCCATGGGTTTCTTTGTAGATAGTTCAGAGCTGCCTTCACCGCTTCGTGGAGATGTCCCGGGGTCACAAAGTCTCCATCCATCCCAGAGAGCGTGAGCATGTAGATACAGGGTCTCTGGTCACAATGTTTGATGTATGACTTGAGTACTTCGTTCTTTTTAGCGTCCCTGGGGAGGGTATTCTTGACAATGGATTCGAGAACGGGGTGAGTCATGGTTGCGAGAAAGGGCATGGTGTTCTTGATCCAGTCAGATGGTGTCATGCGCACTTTTGCGAAGTCACCGTTATTCCGTCGCAGAGAGTCGAGGACGGAGAGTTGTAAATAAGCGAGATGTCTCCTGTCGACCATGGCTCTGCAGTCGCTAACGTCGCAACTTGTTGAAATATTGCGGTGGTGTAGGAAGGGTTCCACGAGCACCTGGCGGATCCGTTGATCCCGCACTGGGGGGCCGTCCACATCACTTCTCCAATATTCATACTCGGTTTTCCACTGAATTGCCTTCTGGCCCTCACAAAAGAATGTTGTGGGATTTGGGATGGGAAGAGGAGCCAAGGCTGACAACACGCGGAAGAATGTTCTCTGACGACCCAGAACCGTCAAATCGGACTCGTCCAGCGTACCCCAAATATCGCCGAAGTGATTAAGTGTTTGACGGAACTCATGGATGCCGCTGGATCTCAGTCGTGCGCGAGCGTTCGTCTGCCTTGTATCCGCATCTTCCCTCGTAGAGGTGTGGCGAGTCCGGAAGGCCAACATTGTTCTGGTATAGAAAGTAATGCTGGGGGAATGGTATGCTGAAACTGATGTATAGTAGCTTGTTACGAAAGATATGGTAACGTGTGGGATGGATGGATGTGGAGTTTACAGGAGAGGGAGGCTGATACAAGGCGAGGAGATGTGTATGCATGTATGTACCTATCTCATTGGAGAAGCAGCTACCTATGCGACTCCCACGTTCGCTCTGGCTGGCTGGCTGGCTGGCTAGGTGCACCCCACCGGGCAAGCTCGTCCGAGGAAGCAAGTGACATGCGTACCTAGGCAATCGGTTATAGGTGGCCAATTCGAGAAGGCGCAGATGCAAGAGCGGCGAGGGCGAAGCAGGAGCAAAGCAGCAGCGAAGCAGCAGCGCGAGGAAAGCAGGGGGTTGTGCTTCGGCAAGCGAGTCAAGAGGCGACGCGGTTGCCGGCGCTAGCGCTGGGAGCTTCTCTGCGGCTGGCGACTGGGGGAGGCAGAGATGCAAAGCGAGCATGACTCGCCTGTGGGGATCCAGGACGCGCTCAGACTCCCCACCGGCCGGCGATCGTCAACCCACCTTAATCTCACTTCTCCGCACCCCCTGTCCAGCCTGGAGAGCTCCCTCACGGCCTCCGCCATGTGCCTGCCGCGCTCCTGACCCGCCCACAAATCGCCTGATCCGGAGTGGCCAGCGCCCCCCGCCTGTGCCACCTCGCCGCCGACCATGCCCCAGTCCGACGCCTGCAGTCTTCCCGGCCACCGGCGATCCTCGCGCCCCTCCACCGATCGCAGATCGCGCAAGCCGTGGCAGAAGCGCGGTCCTCTGGCCTCGTGGAAAATGCGTCCTCCCGGCTCCAGCGACGACCGCCTGAGTCGCCACACCACTCGCGCCTCGGCCCACAGGCGTGACAGGTGGTGGCAGATCCGGTGGGGCAGAGGCCTGGTCCATGACATCCGCCGCCGAGCCCCGTACTACCTTTCCGACTGGACCGACGCGTGGGACTATAGGGTCGTCCCTGCGACCATCTACATGTATTTCGCAAAGTAAGGCTGCTCGTACATCGATGCCTGTTGATCAATGCCAACATGCCGCCAGTATTCTCCCCGCCCTGGCCTTTTCGCTAGACATGTTTGCAAAGACGGACTCGAGCTTCGGCGTCAATGAAGTCTTGCTGGCTTCTGTGCTTGCCTCCTTCGTCTTCTCCATTTTCTCCGCCCAGCCTTTGGTCATCGTCGGCGTCACTGGTGAGCATTAGCCGCGACTTCATCGTGGAGCATTCGCTGATGCCAACAGGCCCCATCACTGTTTTCAACTATACCGTACGTCCGTCATGACCATCTCTCGACGCTGGCACTGACAGTTTAGGTGTACGACATCATCGTCCCACATGGCATCAATTACTTTTCCTTCATGTGCTGGATCGGCTTGTAAGAACCCGTAAAGACTGCCACGTCGCCTCCGCAAGCTGCCGGCCTCGCTGACCGAGTTCCAGATGGTCACTTGTCATGCACTGGATTCTTGCCATCACGAACGCCTGTAACTGGTTGAAATATGTCACTCGCTTCTCCTGCGACATCTTCGGCTTCTACGTTGCTTTTATCTACTTGCAAAAAGGAATCCAAGTCCTGACGCGCCAATGGGAGGCCGGCGACACATCAGCCTACCTTTCGATCATGATCGCTCTTCTAGTCCTCATGGTGGCCTACATTGGAGGTGTTGTTGGCAACAGCACCCTTTTCCATAGATATGTACGAAAGTTCATCGAGGACTACGCCACCCCTCTCACCGTCATCTTCTTCACCGGCTTCACCCACATCGGGAAGATGGAAGGCATAGAGCTTCTCAAGCTTCCCACAAGCAAAGCCTTCTACCCCACCACCGATCGGGGATGGTTCATCCATTTCTGGGACATCAAAGTCGGAGAAGTCTTCCTCGCCATCCCCTTCGCCATCCTCCTAACCATTCTTTTCTACTTCGACCACAACGGTAAACTCTCCTCACCTTTGCATTTCCCCCTCTCACCGCTCGCTAACAGCCAATCCCACCCCACAGTATCCTCCCTCATCGCCCAAGGCACCGAGTTCCCCCTCCGCAAACCCGCCGGTTTCCACTGGGACATCTTCCTCCTGGGCCTCACCACGGGCGTGTCCGGCCTCCTCGGGATCCCCTTCCCGAACGGGCTCATCCCCCAAGCCCCGTTCCATACCAACGCGCTCTGCGTGACGCGCACCGTCTCGGACGCCGACGACGACGAGGCGAACAAGGGCCACCGCACGCGCCGCGTCGTCGACCACGTCGTCGAGCAGCGCGTCTCGAACCTCGCGCAGGGCCTCCTCACGCTCGGCACCATGACGGGGCCCCTCCTCATCGTGCTGCACCTGATCCCGCAGGCGGTCCTGGCCGGCCTCTTCTTCGTCATGGGCGTGCAGGCGCTCGAGGGCAACGGCATCACGGCCAAGATGGTGTTCCTCGCCCGCGACCGCGCGCTGACGACGGACGGCGTGCCGCTGCGCCGCGTGCGCCGCCGCGCCGCCGTGTGGGCCTTCGTCGCGCTCGAGCTCGTCGGCTTCGGCGCCACCTTCGCCATCACCCAGACCATCGCGGCCGTCGGGTTCCCCGTCTTTATCTTGCTGCTGATCCCCGTGCGGACGTGGGTGCTGCCGAGGTGGTTCACTGCGGCCGAGTTGGCCGCGTTGGACGCGCCGACGGCGAGCCCGTTTACGATGGAGAGTGTCGGGGGGATTCACATGGAGGATTCGGATAGTGCTAGTGCGGCTGAGGAGCGGGAAGTGGGAGAGGAAGCGGAAGCGGGAGTCGGGGCGGGGAGTGCGAGTCAGATTGAGGAGAGCGATGAGGCGGAGAGGGGGGAGGCGGCGGGGTATTTGAAGACAAGGGAGCAGCAGAAGCAGAAGCAGCAGCAGTATCAGCAGCAGCAAGGGGGGAGCGGGAGTGTGAGGAGGGCGAGTTTCAGGCACGATGAAGATGGGAAGGAGGGGATTGAGCTAGCGGATGTGAATAGGGTCCGGTGAGACGGGGGGCGTGTTCGTTTGAGCGAGCGGTCAATTTAGTGTGGTGCTCTTTCGAACTGACTTTTCTTCGTTGGATTGGGAGATTTGGATGAGAAGGACGTGCAGCTGCTCGTTGTTGCCAGCTGATTGGAATAAAATACGCAGAAGCTAGAATTTACCTACGTTGGATGCTCTTGGCTTGTAATTATAACTATCGAACATACTTCAAGTCCTCTTGACTAGGGTGCTGTGGTTTGTCTTTGTTGTGGTAAAAACTCACTGCTCGACACGAGCGATTGAAAGCCTCGGACTTCATCCGGGTCCCCAAGATTAGCCTCACCGTCAGCGTCTATGTCCGTAGCTCTCGCAGGTGCGAACAAGTTTGTTCGAGTCTACCGTCGAGCCTGTAGGAATTGATGACACCTCAACAGTCAAACATGAGCTTGAAAGTTCGGAGTCTCCTACCTCTCCTACCCAAAAATCTCCTACTCTGCTCACTCAAGAGTCTCCTGCTCCACACACCCCAGAGGCTCTTACTCCACCCACACAGGCGTCCCCTGTTCTGCACACCTTGGCAATCAAACATGACCTTGGAATTTCCGAGACCAATCTTGTTGTACGGCCGGCGAAGAGGCGGCTTACGCAGAAGGATGGCAGTCCTGCCAAGTAGGCACCTTGTCTCTCTGAATGAATCTTCGCTGCTTTTTTTTTTCTTCCAACGACGTAGTTGCAGCCTTGATAGCGGGCCGATGGCGGAAAGCACCTGTTTTTTAATTTTTATTTTTCAAAAAAGTCCGTGGAGACTGACAAGTGCTGCTGAGCCGGGGGATGTGTTCGGCATAGCTGCCGAGGACGATGCGGGAGTGAGCTTTCCATCGAGATAAAGTTGGGCACAGAGTGTGTTGGACGTGCATTTTACCTTGGCTGAGTTTGAGTTCAGAAACCGTGGCTAAAAACTGTTATTGGAGTCGGCGAAGCGGGGAGTCCGACGTCATTGCGTCTCTAATGGGAAGTCAATATTTCCTAGCCAGTAGAAATGCGAAAAGACCTGGTTGCTGTAATAAAATAGCTTCCCAGCCCCCTCGTCACTCGTTGCCGCGTCTGTTTCCTACCCGGGATTCCCAGATTAGCCATGCGGCATGACATCAGTCGAGGCTATGACAACATCGGTGCAACCATCGCCGATGACTGCCGTTCCTGAAGCGTCGATTGGGGGCCATGCCAGAAAATAATAATTCAGCCCACCGCGCACTGTGTTTACAACAAACACTACGCTGCCAAGGCTGTCCTGTCGAACGCCGCACGCCGCACGCCGCACGCCGCATGGCTGCGCAGCGGGAACGGAGACTCGACCGCGGAAGCGGGCCGATTGGAAGAAAGGTGAAGCTTTGAACCCCGGAGTACGCACAGACAGGGTCCAGAAGCCAGAGGACGATGACGAAAATTTGAGCGGATCGATAAGCAGCCGACGCTAAAGACACGACAAACAACAGGTTGGTCCGTTGGGCGAGGGCGACGGACAGGGTGTTGTATACAGAACACCTACACGGTTATACGCGCAGGCCCCGTGGCCCCATATAGGAAGAATGGAATTGGCCGGCGCTGAGTGGCCTGTGGGGCACCGGGTCCCGTGAGCCCGAGCAAGGAGAAGCGCGACGCGTGCTGCAAGGCGGCAGCGACGCGTCTGTTGGGCAACAATCCAGAGCTCCAGAGCGTCCCTTGGCTCGCTGCGTGTGTGACTTGCGCCGGTTTGCCGGGGGGGCGGAGCGTGGCCCAGGGCGTCGCATCTAGGTGAGGCTGCTCCGCCGCTGCGTCAGCACAGCGCCCGAGCAGAGGCCACCGGCCCAGCAAAGGGGTACAAACAAGCCCAGAGCGCGTGCGAGAGCCGACAATATTTTTCCTCCTGCCTGCCCGCGAGGCATGTAAACCTCCCGCCATCGCTCCCGTCCTGCGCCCTTGGCTCGCCACCCTTGGCTGCTTCGCGTACGTGAGCACGGCAAAATCCAAATAACGCGACCTCCGCTGCCGGTCCGAGCCTCACAGCTTCGTAAACGACATCAACCTGCCCGCCGGCCAGCCACCACCCAGCCCCGAACACCAACCCTCGCGCCTCCTGCGAGCTCCCGCTGCACCTGCTCCGCCCATTGACCCCGCTGCCTCGCCCGCTGCTGCGCCGTCCGAAGGTGAGTCGCTGCCCTTGCCCACCCGCTTCTGCAGCCGGGGCCGTCCCAGCACCCGTCCTGCAGCGCTGCTGCAGTACCGAGCTCACCACCTGCGCCCGCCCTGCGCTCCCGCTGCTGCCCGGCCCCGGCTGCAACCCATCACCACCTGCGCCGCCGGCAATGACTGACCGCGACCAGCCTCCAGACACCATGCCTCCGAGAGGCAGCCGCGGCGGTCGCGGCGCAAAGCGTGAAGTCGCCCAGGAGCCGCCCGACACGCCTGCTTCCATCGAGACGCCTACTCGCAAGAAGAGAAGAGTAAGCTCGCCCGTTCGACGCCAACCGCTCCCGCAGCCGCAACCAGTAACAGCGACCCAGCTGAACAACCCCGACGCTGCTGAACCGCGAGTCCCGACCCGTCCGCCCTCCGCCCAGAGCGACCGAACAATAGGAACCGACGACGAGGATGACAACAAGGAGAAGCCCACCCCCGAGGAGCTCTTGACCCAGGTCGTCCCGCTGCTCCGTGTTGCCAACTACGTCACGAACGCCCAGGTCGAGCTCTCCAACGAACTGCAGAAGCGTGATCCCGCCATCGCCGAGAAGGGCAGCACACAGGCTTACGCCAAGATTGAGGGCCACAATTGGGTCTTCTTTGCAAAGTCGACCCACGTCGTCATCGGCAGAGGCGAACACGGCTACTCCGCACGCCAGGCGAACGAAAACGGCGGCACGCCCACCCAGCAAACCGACCAGTCCAGCAGCTTCTATGGCCAGCAAACACCCACTGCTTCCGAAAAGGTCCACATCGACCTCGGCCCCGACAAGCAAGTGTCGCGCATCCACGCCTGGATCGACTATGAGCCCGATGCGAACTCGTGGTTCGTTCTTGTCAACGGCCGCAACGGCCTCAAGCTGGACGATCGGACTCTTACGCGTGGCGAGAAGGTCAAGCTGCACTCCGGTTCCGTGATTGGGGTTTGTGGCACTGAGATGATTTTCGTGTGCCCTGGCGAGTCGATCGATGTTCACCCGTCGATTATCGCACGCGCCAGGCAGGGTGAGTCTGGTGAGGGCGAGGATGGTCAGGACGAGAGCTCGTTCCACCAGATGAACAACGGTCATGGAAAGACGGCTGGATCTCAAGGAGGTCTGGCTCCAACTAGCGCTCCGTACAACGGCTCGAATGCTCGCCAGCACGGCCAATACAACCAGAGTCACTCTTACCAGGCCCATCCGTCTTCATCGGGCCCTTTGGCGCCCAACACTCCCATTCCCTCGCGCACTAAGCAGTCTCCTAAAATCAAGACATCTCCCTCTGGAGCCTACTCCCGTGGGGTCATGCTTGAGAGCACGGAGCACATTGACTACAGCGCCGACAGTGCAAAGGACCTGAAGCCCCCGCACAGCTACGCCCAATTGATTGGACAAGCCATCATGTCGTCTCCCGAAGAGCAGCTGACTCTGGCCAATATTTATGAGTACATCAAGAAGCACTATGCATTCTACCGCTACAGCGGCGGCGGATGGCAGAACTCGATCCGTCACAACCTCTCGCTAAGCAAGCATTTTGAAAAGGTCGCGCGCCGCACAGACGAGCCGGGTAAGGGTATGAAGTGGCGGCTGGTTCCGGAGGAACGCGAGAACTTTCTGAAGAAGGGCATCCACAGCCGCAAAACCCGCATGGGATCTTCCGGACCTAACTCTCCGGCGATCGCCCAGGCCAGCGAACGTCTGCATGGAGCCGTCACCGTCATTCCCGAAGTCCAAACCCCGTCCCAACCGTCCAAGTTCCGTGTCAAGGAGTCCCCCCGCTCCGTTACCCCGCCGCTGGCCAGTTATCCGACGGCAAATGAATCCTACACGCCCGATCGTGGCCCACAACCACAGCGCAAACTCCAGCTCAACAGCGATCAGATCTTCACCCCCATCAACGATCGCAAGGCTATTTTCACATCCATGCCAGCCACAACCTTTGGTCGCGCGTTGGAGCAAGAGAGCAATGTGCGCAGTTCGGGGGCGGTCATCGATAGCAAGACAGAACCGGGTCCCACGCCGCGTCCCCGCTCTTCGCTGGACCTGTCCTACTCGCCGCCGCCCACAAACGGCTACAAGACGGTTGGCCTGGACCTTCCGGAGACGTTCAACGGTCTCGTCACGCCCCTTGTTGCCAAAAACAAGCCACATCTCGCCCCTCCCAGCACAGCCAAGATGCCTAGCCAGTACTGCTACCTAAGCTCGCCCGCGCCATTCTGGAAATTCGCCGATCTGGGATCCACGCCTGCCCGCCCGTACGTCGATTTTAGCCCAAGCAAGGACTCAAGACCGTTTAGATTCGGAAATGATGAGGAGAACGAGAAGGACGAGGGCGATGATGACGAGGAGGAAGAGGAAGAAGAGGAGGAGGAGGAGGAAGAGGTTGAAGCTGGGCCGGTGCAACCAAGCTCACCACCTGTCGTTATGGGGGACACGGCAAGTCGAAGCCGGGATGGGTCCAACTCGGGAGAGGGAGACTCGCAAGAGCTGTCTCCAGCAACACCCACTCGCCCGAGCAGTCGCCGATTCAATACAGCTGAGGAGGTGGCGGTGAAGAAGCAGCTGCCCACACAGCTGGAGGGCGATGATAAGGACGAAGACGGTATCGATCTCATGAAGTAAGTGATGTTGGCTTGGATGCAGCGCTGAGATTGGTCTAACGAGCCGCAGGGGATTCCAAGGAATTGGGAGTTTCCACCGCGGACTCAATCAAAGCACTGGCTTCATCCGCCGTGGTTAAGCTCTACGGCAGTGCTAAGGTTGATCCAAGGAGGCGATACGCGGATCCAGCTACGACAAATGTGTGTGTGTGTGTGTGTGTGTGTGTGTGTGTGTGTGTGTGGGTTACGGCCTACGGGCCTAGCTAGAGGGTGTTTGGGTGTGCAGGTGCTCCTCTGAGTTGGTTCGGGTTCTGTTCTTGTAGCATGATGTGTATCATGCAGCTCATTCCCCAAGTGTGTTTGTTTGTCATTCTTCGGCTTCCTGCCCTAGCTGCGCTCCGTTCGGGCTGGGCTTTTGATTCGGAGGGCGGTCGAGTGCAGCGTTCTCTTCGTTCTAGTCCTGGATGCTTATCTCATGGCTTGCGTGCTTGTTTGGATTGAGTTGCAAACAGCGACGACGGTTGGCGATGTGTCTGGGAGGCGACGTGATTGAGTGGTTTAGGTAACGTACGAAGAAGGATTCGCGGATTGTTGCAATGTGTTGGACGAGTGAGAGACTCGGGCGGGTTACACAGAGGCTGGCTAGTTGCGACGCGCGCGGCCAGCTGGACCCTGTCGCGATGTGCAAACGTGCTTGCATGCCGATGTCGTGCAGGGTGTGCGAGTAGTGCTCGCTAGAAGCCCATTGCGGAGGGGAAGGGCCAGGTTTCTGCGGTCGGCAGCCGCATCCCCGACTCAGAACCCATGCGGGCCCGGGGTGCAGGCACATCACAATTCACCATCATCGACCTGGAGAACGCGCGCAGGCGAACGCCCGCAGAGCCTCGTGCGCATCCGCCTGGCCGTTCTCTTCGCCGCCAGCGCCTGCCTGCCTGCCTGCCTGCCTGCCACACATCCGCCCGCTGCCGCCCAGCGTCGGCCGGAGCTGCAATGCCTGGAACTCCGCATCCGAGCGGAGCCTAACCAATCAGCCCCACGACCCGCAAGCCCACCACTCAGCCCGGTTCCTTCGACGACACGTTTTCAGCGGCGCCGCCGCAACGCCGGAAGCACTTGCGACCAGCGAGGCAGATCTCCCTTCCACCAGCGCCCATCCCAGCCGCAAAACACCCGGCCGAGACCCGATGCCGCCAGCGAGGAATTGAAAGGAGTTCCCGAGAGAGAGGGCGCTCGTGCCAGACGCAACCCCAAGGCCCGTAATTCTCCCCTGACGGCCCAGCTCCGTCTCCCATAGCTCCCAAATCTCCGCCCGCCGGCGCCTGAACTTGTCTCCAAGCGGCCCGTTGCGCGCCCCTCCATCCGAACAAACCCTCGACAACACTCTCCCTTCCCCCCAAACCCTCCCCCAACACCACGCCCGCGACCCGCGCCATAGCCGGCTGGGAGAGCTGCGGATTCCAGGCAACCACCCGCACTTTCGTCAGCCAGCGCGCGCGCATTACGAGATCCAGCTACGTCGCCCACCCCCGTTCGCGCCGCGCGTCGGTCCAGCTTCTAGCTTTCTTCGCCGAGGACCAAAAAAAACTTTGAGGTTGGGAAGGGGAAAAACAAACACGTCATCAGCGCCTTTTCGAGGCTGAAGAATCGCCGCCCCAACAACAACCCGCGACAACAACCATGAATTCCTTGCGGCAATCGTGTCGCCCCAAGCACCAGGTGCTGATTCTGAAGTGCTACCCGCGCCTGCAGAAGGGATACCGCGAGGAGGAGGTCAAGCCCAACAGCTCCGAGCTGAGCTACCTGCTCTTCTACGCAAGCTCGCGGAGAACCAAGCTGGTCAAGGTCGGCGACTTTTTGGACAAGAGGACCGCCGGGGATGTTTGGAGGAGCAGAATCGCGTAGGTTTTCCCCGATGCATGACTTCGCGCGCGGGCTGCGAGGCGGGCTGCCGCAAGGATTGCTTCGCCGCTTGCTTGGGCGAATCGATACTGACTGACTCTCTCGCGCAGGAGCGTCCTTGTCACCCTACAGATCCTCCAGGCGCTGATCGAAAAATGCCCGAAAGACATCCCGCTCTATGCGAACAGCGTCCTCAGCGTCTTGCGCACCGTCCTCCGCTCCAATGATGTCACCATGGTCGAGGCATCCGTGCCCATGTTCGAGGCCTTCTGCGAACACCAGGATCCGGCGGCCCTCGCTGCGGACAACGAATACCTCACCCAGTACGAGGAAATCGTGCAACTGTACGCGCAGTTCTCAAACAAGGAGGACCAGCAACCCGCGCAGGCTGGTGTACCCCTGAGCTGGCCTGTCGCCATTCGATTCCGGAAGGCCGGCCTGCGCGCGGTCAAGGCTGTGGCTGGCTCGGAAAGCTTGAGTGCCGGCAAGCAACTGGATGTCATAGTTCCCGTCATTCTCGTCAACTTGTACGCGGAAAACGGTGCTTACCTGACCCGGCTGGAAATTCGGGACAAGGAGAAGGAGCATCATGACAAGGAGACCGCATACGCCAGGAGGAAAAGTACGTCGACGGTACCTGGGGAGAATGAAGGAGACGCACTTGCCGCCTCGGGAACCACGGAGGACGCGGACAAGATTGCCGAAGAGGAGGCTGGAATCATCGCGCTTCAGGCGTTACGGAACATCTTCACGATTGTCAGCCGGGACCAGTTACGACGGGCCACCCTCGCAGCGCTGAAGTTCATTACGTCAAAAACCAAGTCGAGCGAGCATTTCCCCAACGGCGTCGTCGACGGTTCGTGGCCGGCAGAGCTGTGTGGTATGATGTGCAGTTGGGCGCCTGTTCAGGACCGCTACGTTATCCTTGTCACTGCTTCCAGTTCGCTGGTCCGGAGTAATGCTGTCGAGAGTGACTTTGAGCGGCAATACATCCTGGCCTCGCTCGTCGCTTGGCTCCTCGGCGATCTGCGCATCAACTTCATCGGCCTGAGCGTCATGGATGTGCTGGTTGGCTTGATGGGCCACATCCTTACGCTCCTGCAAGTGGGCGGCCCTGCTTCTCTCATGAACGGAATGGATGCAAAGGCAAGCAAGGACAGCATTGCAGCTCCTCAGGAAAGCACCGCCGATGCCAGCGAGCGGGCGACGACACCAAGCGAAGCGCGACAAAAACTCGTACAACAGCTGAAGAAGTGCGTGTCGAACCTGGCGACGCACATCTACTACACCGACCAGATTCCCGACATGCTTACCGCCGTTCTCTCCCGTTTGAAGCCGGCCGGTGCTCCCAACAACTCCATGGCTTCCAACACCGCGGCGGCCATTGAGGATCCCAGAGGTACCGTCGAGTCGGTGGCCAGCTCAGCACACCTGCACGAGAATCCGGGCGCGGACAACTTCTTCTCGTTTGAAACAGCGAGAGTGATTGCTCTGGAGGCTATCAAGGATATTCTGCACATTGCAAACGCGCATGGCAAGGATGTGGCCCGCGGAAAGGGCCACGTCGGTCGGAGCCGCACCGGTGTTGATACGTGGGAAGGCACGCAGTGGTTGCTCCGCGACCCCGGTCCCAAGGTGAGGAGGGCGTACGCGGACGCACTGCTCGTCTGGTTGGAGTTGGAGCTCAAGAAGACGGACCTCCGAGCAGTGCCCGAGGCCTATTCCTCCGGCAAGGGCGAGAAGAAGGAGAGGAAGGAGGGCGACAGTCTGGTGCGGAGAGCCGTCAGCAACGCGACCAGCCCGGGCTCACCGAGGGACAAGAGCCCCAGGAGATTCCGGACGAGCTTCCTCCAGTTGCTTCACCTCGCCGTGTACGAGAACGCGCACCAGTTTGCGTCTGCAAACGGGCTGGAGGCCGACCAGGAGATTCTGATTCTGCACCTTCTCTTGACTCGCCTGGTGGCAAAGCTTGGGGTCAACGCTCTCTGCACCGGTTTGCCGATGGTTTTCCGTCTGCAGGAGGACATCCCGACTATCGAGGGCGCAGCGGCGAAGGTTCGCCTTGGTAGTCTGGTCCACGGCTACTTCTGGGCGCTTTCTACCAGCTTCAACTTCGCTGCCAGTCACTCCGGAATGGTGATCGGGAACGAGATCAACCGGCGAAAGGAGGCGGGTATGTGGTTGGAGGGCGTCTCTGTGCCGCCCGCCGAATTCAAGGATATCGAGTCGGTGGCAGGTCTGAAGGGCTTGCCGGCCGAGGTGGTTGACCACCAGGCGCTCAAGCCATTCGACAACCGTCAGGATCTCGTGGATCACATTGCGGAGGGATACACGGACAATGTTTACTCACCGCCCAACAGCGCCCCCGGCAGTCCTAACCGGTCATTCTCTGTCTCTCTTAGCATTCCGAACATTTCTGGCGGTGGATTCATGGATGATCACAGGGACTCTCAGCTCCCGAAGTCGAATGTCCTGCCGCAGAAGGTCAGAGACCAGATGCTGGAGTCCTGGAACAAGGAAGAGGTGCTCGCGGCCATGGCATCAAACCAGGACGCCAGTTCGCAGTCGGGAAGCCTCAGCATCTCGCACCGGACCAAGCGAGCCCACACGTACTCCTCAGTGGCTACCGCCGGAGGTGACGCGCGGGCATCGAACGGATACCTGGGCGTCACCATCCCCACCGGCCACGTCAGCCCCATGCCGTCGCCTTCGATGATGAACCACTATCACCGCTCCGCCCTGTCCGGCTTGAACGACGGCAACCGCGGCGGCCCCAACTCGAGCTCGTCGGCGCGCTCGGCCATCCGCCTCGACGACCTCAAGCGGGTCCTGTCGGAGAAGGGCGAGAACCCGCTGCCCATGACGCGCCGCGGCCGCAGCGCAGAGGGCGACGACGACGACGCCGGCGACAGCGACAGCATGGTCTCGGCCGACTTCAGCACCAGCGAGTACAGCTACGCCGCACCGGGCTCCAGCTACAGCCACGGCACCACCGAAGAAGGCGGCGGCAACAGCAATCAAACGCGCCCACCCCTCTCCACCATCCCTTCGTCCTCCATGGGCCTCGACGACGTCGCCGCCGACCCCTACGCCCCGCCCGTCCCGCACATCCCCGCCGCCTTCGCGGGCGAAGGCACCCCCGCCATGACGACGACTCCTCCCCCACCACAATCGTCTGCCGACGCCTCCGCTGCTGCCGCCGACGCGGCGGGCCAGCAGCGCCCCCGCACCGCGACGCAGGGCTCGCGCAACAACAGCCTCGCCGCCGGCGCGGGGACGACGGCCAACGGCACCGCCCGCGCCAGCCGCAGCGTCAAGAGCCGCGCCGGCCAGAGCACCAAGAGCGGCCGCGGCCGGTCCCGGAGCAGGAGCGTGGTGACGACGGGAGGAGGGGGCAGGCGGATGGACGTGGGCGGTCTGCTGGCTGGGATAGGCGTGGACGGGGATGATGACGATGATGACATTCTTGGTAGGGGGGGTGCTGCTGGGCACGGGGGGAATGGTGGGGGGTTGTTGGGGGTGGTTAATGCGCCGTATTGATTGTCTTCTTTTGTTCTCTTTTTTCTTTTCTCTTTTTCTTTTTTAGGGGGTCAAGAGGGTAGGGTAGGGATGGAGATTGTTGCTCTCGATAGAAAGGGGTGGGGGGTTTGACAACACCGGGCTTTTAAAAGTACCTGGGAGTAGTTAGTGTGTGGGAGTAGTCTGGGGGATTGATGGGATACCACCGCGTTTTTCTTCCCCTGTTCTTCATATACTTTTTCTTCTTCCTTTACCACAGTCGCCACTGCTACCTGGCTTTCTTGTCGTCGTCGTCGTCCTGCGCTGTTCGTCGCTTTCATCTCGAACTTTGCGCCTTTGCGGCTCTTGCTTTCACTTTTTCCTTCTTTGTTATTGTTTGCCGAAAACTTTGAATCTTGTTCATATGAAAACCTACCTTTTTCCTCTTGTTAGGGGTTCACACCAGCGAAAGAAGACAGACGTTATGCATAAACTCTGGGGGTTCCTCTTTTCTTGGTATTTTCGTTGCGCTTTTTTTTTTCTGTCTGACATAGGGCCCGGCTGCTGGGGCGGGCGTAGTAAGGGAGCTGACCAATACGGTTTTTCCTTAATTCCAATATCCAAATCTCTAGTTTTTTTTTCTTTTTCTCGAGCTGTTAGGTAGTCATGTTGTATTGTTTTTGTTTTGTGGCGTTTGCTCGTGTCTTGTCTTGTCGTCTATCTCTCTCTCTCGCTCTCTCGCTCTCGCTCTCTCTTACTAGTGCGTCTCTTTGCGTCTCGAGACTGTTTATGTGGCTGTCTAGTTATCTGTCTATTGTTGTTTCTATGTATGGATTTCTCTCGCTTTCTCTTTTTTTTTTTCCTTGTCTTCTTACTCTTTAGCCCTGGTAGTCGGCTTTGCGGCCTCTCTCGGCAAAAAAGTACGTAGATAGTTGTAGATACCAACACCGCCTGTACGTGATTAGTATCGTCGTCGTCGTCGTCGTCGTTGTCATCATCATGAAATTTCTTTTTTTTTCCCAAATTGGTTTTCGTCATGCTTACGCATTTAACAGCGTCTCGCATACTGATTTCTTTTTGTCTCCCTTTATGTATGTATGTACATATATCCCCGCCCGCTCTTCCTTAGTCAGGTCTCGTCTTTGATTTTTCTGCTTCTCCTTTTCTTTTTCCTCTTTTTCCTTCCGATCCGTGCGGGTCGAAGAGATGCCATTCTGTGGTTGGTTGCCGCGCGCTGCCACCGGCCATCAACTGGCCGGCTGGGACCTGCTCTGCGCACGGTATGGATGGATGGATGGACGGATGGACATGTCGTCGTCGTCGTCGTCGTTGAGAAAAGGATTGAGGAGGGAGGGTGGGGGTGGCGCGGGGCGGGGCGGGGCGGGGCGGACTGGGGACGATGATGTGTGTGTGGCGTGTATGTAATAATGGGTCTCGTGTTATATACACACACATATATATATGTGGTTGCGATGTTTGAAAAGTGTGCGTTGGCGGTTGGAGGGAGAATGTGTGTGTGTATGTGGTTGTATTCCCGTTGTTGCTCGCGTATGTAATAAGGGGTTTGGTCAGGTGTGGCGGTTGTGGTGTTGACAGGGTACGTAGGTGAGAGGAAGACGATGTCGATGTCGTCGGTGCAGACGCTCGTCTTTCTGCACGGCGGAATGGATTGTGCATGTCGAGATGGTAGCGATGGGTGATGGCATGTCCAGGAAGTTCACCTGCTGCTGTATGTGTGCCGAGATCGAGTTCAGCTGTTCACATGAACACATGGTCGTGATTGTTGGGTCGGGTGGTCAGGCCCTGATTGGGGGTCTTTAAAACCGTAACTAATCTTTCGTTTTACCTTCTTCTCTTCATCACTCTTCACGAGACTCTTCGGTACAAAGATGTTTGTTCTTGGTTCAATTATTCGGCATAGGCCACGATCTTACTGTTGCTATCCAGCTGGAGTACTTATGGTGCGGTGTGGCCGTAATGTTGTGAAGGTCATAGATCAGCTTGGTGAGGCGATCCATAGAGAGTGGACAGTGATACTCTGCATCAAGGTGGCTCCTGTGGAGGACAGCATCATCATATATAATCTACGATCGGCTATGGTTTGCGAATGATGCCAGATATCATCTACTTTTACATCGTACTCATCTACTCGGCGAAAGACCGAAGGAAGAGAAAGGACCAGTACGCGTCGAACAGAGCAACGGCCAAGTGTACTCTGTTGTCTCTCCTTCTATTCAGCGGCGGTGACGTAGTAAGTTGAGAGATATGTGTGCTTGTTTTTGTAATTGACAATTTCCAAAACTTTGACCGCAGTCTGCTTGTTTGCTCGCACGGGGTCAAAAAGGCTACGAGAAATGACGCTCGTGAGCCGCGACATTCCGTGTCATGCGCAGCGGGTGGAGGTAGGTGCTCGGTGGCACATCACTGCGGTCAGCGGCTCGTAGCGAGATGTCCGGGCGTGGCGGAGGCTTAGAAGGGTCTGTATCTCCCTTGTGGTTCTGGCACTGTAAAGTTTGGACACGGCTGATTCAAGGCAATAGTGCAGGGCAATCCATTCTCGATTACGTCGCGGTACCTTCAAACTGGTATGGGCGAGCGATGGTGAGTGCGAAGAGGTGCGGTATATATATAATTTTCAGCATCATTCGAAAGATATAATGAAGTTCTTCATCATTCAAGCACTATACTAACGCAACCTAAATACACTCATTAGAATATGTCTCTTAACTTATAATAGTCTATTGCAGTGCGTGCCAGCTGGGGAAGTGGCATGTTGGAAGTCCCGAACAGAAAGGAGCCAAGACAAGTAGGCTGTACTTCTTATCCCTGTCGTTTTTTCCCTTCGTATAGTATGCAAGTAGCCGCTCAGTGGTAGAAGACAAATAGTAGCTAGACCTCCCTTTATATTCTCAAAGTACTTACTAGAGCAAGTCAGTAGTATACTGAATGTGGGTACGTTCGCAAAGCGGAATAGCCATACTTATTCTTTCGTGACTCTTGGAGAGTATCTATTGAATAATCGGGATGAAACCGGCTTTTCCACACGGAAAGAATAAGCGCAGGCAATTGGACGTCTAAAGGATTGTACTTGTTCCGTTCGTCTACAAGGATCTAAGTTGGGCTGTATTTACTTAGTGGTTATGATGTTGATGTGAGGGTTAGATGTTAAGTGTGAGGTCTCAATTTGTATGTTATAAATCCACATTGGAGGAATCGCATATGGACGAAGGAAAGGACGTCGGGTGAACACCCAGGATGATCGGTCGAAGCAACCACACATCGTGGCAGGCGAAACGTGAGACAAGAGAGACAACAGGGAGGTCAGAGAAAAGAGGTAGTAGTTGGCTGTTCCTATGCTATGCTGCCTAGAGACAGTATTTTTATACTGTGATCCGTCCAGGCCGGCAGTTGTAGCCTCGGGCCTCAGGCAGGACCCCACCGTTCCTGCTCCCTGAGCCTAGAGACCTCACCATGTACGGTACGACCGGATCCTCCACTACCGCACTACCATTTGCTTCCTGTCCTGAGCATCCAACTCGCTCGTCAAAAGCTTCAATTCCTTTCATCGGAAGGGCCTCATGACTATTTCTCTTTCAATCCGTCCTCCAACTGTTCTCCAAAACCATCTGGCTCATTTTTCGGCACTTCTCAAGGTCAGCTGCATTCCCCTTAGAAAGGTCCGTGTGTGACGATCATTGTTACATATTCATCTTAGTGTGAGCATGGTCCGGGATTTTTCCTGTTGTCGCAGGTTGCGCTGCTGGCAGACCCCATTTGCCATGAGAAGGCCCACTATACGAAGATATCTTTCCCATTCTCATACTAGCAGGTGCAATTGGCGGGCCTTGCTTCGTGAGAGCGGGGGTCATTACCGAGGTTCCATTACTGATCGGAGGAGCGCTGAGGTACGACCATGGCTTTGGGGCTCTCATGTTAGCTGGAGCAGTTGGCGGAGCTCTTTTGGTGACATTGGGTGGTGTCACCGAAGTGGGAGCTTCATTCGAAGGCGTTCTTTCCACTGGATGAGTAAGGTCTTGTGTGGGTGCGAAATCGGTCATTTCAGTATCGTCTCTAGGCTCGGTCGACGGAGGCTTTCGTCGAGGAGCCTGAGGCAAGACAAGCCGTGATTAGCCAGAAGCAAAGACGAAAACAGGACAAGCAAGCTCAATGCACCTCGTCGACAGGTGCAGCGAGCTTTGTCCTCTTCGCCCTGCGTTCCTCCTTCTTCGCCTTGGCCTTTTCGATGATGCTGCGCTGTGCCTTGAGCTCGACCTCGCGCTGGTCGTTCAGCGCCTTGAGCTCCTTTTCGACCTTTTCCCTCTCTTCGATGGCGGCCTTGCGGGCCCTCGCGCGCTTCCGCATCTCGTCCAGCACTTCCTGAGTGGCTTCAGCCTTGCCGCGATCCAGATCTTCCTTCGTCTTGATGTTGTTGCGCTCCATCCACGCGCGGACCCAGGCCTTATCCTCCTCGGTTGGATCCGGATTTCCCCCTTCGTACGCGCCAGTTGGATGGGTAAGTTTGATTCCTGGGATTTCGGATTTGTATTGCCGGCGCGGGTCGTCCAATGGCAGAGGCAACTCTTCGTGCGGTACCGTGTCGCGACCAAGCAAGAAGGCCGGGAGCGGGCCATGAGACTCGATGCCATCGTTGGTGGGTGGGGGATCCAAGATGGCGCGCATCACGCTGTCTTCGAATTCGCGGTTGTAGGGTACCTCGGCGGGTGGGCGCGTCGGCATGGAATTGATGGGTGGAACATCGTCCATGGGAGTGTCCTCATTCGCGGAGCGGCTGGGTGAACCAGGGGTGATTGGTATTTCGGGCATGGTGAGGAGTCAAGTGACTGCGCGAATAACGAGGTCGTGAGGATTGCGCGGGTATATCAAGCTAAACCTGTGGAAGTGATGCTAAGACAACAGACTGGTGTGCCATGGAATGGAGGCAGAAAGGCGACAGTGTGATTGTGCGGCGGAGGATGGTACGGCGCGACGCCAATGGCGGCTTCCCGGGGAATTTGGCAAGGGCAGGCGGCGTGGAGGAAGCGGCGGCTGGCGTGCACTGCGTGAGAGGCAGGCGCGACGGCAGACGCGCGAACGGTCGAGGCAGGCACGCGACCCTGGCCGAAGTTTAGCCACGCCACCCCGCGACTTGAGGGCGATCGCCGCTGCCGCTTCATCCTCTTCCGTTACCTTCACCTCTGCCTCCAACAACGATTGCGCTCGCAGCAACCTGCCCAGCTTCCAATCGTAACCGCACTTCCCAAATCTCTATCACTACCACTTCCCACAACAGCAACTATGGTAAGTTTCGCCGCCTCACGTTGCCAGAAAATCTCGCTGACGCGCGACGCGCAGGCCGACAAGCTCCGCACCCAGCAGCAGCTCGAGCAGCTGCAGGCCCGCTACGTCGGTACCGGCCACGCCGATACCAGCCCGTTCGAGTTCAAGACGAACTACATGCGCGACTACCGCGCTTCGGTCATCGGACACCCTGAGCTGCTCCAGCACACCGCCATCGGCATGGGTGTGTCGCGCGAGAGGGTTCGCCTCGCTCAGATCGAGGCCATGATCGTCGCCGCCGGCCACGCCCCTCCGGTACAAGAATAACCCTAGTTTTGCAGTCATTTTGGAAAAAGGATAACTGCACTTACAGGGCACTGCCAAAAAGACGAAGACCAACGCCGAAGCTGAGGAAGAGAAGAAGGTCCAGCAGGCTGCCTCCAAGTGGGCCGAGGACTTCGGCCAGAAGGACAAGTTCAAGAAGATGAGCTTCTTCAAGGATGGCCTCGACAAGAAGGCCCCCGAGGAGGAGTCTTCCAAGGATGGTGCTTCGGATGTTGCTCCCAAGGACAACGTCAAGGAGTGTGAGGATGACAAGGACCAGAAGTGAGTAAGACTTGCGTCGCGCAGTAAGTACATCACCCTCTGTCATGGTTGAAGTATCCGCTAATACCCACTAGATCTTACTCCCAACATTCCTCTATCCTTGATACCCCAGGGGCTATCGGCGTTTGACGGTCATGAGCATTCTAAAGGTCATGGAGTTTACGAGAAAGATGGACGGATCCGGATTTCTTAATAGCCATCGGTTATACACAGGGCGGAACGAAACCCTGATATGAACACCCCAGCGTACATGGTCCAATGAAAGATTCAATGGACTCTACTGAGACTCGCTTGTTATGTGCCCTTTGCTCTGTGACCTATGAACACCTGAACCCCAAAGCCCTGAGACGCCTGCTCGTGCAAGCTGAGAGCTATCTATCAACTCTACCGCAACGCCCGTATTGTAATCCAAAATCGGATCTAAGCCACCCGTTCGTCATTTACCAAACCCGCGTCTCTCTCTCAATCGCTGTCGCTCCCGCTGCCAGTGGGGCCATCGTCGTCATCCTCCTCGACGACGTCGCCGCCGGCCGTCATGGCGAACTCGGCGCGCTGCAGCATCTTGCGCAGCTCCTGGTTGCGGGGGTCGACGAGGTCAAAGGGGCGCAGCTTGGCCTTGTTGCGTATCCGCGGGTCGCAGCCGGCGTCGACGAGTATGTCGACGACGTGCGCGCCATTCTCCCACTCGTCCTTGGCCAGCGCGTTGACGAAGCGCACCGCCTTGTGCAGCGGCGTGTCCTTCTCCATCCGGTCCGGCTCGTCGATCTCGAGGCCTTCCTGGTCGAGCAGGATGTCTAGGACGTCGTCTGTTTTGTGGTAGGGTAGGGTAGATTAGTAAAGGGGCGACGGATTGACCAAGGAAAAAAAAAGCCACAATATATGGAGATTTGGTCGGTGAGAGAGACATGACATGGGCATGAGATCGGACGGAAGGGGGGAGGCAGGGAGGGGCGGGAAGCGGATGTGAGACACGAGACTGGGATGTTGGACCGGCGGACATAGAGGAAGGGGTGAGGAGGTAGGTGGGCGTATTGGCTTTTTCTTTCTTTCCCAGACCATTCTTCCCCAAAAGCCGGAAGGGGAGGGGGCTTGTGTGTGTGTGTGTGTGCAAAAGCAATGTAGTACATCACTACTGGGAAAAGAGAGGGTCTTGTTTGTTTCAACGTACAGGCTCCGTTGGTCGCGGCCAAGTGCAGCACGCCGTTGCCGACGCCGTCGCGCGCGTCGTTCAGCGTCTTGGCTACGTGCTCTGCCGCCTTCTCGCCGCCGGCCGCGGATAGCTCCGCCAGCACCTCCTCCAGCAGCGACGTGTTGTTGCGCCGGCAGGCCTCCATCAGGAGCTCGCGCGGAGAAGCACCGTGATCGTCGGACATGGTGGTTGTATCGCCGAGTGCCGAGTGTTGTTTTCTTTTAGCGCCGTGGGCCTTGGAATGGGGGAGATTTGGTTTCTTGGTGGGGGGCCGCAGGAGCTTGGGGAGGGAGGCCAGGGAGGTCGAGACGGTGGACGCCTGAAGGGGAGCAGGACCGTCGTTCGCGATGTGGCTTCGTATCGTGGAGAGGGCGGACGCGCGGTTGTTCTGGTTCGTTTCGGCGGAGAGGCGGCGGCGGCGGCGGCTGGCGGGGGTCTCAGGAGGGGTGACGGATGAGGAGGGAGGGTGAGATTCTCGACTTGTCCCGTAACCCAGAACGTGAAGATGGGATTCGGAAGGGGCTTCGAAAGTGTGTATGCAGCGGCTGTCAGAATCGAGCAGTAACAAAAGCCGAGCAACCCAAAGGTGAATCAGGGAGCCCTTCCTGACGCGGAGGGTCTGCTGGCTGTTGGGCGCTTGGCGCGGCGGCGACTGACGGCGCGCTTCTGACTGGACCCTCCACAAGCCCACCTGCTGCAGGCAAAAGTCAAGGGACTTTTTGCCCGCCCGCTTTGCTGCAACCCCCGCCATGATCGACACCGGAGGCTTGCCGTTTTCTTGAGGCTTCTACATTTTCTGGCCATACACCGACCACTTTTCCTGCGCGCCACACCCGACGCTCTCGCTCAGACAACGAAGACTTATCGCGTTTCACGATGCTGCTCTGTACGTGTTATTTCCACCCGGCACTGCGTCTTCGAGGCTGTGCAGCCGGCGAGGTTTCTCGCTCCAGTCACCACCTTCGGAGCCAAAAAAAAAAAAGAACTACCGCTGACCACCACTCCATACAGTCTGCCCCGCCTGCTCCAACACGCTCACCGTCTCGCGCGTCCCGGACAACGTACCCGAGAACTCGGCCGACGCAGCGCTGCGCGGCAAGAACCGTTTCGAGTGCCGCAGCTGCCCGTACCAGTATGTCCTGGACCGCCGCTACTACGAGCGCAAGACGATGAAGCGCAAGGAGGTCGAGGACGTGCTGGGCGGCAAGGACGCGTGGGAAAACGTCGACCAGACCGAGGTCCAGTGCCCCAACATGCAGTGCGGCGGCGACCGCGCCTACTTCTACCAGATCCAGATCCGCAGCGCCGACGAGCCCATGACGTCGTTCTTCAAGGTGCGTCTGCTTCTTTTCCCTTCGTCTCGGGAGTGTTTCGTGTGGAGGATGGTCGGGGAAGGTTACAATGAGTGGAGTGTTTCGATTTGGGGAGGGGCGAGGATTGTCTTTCGCGTGTGGGATGGATGGCTGACTCTGAGGTCGTGTTCACAGTGCACCAAGTGCGCGAAGCAGTGGAGAGAGTAGCGACATGGTGGAGGACATGGGCTGTGCGGCCGAAAAAGCGTTGATGGAGTTTTGCATGGGTATGGGTTTCATTCTGCATGGCGACGGCGAAACAGAGGCATTGGACGGGTTTTCGAAGATTCACAGGCCCTGATACAAGGCACGGCGTTGGACGAGACACTTTTTTTTTGTGGGGGATGGATTGATGGGCAGTTTCGACGCCCAAGATGGAACGCCAATCTGAATTTAATGCATCACGGCGAGCTCGACTGCCGTGTGATGATCGATTCATGCGTACGACTCTTGCTCGAAGATCATTCCGCGCTAGGAGTCCGAGGTCGGTTCGCAGTAAGGTAATCGCGCCGCGGTGTCAGAGGAGATCGTCCGGGTAGTGACGCTTGGTTCATTAACCACGCAACCGGTTCCAGATCGATGATTCCATCAGTTTTCCGTCGTCAGAGGAGCACGCTTCACGCTCAGCTCGTTGACGATCGGTCACGTATTGTGAGACGCCGTGGCTTACTCGTATTGCACCAAGTGGAGCTGCTAACAGTGATGTTGTCGAAGGGGGGGAGAGGTGATAAGAAGCAAGATTATCTCGTAAACAGACTTCTCGTTACCGCAGTGCCACAGTGCTTTCTCGGTAGACATCGCGGGGTGGTGGCTGCAAAGCTAGGCGGTTCCACATTCCCTTGCGAAGGATGGAAGGAGTGCTGGTACGAACTCTGTGGAGCCGCAAGGCTTACAGCCCGGTGTCAGCAATAGCCGCCTTGTTCACGGCAAACCCATGCAGAATCGTACACGCATTCAGCAGACAACTGGTAGAGCCACATCTCAGCAGCTATGACACGTCAGTTCGCAAGAAGGATTGATGATGCCTCCACTTCACGGACAGTGCAGGACGAAAGGAGAGGGTCCTATCGTAAGATTATCGGCGTCGCTGTAGCGACCTGGTGCATGACCGTGCACGTCACCGGCAGGGCTCTCCCACATACATTCAGGGGAACGCGACACACTACTGTCGGAAAGGTGTCGAGATGCATGGGTTGTGGAGAGCATTTCGGCCAACCGTGAATCAGCGGCGCCACGAAGTAGCTCTGCGCCACTCCAGTCCACGACTCATGGACTGACTGCGCCGTGCCGGTTGCTCATGTACTCCTATTCCTCTCCACAGGTCACATGGGTGGCGGTTTCTTGTACGTATGCTGCTTCGGGACTACCGGATCCTTCGGCAAACTCCATGCGGGATGGTAGCGTGAGAATGGCAATTTGGGTCATGTCTGCGCCTTCTTCCGGTCTCGTTCCTAAGTGTTGTGGCGCATTATTGCCTAGAACACTACTGGCCGATATTCCGAGAGCTGGTCGGTTCGAAGAACGGTAGAGATATTAATAGCAAGGTAGAGAATCCTTGGCTCTTGATTATTCCAGCTGCGCAGAGGCTAATAGATGAAGCGTGCGTTGAACTGCGCGCAGAGCAGTGGTCACGATTGACACAAGTCCGCCACGGTTTCTTTGTCACTGGACGACGCGCGTCTAAAACATCCTGAAGCAAGGACGGGGAGGAATTGAATGTCTTTCGGAGGTCGGTTTTGGCGATAGGGCTGGCCAGGGATGTCATGGAAGCACCGCGACCGATTGATCTTGATGTCGGTTTAGGCTCATGATCTCAGAACAATAATGCATGGGCGGGCGGCATGGCTACTCGACTGCGCCGCACTACCACTACTAGTTAACTCGCCATACCGGCGTACCGAGTAGGACGGGGAATGTACACAGTAGGCACGCGAGAAACAAAAAAAGAACAACGATGAAGAGTGGCCCGCGCAACGTGTGCGTCCGACAGGTGGCACGACGCATTAACAGACAGGCGTTAAGATTGCACACGGCCGATTGGAAAAGGAATTTGATAACAGACGTCTGTGTATCCGCGAAGAATGCTCGCCTCGCGGGGATCTATCTGCAGCTTGGCGGCGATGTAGTCGGAAAAGATGCGCGTTTGGTTTTTTGGCTTCCGTTCAAGGTTTTTCTCCGCGACGCAGCTGCTGGGGTGGTGCAGATCATGGTAAACGTCAAACGCGTGGAGAAAGTCCCTGGCAACACGAGGTGCAAATGCTGCTCTCACACAACACCTTCCGCATACGGCGCCAATGCCTGGTGAGCAGCTGCAGCATGCAAGCCTCTTTCCGTCTGTCCATTCCACGGGATTTGGGCGGGGTTAATGGCGTGCTCACGGGACTCAATCTGAGATTGCAAATCTCATGGCCGGCCGTGACGATCTCCGGCGCTGGCTCGGACGCCTTCCTCAATCATGCGGCCGACGGTGTCCGGCATGATGATTTCCTTGCGGAATTGCTCTTGCTGGAGCAACTGCAGCGCGCGCAGCGTGGGGCCGGGGTGACTGTGGTAGCGCGGCGGGTCAGCTCCACCCGGCGGCGGAAGAGGGCGGCACTGGGATGACGTACGTGAGGTACTTTGCGTACTGGGGCTGAGCAAAGTACTGCAGGTAGTCGAGATACGCGACAAAGTCTGGGTTGTCCAGGTACTTCTGCACGGCCAGGTGGTTCAGGTACCACGGGTTGGCCAGGCACTGGACGAACTGCGACGGGTCAGCCTGGAGCTGTGCGCGTCCCCGGCCGGCGCATTTGTAATCTCACCTCCAGCTCCAGCTCGAAGCGGGTGAAGCCCCCGTAGAGCGGCTCTGCGGCGACAGCAGCAGGGGCAGGGGCGGCGCCCTCGGGTGCCTGGGCCAGGGCCATGTGCGCGTCGGGTCGGCGCTGGCTCGCGGGCGCGGTTGTGCAGCGGGAGGCGTGCGTGGTGAGGCGGCGGGCACGCGTGCCTCTGGGCTGGCTTCCGGCGACGAGGCGCTACCAAGCGGAGCTACGGATGCTAGGCGGAGCGCTGGCAGCTAGAAGCAGCGCTGGGGTGGCGGCAGGCTGGTTGGCTCGGCGTGGCCAGGAGGCTCCTCTCAGGGAGAGGCGGGGAGGGTCGTCGAATTTCCGGCGGCTGCGATGGCGCGCCGAAACGGGCACCAGCGCTTTCCCCGCAAGTTGGCAGCGGTTCGGCCTGGGTCGTGGCGAGATCGGGCGCGCGCGCCCTGATGGGGGCTGCCCGCGCGCGCTGCGCCGTGAGTGGCCAGGCCGCGGCGCAGGGTGCTGGCAGGGTGCCGGCAGGGCTGCGGACTGCGGCTGCACGCGCAGCGCTCATGGACACTTTTCGCGTCAGCCAGCGCGCGGTGGCTCTGGGCCGGCTGCAGTCGCGGGCGGGCGGCGGGCTGGCGGGCTGCGGGCTGGCTGGCTGGCTGGCTGGGCAGCGCGGCGTCTTCCTCAGCCGGGCCTCTGCGCACGCCAGGAACCGGCACCGCGCCAGCCTCGGCCGTTCTGGTGCTGGCAGTGGCCTGGGCGTGCGCATTTCGATCGCCAGGGTCACCGGGGTTGCAGCTGACTCGCTAACAATTTAGTCACCTCTGGCACCACGCCCTCAGCATTTGGTCGGCGAGAAACTTGGCGTGGTCTCGCTGCGTCGCTGCTGCCAGAGCGTACCTAAAAGAGACGGACAGCGCGCTGCGACTCCGCGAACCCCTCTTGCACGTCCTACCCGCCGTCCTGGAGCCCGCTGAGCCCGCGCCAGACCACCCACCCGGACACGCCCCTCCACTGTTTCAATCTCACTGCGCTATCATATCCGAGCAGCCTTTCATCATTCAGCATTCTTGGGCGCCCAAGCGTCGCCCGCGCAACAGCTCCAGCGCAGGCTGCCCGCTCTGTCCTACTCGTTGCGTCCCGCACACACGCAACACCTCATCTCTCGCCGTCGGTGGTCCTATTAGCAGCCGATCGTAATCGTCCAGCCAAGCTCGTCGTCGGGCGGCAATCATGTCGCTCGTCCAGCCCGCAGTGCCAGGTATGTTCCCCTGTTGCCAAACCATCCAGACATCCACACCTATGCTGCCGTCGCCGTTTCATGCGTCTCCTTGCGCGACATCCTTGCCCCATAGCGCCGCTGATTACGTCTCCCATTACTAGAGCGCCGGCCCTCGCCCGCCCTGTCGCTCAACTTATCTTCCAACAATCCCTTCCGCAACCGCGCTGCATCGCCCCAAGGCCTGCCGTCGCCGTCGCCCTCGCTGCCCACCCCGCGCACCACCGCCCAGCGTCCGCACTCGCGGAACCCCTTTTTGGCCGAGTTCGAGGCCTCCGCTCCGCAAACGCAGTTCCAAACGCAATTCCCTCCCTATCAAGCCAACAACATGGCCACCCCGTCTGACAAGCCCAACTACGCATCCGCTGCGGAAGAGCTGTTTGTACGTCGCGAGTCTATTTCCACGCCCCTGCTTCTGCCCGCAGATAAGCTCCGCTCTAAAGGCGCTTGTGCGACTGCCCGTCCGCCCTCTGCGCGACCCGCCCTCTGCACAAAATTATCTGCGCGCCCTCGCTCCTCGGTCACCATGTTCCCGCACTCTCGCTCACCGTCCGTCGAAATGGACAAGTTTGCCGTCTTCACGAAACTGTTTGCTGACTATCCGAAACACCAGGCCGAGATGAGCATTCAGGACAAGGATGATAAGAAGGCAGGCCCGACTGGTATGCACTTGTTGGCTCCCAACCCTCGGAATGACGTCGCTTACTCTTGGCAGGTGCTTCCTTCCCTCGTCCGCCTGGCCCGTCGCGATCGGGCACTGCTCCTGGGCGTCCGCCGCGCCCCGACGACGACCACCGCCGCAACGCCAGCGGCTCCCGGGCTCCTCCCCGTCGCCCCCCGCCTCGCGAGGAGCTCGACATTTTCAAGAGCCCCGGCCGCAGTGAGAACAGGAGGCCCCGTCGCAACTCTGAGTCTTCGATCATGGACAAGACGTCGATGGAGGATGAGCGCAGACGTCGCGAGAGGAGGCACAGGGAGCGCAAGGAGAGGGAATCCGGCCGCACCAAGGACGGCAAAGTGAGGAAGCCTAGGGGTCTTGACCTTATCGACAAGCTCGACGTCTCGGGCATTTACGGCCCCAGCAGTAAGTATATTTGGGGAGTGTTTTGCAACGTTTTACTGACAAATGTGCCTAGTGTTCCACCATGATGGTCCCTTCGATGCTTGCAACCCTCACCGTAACCGGAAGAGGGATCAGCGGGCCCCGATGCAGGCGTTCCCGGAGGGTTCCGCCAACAACGTCATGGGCGGTTCCGGTCCCGTCAACCAGAGCATGAACCTCGACCAGTTCCACGGTCGTGGCGCTGAGGGATTCTCGGACTTTTCGTCTGCCGCCCGCACTGATGCCGAGCCGCTCCCCAAGCCGTCTGCTGCCCAGACTGGCTTCTACAACCCGAAGGCAGATATCGAGGCCATCCACGGCGACGAGTCCAACGGTCTGGGAACGAGCACCTTCCTCGAGGGTGCCCCTGCGAGCAGGAAGGACTTGGAAAGGCGTGGCTCTGAGAACGATGGTCTAGGCAGCATGGGTGGTGGCGGTGGTCTTGCGCGTAAGAAGTCTCTCGCCCAGAGGATCCGCGGAATCTCGCAGCCCCGTCGCGACTACGGAGGACGCGTCGTGTCCCCTGATGCCCAGTACGAATTCCGCCGCCCGCCGCCGCCGCCCCCGAACGGCCAGAGCTCCCCGATGAGTGCAGGAGGCAGGGGCAAGATGCAGGAGAAGAACCCGTTCTTCGATGATTACGATGATGCGTACGAGAAGAAGGGCGCGTCGATCAGGATTTCGGAGCAGCAGAGGCCCGGTCGCGCTCGGGCACCGAGCTCCCCTGGACGGCCGAACTTGGAGAGACTGCCCACCGGCGAGGCTGGTCCAGCCGATGAGCCCAAGCCCAGCGGCTTCCTTACGCGCATGAAGTCCCTGAAGGGCGGCCCCAGGAAGCCCAAGCCCGAGAGGAGGCCGTCGTAAGGGCGCTGTCCAAGGGCGACAACAACAAGGAAATACTGTCTTAAGCACATGCATGCGTTGGATGAGGCCTTCGCATTGGTTACTGGCTTTACCTGGTCTCTGCTGCCGCGGCTCGGGGACGTTCGAGCGTTCGTCCCATGAGCACCGGTCGCTCCTGTCCACATCCCGCCGATTGCAGCGTGCGTCTCAAGGACGTCTGAAGGATAAACCACGCCCCACGACCAGGACATTGGCGACGGAGGACATGAGCACGTGGCGGGCTAGCTGCGTACTTACAAAATGACAGACTGGGCGGCCGGCTTTTTAATAATTCCTGTTGACTTCTTTTTCTGTACTATTTCTCCTACAGGTTCCCCGTCAAGATCGCCGGCGCTTTGAGGGGCAAGCGAAACTGGGCGCGATCGGCGAGTTTGGGTTGCGGATTCACTTTTTCTTTTCAATACCGGGTTCTGGACTGCTGGTCGGGTGGGGGTATGAATTAGGTTGACCGGAGGAATGCATCTCCCCCCTTTCAGGAAAACGGAGCGACGGACCAGTAGCAACAAGCACGGGTAGACACTGTTCGTCGTAGGAATGGAGCGATAAAAAAAAAAATGACAATAAGGCGTCTCAGGTGACTGAATGGACGGTGCCGTTGCAGGTGTGAGCGGATGGAGCGGCGCGAGGGGGCCGGGCGGTTGTTCGACGGGCAGTCAACGTACGATTCGGAGAGTTGTCAGTGCGAAGCGCTCTCTTCCAGAAGCATGCGCCACGACACCGTTGAACAACTCGCAGTCCCCACAATTTACTGGGTCCGCGGTGAAGATCATACATGTCCCTGACGCGGCATAAACTGCCATTGGACCAAGGCCAGCTTGGCAAACGCGGTTGGTGCTGACTGGACGTGCGCAAGATGGGTCCCCATCTGCCAGATCCAGCATCTGCGCCGCCGAGGATCTGTTTATATCTCGAGCCATGCATTTGAAGCTGCTCCCACCCGCAGCGCCACCAGCGGCCAGTTCCATCCAACCTCAGCCAGAGTAGATCTCGGGCCCACTGCCACCCTCGCCGCCCCCTCATGGACAACCGCAACGGCTACGGGCCGGTCAACGTCGACGACGGCTCCACGCTTCAGGGCGAGCCGCGGCGCAGCTCCATGGCGACGGAGCGCGACGGCATGTTCGACACGTCGCCGGCGCTGAAGGAAGCCAGCGCGTCCGTCATGAACGCCATGGCGGCGCCGTCGGGGCGCACGTCGATGAGCACGACGCGGACGTCGCGCGCGGTCGAACACTTCGACGGCAACCCCAACATCCCGCCCTACGAGTCCATCGCCGAGAACCCCGAGTACAACCGGGGCGCGTCGTCGAAGCGGATGCCGCCAGCCGGGTGGATTGACTTCATGGACCGCTGGCACGAGTACTGGATCGGCGAGCTGATAGCCGTGCTGGTGAGCCTGATCTGCTTCGCCGTCGCCATCTGGATCCTCGCCGACGCCGACGGCAAGCGGCTGGCCGACTGGGGGCCGTCCATCTCGCCCAATGCCATGGTCTCGACCTTCATCACCATCTCCCGCTTCCTCATGCTCGCCGTCCTGGCCGAGTGCATCGGCCAGCTGCGCTGGCTCTACTTCCAGCCCGCCGACAACAAACCGCGCCCGCTGGCCGACCTGGACCTCTTCGACGGCGCCAGCCGCGGGCCCATCGGGTGCGTGAAGCTGCTGCTGCGGCTGCGGGCGGATGCGCTGGTTGCGTCGTGGGCTGCATTAGTCGTGGTCGTCGCGCTGGCCATGGATCCCTTCGCGCAGCAGATCCTCTCGTTTCCGTCGCGGATCGCGCCGCTCGACAGTGCGATCGCGATCAACGGCACTTGGCTCCCTGCTGTCCAGGGTATCGAATCGGACAGCGAGCTCCTTTCCGCCGGTAAGAGACTGCCAAGTGGTTGCTTGTGAAGTGAAACCCGACTAATCCTTTCATTCGCTCGTCGCAGCCAACTTACGCAAAACCATTTTCGGCGCCCTCGTGGGCCTCGAAGAACAAATCGACTTTGGCTGCCCAACCGGGAACTGCACCTGGGACGCATTCAGCTCGCTGGGGCTGTGCAGCGTCTGCGAGGACGTGTCGAGCTCCGTCACGCCGACTTGCTCGAACTCTTCGACTTCTTATTCGGAACTGTCTCCCGAAACCATCGCCAACGCGACGTGCCCGCAGCTTACTTACACCTTGTCTGACTACCATAATCTGACCCTCGTCCTGCAGAACGGCTCCCTCGTCGAGCAATCGCTGACGGGCGCGGCCGCCGGCAATGCGCTGCACAACCAGGACCCCCTCGGCAAGCTCTATACGCTCGTCAGGTCCGTTGCGAGCGAGGCGTATCCGGCCGGCATCAAGGATCCGCGCTTGTTCGAGTTCGCGGTGGCGCAGTTGATGGTCGGAGAGGAGGCGTCGGGGCAAGCGTGGGATGCGAGTACCTTGGCGAGTCCGAAGTGGAATGTCACTGCGTGCGCGGTCAGTTGGTGTGCCAAAGTGTACGAGGACGTTGAGGTGGTATGTTGAATCTTTGTTTTCCTTTCACATCTTTACCTTTTGCGGGGTTCGATTGGGTCTTCTGTGAGGGAAATTGTTCTTCAGGGGATGAAGCACTTGCCTGGGCGGGACTGAGCTCCCACTTTCACCTTACGAAAGCAAAACGACGACTAACCAGCCGCGCCTCCTCCAGAAAAACGGAAAACTCCTCAACGCCACGCCCCGCGACGTCGAGCTCACGGCAACCTCATCCAGCGACTGCTGGACCTCGTCCACCTGCCAAGAATTCCAGCCCACGAACTCGTCCGCCCTACCGGCCTCGAACTCCTCCGACAGCACCACCACCACCAACTCCTCCAACACCACCACGACCTTCACCCTCGCCCTCACCAACACCACCACCTCCCCCTTCTCCCCCCTCCTCTCCACCGACCACAACATCACCCTCGCCACCAACCGCACCGACCCCTCCTCCACCAACGAATCCTTCCAAATCGCCACCGCCCACGCCCCCGCCCTCTCCCCCTCCACCCTCCTCTGGCAAACCCCCTCCATCTCCACCTTCTTTTCCGCCCTCTCCTTCGCCCTCACCACCTCCCTCCTCCTCACTTCCTCCCCCAACACCACCACATCCCTCAATTCCCTATCCACCCCCATCCCCGGCCACCCCCTCGCCCCCCAACCCATCATCACAACCTCCTGGCCCTGGCTCGCCCTCCCCGCCTTCGTCGTCGCCTCCGCGCTCGTCATACTCGCGACGTGCGTGGTGCTCACGCGCATGAAGGGCCCCGACGAGCGCGTCGCGTGGAAGGCGAGCAACTTGCCGCTGCTGCTGCTGTGCCCGCCGCGCGGCGAGTGGAGGGAGGACGAGTGGCGGAAGGGGAGGGGGAGGGGCAGGGTCGGCGTCGTGGTGAGGGGGATGAGGGGGAGGTTGGATGTGCAGATGCAGCCGGGTGGTGGGGAGAAGGGGGAGAAGGGGAAGAGTGGGGGTGGTGGGGTTGGTGGCGGGGGTGGGGTGGGGTTTGTGAGGGGATGAGTTGGTGGGAGGAGGGGGAGAGATGGAGAGACGGGGAGGAGATGGGGGTAAAGAGGTGTGATTTTGGACTAGGAGGACGTGGCGTGGATAGGATGGGGGAAGGAGGCTCGGGGTTTGGAGCCTTTTGGAGATTAGAGCTTTTAACGACTAGTTTATGAATGTTAATGTCTTTGTTTTTGACTGTTGGGGCGGTCGGAGTTTAGCTCAATTATGATACGTAGGCGAAGTTGTGCTGACGACCTTAGTAGTGCTGGCAAGGTTACTCGCAAAGGCAAGCGCCGGTGCATGGTTGAAAGCAAACCCTACAGAAATCCGCGCTTCAGGGAATCGGATTGTGTGGGATGAGGGCCTCTTTACTATACTGAATCTACGTAGTCTAGATCTCTGACAGGGATTATATATGACAGGCTTCTTATCGCACTTGAGAAGAGGATGCAGCGCCGCACTTGTTTTCAGTGCTAGTTAAAGGCCTTATATTGTCTGACACTTCTCACTAACGTGTTTGACGGTGTAATGGGTTTGACGGTGTAATGGGTCATCGAATTATGAGGCTACATTGGGTCGCCTCTTGTTGATGACCGAAGAAATTTCACGAGTGCCGCCACAGAATTTCGTTGGCTAACCCATTACACCGTCGAACACGTTATTGGCCGGATGTTCGCCCCACCGAAGCAACGCCTTGGCGGCTGATGCCTGCCTTGCATTCACCGTCCCATCGCAAGGAAGCGGCGGCCTTCGTCCCCATAACAACAACAACCAAAAAACTTCGTCAGCACACATCCATTATGCCAGAGCCCTGACAGCGTCTTCGGTCCGCTTCGACAGAAATGCCGCCGCAACAAACAACCCAGAAGGAACCTGCAACAGCCGCAGATCGCCGCACCACTGACAAGGCTGAGCAACGCGACGGGTCTCGCATGGCCAGCACAATCCGCCCGGATACCGTGTTCAGGCTAAGATGTATACCAAAGAAGTATGGGAGCGGGGATATCCCAGATCTGGCGAGAAAGGCATTGAGCCAGGGCGGAGACTTCTCCGTGAAGGTCGGCTCGCTCGCGCGGAGCCCCTACCGGAATGACGAGCTGGTTGCGACGTTGGCCATGCATGGAGCGAGAGATGTCCTGCTCAAGATTCCAACTCTCGCTGGTAACGAGCACGAGTGGCAGCTGGATGTGGATCTCGGAGAAGGAGGTTTGCTGAGCTTGCGCTTGGATGTGCATTTTCATGGGCTTACGCCATTGCACGGGGTTAATGAGGCTGAATATACGAGCGAGTAAGTGCATGACTGAACATCTTTGGACGCTGCCTTCGGATGCTGCACTTTCCGCACCTTTGTGTACAGATCCACTGACATTGCGGATAGCATCATAGCCCTTTCGGGCCTCAACGGTCACGCCTACGGTTCTTTCAAACAGCGAGGAGGGCCTTTCATGTGGCTCCGTGATGGATTACCGAGAGATCTGCCGAACGCTCGAGTTCTCATATATGGCTATGACACACAATTGCAAGGAAGCACCTCTGTCCAAAACCTCACAGACCTTGGCCTGAGTCTACGCACAGCAATAGTGGATTTACTGGCTACAACAATTGTAAGTTTGCGTGATCACGAAATAGATGGTGCTGATTCTTGAAATCCACAGGAAAACCATTGCTGCAGGCCCATTGTGTTCATTGGACACAGTCTTGGTGGCCTTGTCATCAAAGAAGTCAGTGCCCTAGTGTCCTTTTCAGTCGCAAGTGTACTTTACTCTACAAAAGAAAAAGGTACTGACCCTGTTCAAGGCCTTCATACATATGAAGGATGGCACATACAGCGCAATCTTGAATGCCACACGTGGATTTCTCTTCTTCGGAGTGCCGAATCTCGGCATGAAGACAGAATCTTTGGTACCCATGGTAGGAGACCAGCCCAACCGCGGCCTTCTTGAAACACTGGGAAACAATTCTGCACTGTTGCGGCGCCATCAAGACGAGTTTCCGAGGACATTCCAACCAAGAACGATCCAAATTTCGAGCTTCTACGAGACAAAACTTTCACGGACTGCGTGCAAGGTGAGCTTATCCGTCTGCTTCAGAAATATATTAGTAACAAGAGATACAGGTCGGCAATATCTGGAAAATGCAAGGGCCCGAAGAATTGCTTGTTGACTTTGGCTCAGCCACTATTGGAAGCACAAAATATCAGCCCATGGACCGTGATCATTCCGATATGGTGAAGTTCAACGGCGCAGATGATCCAAATTATCGTGCCGCAGTTGTTCAAATTAAGCAACTACACAGCGAGGCAGGCTTTCAGGTCGACGATATGGGTCCCAGCGTTGTCTGCGGAGATGATTTGGGTGAGTATAGTCGGAATCGTTGACATCTTTGAATTCCGTACTGAGAATACTGCCAGCGTGCTTGCGATCCTTGGCATTTCCGGGACAAGACTGGCACCGCGATGGTGTCGTGACAGCGGATGGCACTTGCGACTGGATATTTTCCCACGACAAGTTCCGTAGTTGGTCCCAGAATCCTCGACAACTCCTCTGGATCCGTGGGAAGCCAGGATCAGGCAAATCAACTGCTATGAAGCACATCTTTCAATCTTTTGAAAGCCAAAAGAGCGATGGAGAGATTTTGGCAACGTTCTTCTTCAACGGAAGAAGCGGCAATTTTTTGAACACATTATCCGCATTTTACCGCGCAATACTCAACCAAATCCTGCCGCACTTCTCCAAGCACCTTTCGGAGTTGACTTCAAGCTTCAAGAAAAAAGAAAAAGCTCAAAAAGGGACTTGGACCTGGACTGTTGACGAACTTCATCGCTTCTTTGCTGCGGTGATCCCGGCAGTCTCGAAAACGCATCACGTGTGTATACTCGTAGATGCCTTGGACGAGTCCGGAGAGGAGAATGCTTGTCAACTCATCAGCCAGTTTGAGAAGATTCTGGATGCTGTCCATAAGAACGGTGGTGTACTGAAAATCTGCTTCTCGTGCAGACACTACCCAATCCTCGTATTGAACGCCGGAATTACAATCACCATGGAGGATCAAAATCGGACTGATATCGAGAAGTTTGTCAAAGAGCGGCTGCAAGGCTTCAAAGAGGAGGAAAGAAGGGTCCTGAAGGCTGAGATCCAATCAAAAGCCCAGGGTGTATTCCAATGGGCGCGATTGGTGATTGAGAGAGCCATATCCCTGAGGAAAAAGCGGAGGTCTTTTGACTACATCATCGAGTCAATCAGGCACATACCCAAGGAGCTTGAGGAGTTATATCGAAACCTGCTTTTGGCACCTGAGCTGAACGAAGACCCGGATGAGCGGCGACAAACCCTAAAGCTGTTTCGATGGATGTGTCTCTCTCCCCGCCCTCTGACACGTGCGGAAATCCAGCACGCCTTGGCAGTCGATGCTGAGATGACTTTTACGTCAGTGCGGGAATATATGCTCGGACGAGACTTCACAAGCGACAACGACGATCTCGTAGAAGTTGTCAAAGACCTATCTCGAGGGCTTGCCGAGTTCCGACCACACGGCCGCGAAGTCATGCTGCAACCAATTCACCAAACTGTCCAGGACTATCTCCTTGCATCCGGCCTCAGGGACTTACATGGAGACACTTCCAGTGACCCTTTCGATAGCGGACACTACCACATTTTGAAGTCTTGTGTCAAGTTTCTGCAACTGGACGAGATCATGAGGACGAGTCCGTCCCCATACTCTTCCAGTGGTGGTGCTGCGTGGTACCCACAGCCACTTCTTGACTATGCGTTGCACTTCGTACCATACCATCTTCAACGGATCGGGATGGCTGAAGTTGTTTCGGGAGACTTGCTCGAAATTTTTCACTGGCCATTCGAAGGGTCCATAATCGATAGATGGGCCACTTTATGTATGCCACTTGCGTATAAGAAGTATTGGGGCGTAAGATATCATCAGCTAATGATACCGAAAACCTTAAAACTTGAATTCCTTGAGCCTCTCGATTGGCCGAGAAAAGGCTCACGGTTGTTGCATCTGGCTGCGGTGCTCGGGAAAACGGAGATTCTGGACCTTATGTTCGAGCGAGCCCGAGATATCGAACCCCAGGCAAAAGACTCGCATGGCTACAGCCCTTTGGTGATGGCTCTTGTGGCTAGACAAGAATCCTTCGCGATCAAGCTCCTTTCACGATTCCCTCATATCATCAGGAGTGAGCTAGTGGCACGTCCCTGGCCCGCGGCTCATATCGCTGCTGCAAACGGACTTCAAGAAGTTCTTTCGATGTCGCATGAGCATGGAATGAACCCCAACGGGTGTGCTCGGTGGCAAAAGAGAAAGTATACCCTTCTATCCGTGGCGATCAAGCATGAACAAGTGGATACATGCAATTGGTTGCTTGATCTCGGGGCCGAGCCAAACACGGTAGACGGCGACTTGCAGAGCCCTCTGACAAATGCGATCATGCTTGGCAGACATGAAAGCCTGTGCAACTCACTCATCTCTCATGGCGCTCACATCATACGAGCGCTTGAAGACCTGGATAGATCTGGGACATTCTACAGGCTCACGAACACACAAGAAACATTGATAAAGGGACTTCTTAGTCATATCCCAAACCCTCTACATACCATTACAGCTCGAGGCATGGTGGAGACCTTTCGCTTCTTAACCGAGCGCTGCGGGTTTGACATCAATCTTCAGAATGAATCTGGTGAAACGCCACTCTTTGTCGCCGTTAAGATGGGCAATTCCCGGATGATACAACATCTAGTCTGGCAGCGCGAGATCAAACTGCTCACAAAAGAGCAATGGCTGATGCTACGTTTCGACCCAAAAATCAGAAATGAATATTCTCGCGCCGTGCAGCTGGTGTGGAGTGATGGAATGGAGAGGAAAATGCACGCGGCTTTCAGGGTTCCGCATTGGCCAACTTTTCTTGAGGATTCCATCAAGGAGCTAGAACGCTTGCGAGAAATGAAACAGTCATTGGAAGATTCTAAAATCTTCTACAACGGTATCTACATTGGCAAGGTTGGTGACGGCTCTCATCTCGGATTAAAGTCTTCTTCGGGCGATGGTGAAGGCCGGAAAAGAAAACGAGACGGCGACCACCCCGCTGTTGAAGGACACAGAGCCGCAAAAAGCAACCACCCCGGATAGATGGCCTGGTCATACCTAGTCCTACCTCTTGTACGTACATAGTCTCTGCGGGCTGTAAAGCACTTGAAATGGCCAGTTCATGGACAACCGCGGCACGGTGGGTTGCGGAAGATGTCATCGTACTTCTTTCCCGTGCCCCGATGAAAGATGCGGCACTACGCCACGTGGATGATCGAGGTGATAACACATCTGGACATGAGGTAGGAGGAGGGAGGGAGGGAGGGAGGCAACGGCTCTGTGCAGAGACCGATGTGCAGGGGAGAGAGGCTCATCGAGATATTCTACAATCCGCCGTGGTGGCCCTTTACCTTTCCGCCTTTGCCGTCTGCCGGTTAGCGAATCGCCCGATCAGACGGGGGAAGACGGCACATCCCGCGTATGTGCCGGTAGATGTGAAGGAGATGGTGGGGAGGAGGGTGGTGGCGCCACAACAGCCGCAAGATTCCCCACCGGTTCCGTTGACCGATAAATATCCGTACAGTGCATCATGCATCGCGCGGGAGAGCTTGATGAGAAAACCTCGTATCACGCCGGGCTGAAGGTGAGGATAAATGAAAAATCTCATGAGTAATAAGCCGGGGGGCGAAGCTCGGAGTTTTGATGAGTGAGAAGTTGCGCACGCGGGCGGCGAGCGAGCATATGATGCCGTGATGATGATAGTCGGGTACCTTACTTACAGCCACTTTTACGGGACGACTTGGCGCGGGAAACAAGGGCGGAGAGAGAGAAGGGGAGCAATCAAGGCGAGAGGCGAGAGGCGAGGCGCTTCTTTTTTCCTCTCCTATCCTCCCTCCTCCGGGATCGGTTTACCCTGAGACTTGCAAGGGATCCCTTCTCTCTTCTTTTTTTTTTTTAACTTTCGCTCTGGGCGCGACGAGTCAGGGTGCAGTTAGTATTCATGCTGTAACTCATTTGGGCAGGTTTTCCACGGAGACGGGAGGAGGAGGATCGATTGCCAAGGGCGCTATGCCAGGTGTACGGCAGTTGACGCGGGCGGACTGTGGCGTTTCTTTCCGGAGGCCGGACCGAGAAGGCGGCGCTACTACTACCTACAGTGCGGAAGAGATCAGGGACGACGCGGGGGGGCGGCGGAATGGCACGACGATGGGGCTCGGCAAAAGCGAGGGAACCTTAGGCGGGCGACTGGCGGTGGGCAGCACCAAGTTCGTATCGGGGCATGCAGAAGGATTACGCTCGTTGGGGTGAGATGGGATGAGGGGCGTTCGATAATGCGGTCACCGGCGGCGGCGGCTCCTCTCAGGCTGGCTGCTCGACGACATGGGGCGTGGGCAGTGGGCACGGGGCGGGTGGATTCTCGCGCGGGGAGCAAACAAGCGAGCGAGAGCGGGCGAGAGCGGGCATGGGCCGGCATCGAATCCGGGGACCGGGGGTGTGGGAATGCTAATGGGGTGCAAGGTGCAAGCCCAAGGCGCGGTGTGCGGAACAATAATCCATCATCACCTCACCTCGCCTCACCCGCGCAGATGCGACCTCCGCCTGCAACGCCAGAACCCCGCATTGCGAAAGGACGCCCGGCGGCTGACGGGCGTTTTGGTGGCGGTTCGGAGAGGCTTGACGGGTGACGACGTTGCCAGGCCGGTGATGAGGCCTCCCACCCCCAGAGTTTTCCGCGCGCCACCGCCGGCCTTTAGCCGGCCATCTCTGGGGCGTGTGGAGGCCGAGTGCGGCTTTATTTCTGCTTCCAGTCTGTGCATCACCAGCCTGCAGCCCGCGCGAGAGCCGCCGCTGCGTCTTGGCCGGCCGTGGCACCAGAGCACTGTTGTCGCCCAGGGCCAGCGCAGCCGCCGGCCCGGCAATAATGACTTGTCGTCGCGCTGCCATTGCGCCCACACGCGAGATCTGGGCTGGGTGCGGGTAAGGCTGGGGAGGGGCGTCAATCCGTTTCATGAGGCTGGGACATGGCATTCTCTCGTCCGGCGCGCAGCTAGGTTGCGGACGGGACATGTCCGGCGGCTGGCCACCGATGCACCTGGCCGCATGGGGAGAAGGCAGCAGTTGGCAGCAGCTGGCAGCGGCGGCTTGGAGCTTGGCTGCCGGCAGGATCAGCAGGAACATTTGCCCCAGCGGGCGCGGTGCTAGCTAGGTAAGGTTCCCCGCCTACGGAGCTTAGCTACCCCGGTCGCTTCTGAAGTCATGTTGCATCCCGCCTGCCCGCCTGTCCGCGACTGCCTTAAATAAAGCCGCCATGTCCGCTGCACTGTCGACTTCTCCAGGGCTGCCTCCCATTCAATTCAAGCACAGCTCAATTGCCGCCCGAAAGTGCGTGTAGACTGTGACCATGCGCTTCACCACGGCCACCGCTGCTCTCGCGGTCGCGCCGTTAGTCGCCTCCCAGGTACGTGGCACTAGTCATCGTCTTTTCTTGCTACTGCTCCTCCACCACCACTGCTTCCATTCGCCACCCTGAAAACCACCCTGAAAACAACCCACCACATTTCCATGCCCCCTGTACCTCAGCATGGAAGACGTCCCGACCAGCAGCATCGACTGCGCCAGCCTCGCTCTGCCAGTACGCAGCCGCCGTCAGATGGTTTGCCTCCTGCTGAGCGTCCGCTGTCCGAGCGCTTGGTTTCTTTGGGTTCGGCGATGCGCTGGAGGAAGGCTCCAAAGCACTTCAATTGCATCACCCTTGGCATCATCGCGGCAAGCCTGGCTGTAGTCATAGGAATTGCCATTGTAAACCCTTACAGAGCACCTTGCAACCAATCCTCCAAGTTGCGCCAAGAGCCGCCTCACTGATCAACCACAAACAGGCCCTGAACAACTCGAACCCCGACGATGCTCTCTGGGGCGCCACCTCGCCACCATTCTACCCCTCGCCGTGGATGGATGGCTCTGGTGGTTGGACAGAGGCCTACGCAAAGGCCCAGGACTTCGTCAAGCAGATGACTCTGCTCGAGAAGGTCAACCTCACGACCGGCACCGGGTGAGTCGATATGCTCCTCAAAGACATGCACCGAGCAACACCTGCTGACTATTCACCAGCTGGGAGAGCGGTCCTTGCGTCGGAAACGTCGGTCCTGTCCCCCGTCTGGGGCTGCACTCTCTGTGCATGCAGGACTCGCCCACTGGCATCCGCTTCAGTACGTCAACCATTCATCCAGCCTCCCTGTTCGCTGGCTAACCCTCCATAGCCGACCACAACTCCGCATTCACTTCTGGCGGCACCATCGCTGCTTCGTTCGATCGCAGACTCTGGTACAAGCGCGGATATGACATGGGTGCTGAGTTTGCTGGAAAGGGCATCGACGTGCTTCTTGGCCCCGTCGTTGGTCCCCTGGGACGCACTCCCACCGGCGGCCGTAACTGGGAAGGCTTCAGTCCCGACCCTGTTCTGTCTGGAATTGCTGTTGGAGAGACGGTCAAGGGAATCCAGGATGCCGGCGTCATCGCTTGCACCAAGCACTACATCCTCAACGAGCAGGAGCACTTCCGCCAGGCCCCTGAGTCGCAGGGCTTCGGCGTCAACATCACCGAGTCCATCTCTTCCAACATCGACGACAAGACAATGCACGAGCTGTACCTTTGGCCCTTTGCCGACGCCGTCAGGGCTGGCACTGGCGCCATCATGTGCAGCTACAACCAGATCAACAACAGCTACGGCTGCCAGAACTCGCACACGCTCAACTACCTCCTCAAGGGCGAGCTTGGCTTCCAGGGCTTCATCATGAGCGATTGGCAGGCTCAGCACTCGGGCGTGGGCTCTGCCCTCGCTGGTCTGGATATGGCTATGCCCGGTGACACCCTCTTCAGCACCGGTAATGCTTTCTGGGGCGCCAACATGACGCTTGCCGTCGTCAACGGCACCATCCCCGAGTGGCGTCTCGATGATGCTGCCACCCGTATCCTCGCCGCTTACTTCTTTGCCGGCCGCGACAAGAACTACATTCCCACCAACTTCAACTCTTGGACGCTCGACACCGAAGGATACCAAAACGCAATCGCTGATGCCAACTGGGGCGTCGTCAACCAGCACGTCAACGTTCGCGCCGACCATTTCAAGAACATCCGTGAGGCTGCTGCCAAGTCGACCGTGCTCCTGAAGAATGCCAACGGCACTCTCCCTCTGACTGGCAAGGAGAAGTTTGTCGGCGTCTTCGGCAGTGACGCCGGTGACTCGCCGAATGGCCCCAATGGCTGCGATAACCACGGCTGTACCAACGGCACTCTCGCCATGGGCTGGGGTTCCGGAACTGCAAACTACCCCTATCTGATCTCACCCCTGACTGCCATTCAGAACGAGGTCTATGCCAACAACGGCGTCATTGACTGGGTCACCGACGACTGGAACTACGACAGAGTCAACGCGGTTGCCAAGCAGGCCAGCCACGCTCTCGTCTTCGTCAACTCCGACAGTGGTGAGGGCTTCATCGACTTCGACGGCAACGTCGGCGACCGCAAAAACCTGACCGTCTGGCATGACGGCGAGGCCTTGATTGCCAACGTGACGTCGGTCAACGACAACGTCATCGTCGTCATCCACAGCGTCGGCCCTGTCGAGCTCGGCGCCTTCAACGACAACCCCAACGTCACCGCCATCATCTGGGCCGGTCTCCCTGGCGAGCAGTCCGGCAACGCTCTCGCTGACGTCCTCTACGGCCGCGTCAACCCCGGCGCCAAGCTGCCCTTCACCATCGGTGCCAAGCGCGAGGACTACGGCACGGAGCTGCTGTACGAGCCCAACAACGGCGCCGACGCACCGCAGGACGACTTCAACGAGGGCGTCTTCATCGACTACCGCAGCTTCGACAAGCACAACATCACCCCCACGTACGAGTTCGGTTTCGGCCTCTCCTACACCACCTTCGACTACTCGGACCTGCAAATCGTCAAGCACACCGTCGCCGACTACACCCCCACCACCGGCAACACCACCGCCGCCCCCGTCCTCGGCAACTACAGCACCGACCTTGGCGACTACCAGTTCCCCGACGACATCTCCCCCATCCCGCTCTACCTGTACCCCTACCTCAACTCCACCGATCCGGCCACGGCCAACGGCGACTCGGAATCGGAATACGGCGCCCCCAACGACACGTACATCCCGGCCGGCGCCCTCGACGGCTCCTCTCAGGCCAAGATCCCGGCCGGCGGCGCGCCCGGCGGCAACCCCGCCCTGTACGATGTTTTGTTCACCGTCACCGCCACCGTCACGAACACCGGTGACGTCGAGGGCGATGAAGTCCCCCAGCTGTACGTGTCGCTGGGTGGACCGGAGGACCCGAAGGTGCAGCTCAGAGGTTTCGAGAGGTACACGATCCAGCCCGGTCAGAGCGTGAGGTTTGGCGTCGATGTGACGAGGAGGGATCTGAGCAATTGGGATGTCGTGAGTCAGAATTGGGCCATCAGCGAGTTTGAGAAGGAGGTTTTCGTGGGTAGCAGTTCGAGGAAACTGCCGTTGAGTGGGGTGTTGGATGTCTAATTGATTGGTTTTTGGGGGTGGTGGTGGAATCTTTTTTTTTAAAACTTAATGATGATGATGATGGAGATGGGCAGAAGGAAGATGGAAGAGAGGGCGGGTAAATAATGAGTAATGAGATTTGATGCTGATGCTGCTCATGAGCTGTTCTGTCTGGTGGTGCGTATGTTGAGGTGTTTTGGATGGGTGTTGGGCTGCCCGAGAAAGAGCAGAGGAGATTGAGACAAAGGTGAACTTGGGTTATTTTGCAACAGCAAAGTCGAGATCTCGTAGGTCCGTGACTCCATGGCGTATGTTCAGTGCGAAGAATACCGAAGTTGTTCTGGTGCAAAAGGAGGCAAAGAAAAAAGCCGGGTAAGCCTACACCCGGTTTTAGACCTTGTGGAAGAGAAATGCAGGGAGAACGTGCCGCGTGCATCATTTCTCTCTTCTCTGGCAAGTGATCGATCCTTCCCGGTCTTTTTTAGTTTCGCTTTTGCGTGATCGCTGTTGTGCCGGGTGCCGTACCTGTTGGTAGTGATAGTAGTGACTATTGCTCCCCACTCTGCTGAGGATGAAGGGGGAGCCAGCGTGTACCCTCCCAACAGCCCGATCGACCTGCAGGCCCGGGCGGTCACTTGCCCCCCCTTTCGAATCAGCTGGCCGAAGCTTCATATACGGAACTATCACCCTCCTTCTGCGTTGTATGAACCCCCCGCTCTAATTGTTCGCTGCCACCACTGCTCGGGAATTTTTTGGTCGTGAGAACCCGAGCGGTCTCTTCCTTCCCCCGCCGTCCAGCACGCAATGTGGGTGAGTGTGGGTTCGGCTGACTTGCTATTACCAAGGGATTCGATCAACACTTTCCTTTTCCTTTTTTGTTTTTTTGCCTGCAGTCTGGCGGGACTACCGGTACGGGCTCAACTTGAATAACTTTCTCGTTGCAGGTGTGGTTGATGGGACGTTGGGGGATACTAAAACCAATAGTATCAGCATTATTGCAGATGTTTAGCGTGACACGTATCAGAGACGAAGAGCTTCATTTTTTCCCCCTCCTTTCTGCCTTTACATGACACAGAGCCTTCCGAGAAATACTGAAAGTCATCTCAAGCAAGTTGAAGCATATCTCAAGCGGGAGGGTGGTAACCTGAAGCCGAAGGTGTTGTAATTTCGCACTAGTATTACCTGCCCAGGTTCCAGTGTAGGTGGGTGTATAGGCCCTCTCTACAAATCAGACTCTAAGGCGGATGTTCTTCGTATTTGCCCTGTCTAATAGAAGGTTTCTCCTATGCCGTATTGATCTAAGATAGGCGTGCATCGACCAACGTGACATCCTTAGTCGCGTTAGTATCGATAAATTTGCCGGGAAACGTGTAGGACATCCATGGTTCGCAGCTTACCATCACAACCACCCGCTCTCAACACTTTCGACCAAGCGTCAATCTAAAATCCAAGAAGAGTAAGTAAACATAGGCCTTGTCTGCCTTGCGTTGGGACAACCCAACCGGTTCGTCCTCCAACACGTGTGCCCAAAAGGCATAGAAATAGTCCCTGATCCCGCCTCTCAACGACGGCCATCTCTACAATCACCACTCCACAACTGCAATCACCTACTAGCAGCCATGAAGCTCTCCTCTTTCCTCGTCATCGCCGGGCTCCTGGCTACATCCACCGTCGCCTTCCCTGCGCAAGATGTCAAGTCGCTTGCAACCCCTGTTCCTGGCACGAATGACACACCGTCACGCGGTGCGGCACGCCACCCACGCAAGTAAATACACCCAAAGCTATCCCTCCTCCCTCCTCCCCTCGCTTCCTGAAGAGAGAGAGAGAGAGAGAGAGAGAGAGAGAGAGAGAGAGAGAGGGAAAAAAAAGAAGAGAAAAAAAAATGCTGACACGTACGACGCCGTGATGTAGGCAGCTGCCGAACGATTGCAACGAGTACGGGACGCGCCTGAAAGACGGAACATTGGCCCGCAACCCCGAGAAATGCGAATACCTGAAGCGCAAGAACAAAGAGAAGCAGAGTGCGTCCAAGGCCAAGCCCTCCAAGTCCAGCGGGGCAGCAGCAGCTAAGCCCGCCAAGTCGGCCAGCGGGAAGCCCGTCACGTCCAGCGCGAAGCCCACCAAGTCCAGCGAGAAGCCCGCCAAGTTTAGCGCGAAGCCCACCAAGTCCAGCGGGAAGCCCGTCGAGTCGTCTAGCGCGGCGCCCCAGCAAAGCACAACGGCTTGAATACCTAATAATGGCGCCTTCCAAAACGGATTTGACGGTGACTGATGAGTGGCGAGGGCGGGGGGATCATCGCTTGCGCCAGCACGTTCGCCCAGTCACCGTCGAACTTTTGCGGATGGTGTCGTTGGGGTGGTTATGGGGGAGGGGGTCGAAAAGGTCGAGCTGGACAATAGGTGGCCTTGAGGCTATGGAGGTGATGATGTTAGAGGCTTCTGCCGAGGATCAAAAACAAAAAAAAAACAAAAAAGGATGATGATTTTCTTGTGGGTTAGATGTTAGTTAGGAAATTTTAAAGTACCCGTTTAGGCTATCGAAATTGAAAGATTCACGGATTGGTGGTTTTATTTTTTTTTTGGGAACATCTCTCAACTGTCTAACACTCTAGTTAGTACCACGGTTGCTGGGATGTGGTACGAGAACGTCACTTTTATCCCGTGACACTCCATCCGGCTACCATCGCCGTCGCTCCTGACAAACCATCCCACCGAAGATGAAACTCAACAACTCTCTAGCAGGATGGCAGCCCTTTCCTTCCATTGTATGCGACACGCTCGCCGATGTCTGATCGTGGTAGTTTGTGGCATGTTCATGTTTATGCAGTTCCAAACGGGAGCAACCTCGCTCTCCAGCGCCCAGCAAAACATGTAGTCATCGCCGCAACAGGCGCATACCTTGGGCTGGTCGCCGCGGCCTGTTCTTGAAAGTCTGCCCATCATCTCCGAGGCGACCTCTCTCCATAGTCAAGGAAGTGCATAGAATGTTACGATGTGATGGTTGCAGCGAACGTCGGGTGCCTTCCAAGCGGGAATCTGCATGGCGCTTTACTTGCGGTACGCTCTGCTCTCGGAAACGATCACCACTTAACAGACTTCTTACTGCTGGATCGAAGTTCACGAGGAAGCTTCGAAGAAGAAGACGGACCTCAAAGTCGACGTTTTCTATTGATTGGAGTGTTACCCTGCACCTGGCCCCTTGCAGCTAGAGGAGTTCTATATTTACTTCCTTGGCGCATATCCATACGTGTGACGCTATACGTCATTAATCTATCCATCTTACTATGCAGCCTTCTTCGCCGCATCGTCAGAGCCGAAGTCTTTCGGCAGACCGATGAGATGTAAGGCATTTCAACACAGCCAAAAGGAACTACTAGAAAAGTCACGATACTCAGCTATGACACGGGTTTAGGGATGTGGCGAGAAAAGCCGGCGATATGGCGTGTCTGTTAGCTGTTCATGTGTCACCTGTAAGTACGAAGTAAACTGTCTTGTCTCCACAAAAGTGGTGGCTTGCATGCGGGGGAGCGTCGCGATCTACGCAGGCCAAGCAAATTATACGAGCTGCGCCAACCTTGTCATGACGTTCAAGCATCTGATCATCTCCGCCCGCCTCGCCAGCCACGTCGCCTCCAGTCCGCTGACATGCTCTATATATACCGAGACTCTCCTGCATCTGTGTACTTCCCGTGCTCAACGGCAATAACAGCAACCATCCAACCCACACCACCTCCACCACCCAAGCACCTCTAAACACCTACACTCCCCCACCCAAAAAAAGAAAACAAGAAGAAGAAGAAGAAGAAGAAGCAAAAAAAATGAAGCCCACCCCCGCCCTCGCCTCCGCCCTCATCCTCACCGCCAGCCGTCTCGTCGGCCGCGCCATTGCCGTCGACCCGCGCTTCCCGCCCACCGGCCCCTTCAAAATGACCGTCCTCGCCCCCGACCAACCGGCCATCCACTACAGCCCCGTCAAGGCCTCCGGCGGCTACTTCTACATCAACAAGCCCACCAACTCCACCTGCGGCGACGTCGAGCCCATCCTCGACGGCCCCACGGCCGACGGCGGCGCGCTGAGCACCTACGGCGACGGCAGGGAGGATACGCAGCAGAGTAAGTCGGCGCGCGCGCTTTCCCTTCTTCTGGCAATGCAATGCAATACAACCCCTTTTCCCCTCCCCTCCCCTCCCCTCCCCTTCCATTTCTCTCTTGAAATCGGTTCGAGACGTGTGCATCTGTCCGTCCGACATCGGCGATGACTGATGACTGACTGACGACACCCCCCCCCCGCCCAGCCTTCCTCGACATCTCCGGCGCCGCCGGCGGCATCTTCTCGTACCTGGGCCCGCTGTACAAGGCGCTGACGTTCGACCACATCGCGGACGAGTTCTCGCGCGTCGCGGGCGACGACATCTCGCAGCTGTACTACGAGGACGCCGGCTGGCTGGCTTGTCCGACGGGGAATGACCCGGCGGACGGCGTGTATGTAGTTTACGCGGACAAGGCGTACGGGCATGCGGTTGGGAGGGAGGAGTGCATTCCGTTTGGGATACGGACGGATGCGGTGGAGGGGGAGGGGTTGAGGGTTTGTGAGTATTTGTAGGGAGAGGGAATGGGACGGTCTCCGATGGGGTGGTTGGTTGGTGGAAACCGTTGCAGGAGCTTGACACGTGCATGTCATCTAGTAGTTAGTCGTCTGACGAGTCGAGTCCAGTTTGAGAGTGATATGGACGGTGGGTAAAAAAGAAAAGGACAAAAGAGAAGGATAGGACCGACCGAGACTTAACTCAGGACCTTCCTCCGGCCGCTATTAAACCAGTACACTCTATGCGCAGGCCTTACTTAATACGCCAGAAGCCGCTCTACCAACTGAGCTATCCGTGGCGGAAAAGGACGCGGTTCGGGCTTATATAGTGACAGGTCCAAAAGTCACCTCAGGATGGCCTAGGCCGTGTTCCAGCAGCTCATTCTTGCGAATCAGGCGGAGGAATTGTAGGGGGAGATGGTGTTGAGAACTTCGTCGCGAGATGGAAGGAGGGGACAGGGAGCGGGAATCACCGCAAAGCTCATAACAACAAGACAAAGGATATAGATACGAAAGTGCGAAAGCAAAAGAGAAACAAGAAAAGAAGGTGGTGTCTCGCAACGCATCAAGCCAAAGACCGCCAGAATACCAACCTCTCATGAACGAGCCACCACCGCTCTCACCTCCATCCACCAGCAATGACCAGCCCACCGGCAGCTACCTCACTCTTTCTCCCCTCCACCAAACCCCAACCACCACACTCCAACAATCTATCTTTCCTCTCCCCACCCATCACCATAACCCCACCCAAATCTACCACATCCAGCCAACCCAAACTCGGCTGCACGTCAAAAAAACAGCTCCAAAAACGGGCCATCGTACTACCCCTCGATTGCCTCCGGCGGCGGCAGGGAGTAGCGCATCGCATACGTACATACCACCGGGTCCACCACCTCCACCCGGACCCGACCCGACCCGCCCGCCGACGACGGCACGACAAACGCGTGCTGACTTGTGTGAATGCTCGAAAGTGTCTTCGTCCCTTGATTTATGCGTGAAGTCCGATACGCGGACAGACTAAGTGCGTGATGGCTCCAGGTAGATGGTCATGAGATTGACAGGGTATTCGTTCCAAATCGACTCGGTGGGCTTGATGAGATCGGTATGCAAAAGAGACGTTCGGCGGCCGAGGTTCATGGAGAAGCTCTTGTCGAGGTTATAGCACCAGATGAACCAGACAGTAGTACATCTAGTTCGTCTCCGCTTGCGGATCGTAAAAGTTGCATCGTCCCGTGTAAAGACCGAGGTCCATGTCGCGGAAGATATTGATAGCATTGCCGGTTCCAATCGCACTCGTGTTCCGGGAACGTTGGTGACCCGATCTGCTGGAGAAGCTTATTTTAATACCACGTTCCTTCGGCGAAAGAGGGCTCCGACCATCCTTCTCCTCGGACAAGATCGAAGTCACAGCAACGCGGCCAGAGCTCTACAAGAGAACCTACACACTGTAAGCCCCGGGTCCTCCCGCTTTACCCGCCAACGAAGCTTTGTTAACTGACACAGTGTGACACACAGACCCACGGCTTCAACTTGGCGGCGGCCCTGTTGGGATGAGTGGGGGCGGCGAGGGCGATGGTTCGGTATGTTGCATCTCTTTGTTTTTTCTGTGCTTGATGATGAAGGGCTGACTGTGTGCGAGGTTGTAGGCTGAGAAGGATGGATATGACAGCGAAGCGCAGACGAAAGAGTGTGGGAGAGTGCCTCCAATTTACGAGATGGCTCCGACATATGAGATGACTGTGGAATCGCTTTTTTCATAAGTTGAGCAGTTTTGGTCACGGAAAAGCGCAAACCGGAGCTCTTGAGTGTTGCCGGTTCGGGTCTTGTGGGCAAATGCAGGAGACAGGTTCATTGTCTCTTCACTGGAGTAGAGAGAAAGGCGTGCGGTTGAATCACTCATGTTGGCACCAAAGTGATTGATGCGCGGTGAGGACGACGGGGTGATGAGAGAGTTGTTGACGGTCAGTAGCCGACGCGTCGATCAGAAAAGTGGACGCGGGCGGCTAAGCAGTGGGTTGACTAGCGCGGCAGCCTAAATCGCTCCGGGTAGCCGATCAGTGCCGACACTCTGACCATGACCTCGCCCACTTACCAACCCTGCCAAGACCACCAAGAGCGCGGATGAAGTGCTGGAGACAGGGATGGACATGCTGAGCACCATCCAGCCAATCCTGGCCTCCTCGTTGCTTGCGCAAATCCCTGAAGAGGGCGGCGGGCAATTGCCGCGGACGGGTTGCGGCACCCGCGAAATCGACGACGCTCTCAGAGGAGGCCTTGACCTCGGGGTCGGAGGTGTAGCATGCATCAGCGGGGAAAAAGGCATCGGCAAGACGGCGGTCAGTCTGCTTCACATCCTCCGAGGCATCTCACGTTTCTGACCTCCCCAGCTTGCGTTTGCTTTTTTGACCACGCACTTGCTGAGTCAGCCCGCAAACCAAGCCGTCGTCATAGACACGACCGGCACCTTTGACGTCCTCAGGCTCTACAACAGCATTTTATCAAGAATTCGAGCCGATCCGAGTCCTGCAGCAGAAGACCAAGAAGCTGTCGCCGAAGAAACTCTTGGAAAGGTGAAGATCATGCGAGTTTTCGATTTTCTGGGCATGATAGAAGCAGTATCCGAGGTGCGAGAAACACTTGAGAACCAGCGCCATCATCAGGAAAGTCGACAAGAAAATCCTTTGCAAGAGCCTGCACGCCCCAAAGAACAAGTTCCGGCAAAGGACCAGGAAACTCGTAAACCACAACGCATCCGGAGCACCATTCCTGACAGCGAGGATGAATCGGAAGACGACGACGACGCAATGTTACTCGATCAGGATGAAGAGCCAACTGAAGACGAGAGAACAGAGGAGATGCCGGAAGATGGCAATGGGAGGAAAGAAGAAGCAGAAGATGGGAGAGTTGGCATGATCGTCGTTGATAACATCACCCACGCCGTCAGCCCTATGATGAAAACCAACTACGCCCAAGGTACGCCCCACGAACCTTGGCCAACGTAACAAAACGGCTAACAGTACTAGCTTCCGCTCTCTTGACGTCCTTCCTTCGCTCTCTGTCGCAGCTCACCAGGACGCACAAACTCATCACCGTCCTCGTCAACGCCGTGACCACCGTCCCGAAACCCCCTCCATCAGCCACCGACTCGCCGCAGCACACGCAAGCCCCCATCAAGAATCCATGTCCATCCATCTTCGCATCGGCAGGACATATCATGCCAGCTCTTTCCCCCATCCTCCCAGCCCAGGCCGACTTCCACCTCCTGATCACCTCACAACCTCTTACTCGCCAAGATGCAGTCACCCTCCACTCTTTCTCGAATAACCCTTCCTCTCACGCCAACGGGAGCAGATTGGACCGGGCGAGCGTGATGGAAGTGTTGAATGATCGCTATGGAGATCGAGTTGGAAGATGGGCAGCGTTTGCATCGGATGCGAGCGGGTTGATTGTAGGCGTAGATCCGGAACGTGGAGTTCCGCCGAAGCAGTACCGTCTGCCCGGATTCGCGAGCAAGATGGTTCTTTGACAACGGTTCCGACTGATCCACTCTTATATGTAGTCAGTCATCAAACACAAGCTACGTGTGGATTAGCAAAAACCACAAAAGAATTGCGGGTTCAACCAAAAAGAAAAAATGCTCTCCATATGTCATGGAATTCCGTCGGATATCATATACACAAGGGCTCCACTCGGACCCCAGTACCCGGCGCCTTCGATTGTATCTCTAATCTTTCCCCTTGCGCCGCCTTCGGTCTTTCCTCCCCCCACGCATGATCCCCTTCCTCTAGTACAGAGACGGGCCCTTGGCGGGGATGATGCCGGTCTTCAGGTTCTTCTCCTCGGGACCGCCGGGCAGCAAGCCCAGCGTCTTAACATCCTCGGGCTTACGCTCGCCCTCGCGGCCGATGCCCTGCGCCTCAGCTCTGCGGAGGGCAGCCTGCATGGCGAAAGTCTTGGCGTGCTGTTGCGTTTCAAACCACCACCTCGTCAGCCCTTGGTCGTACAGTCGCACGTCGCCAGTGGTCCCGCTTCGCGCGTCTCCGGGAGCATCTATGTCGGGACGCGTACCTCCTTCTTGTGGTGCAGGCACTCGTAGTAGTCGTCGAGCGTGGCGAGGCACTTGCTCTTGCCGTCCTTGTTCTCGGCGCTGCTGTTGGTCACGTAGCAGGCGAGGACTTCCTGCCAGAAGGGGAAGCAGCGGGAGGGACCTGTGATTGAGAAAGATGGCGCATCAGCATCATGGCCGAAGACGGGGCGGGGGTCGAGCGGCGTGCGGGCGCGCGGGATGGATGGAGTCGGACGGAGGTGCGTGAGGGACGGGAACGGGGCTGGTCGGGGCGACGCGCGGACGGGGCAGGCCGTGCGGGTGGGCAATCGGGGAGGCGAAGAGGCGTACCGCCGTTGAGGCCAAAGCCGGAAGCCATTGTGTCGATAGGTCGGGTGCTCTGAGCTTCTCGCGATTGGGCTGGGGCGGTTGGAGTGAGGTTGCGGGTTCACGGCGGACGGGCTTGGCGCGTTACATAAGGCCAAACGCAGCCCCGCCCATTGGACTCGGGAACGGTGCGCATCGCGAGCATCCATGGCCGGCCAGAGCGACCTGCTCCCTTTGCGCTCAGGTGCAGGCTGATCTTACGGCACGCACCCACCGCGGAATTGATTCCTCAATGCCCTGAAGGCCCTGAAGGCGCCAACGGAGCCCATCCGCACCCGCTCAAGTCCCGCAGCGCTGTCCCGGAAGTCAAATATCAGACGGCTCCCTGCCGAGCCGGCTGGATGGTCTTGACAACCCGGCCGTGTGCCTCCGTGTCGCGTTCCCCGGCTGCTCCGTGTCAACCCCTCGGCCGACCCAAGTCCACCACGCCAGTGGCAGCGTGCGCTATCCGATCAAGTGAACCGCTATCCGACGGCCTCCCGACGCAGGGCAGCCCCGCGGCGCCGTCCCCGCGATGGCGCGCTGAGGGTCGATCAGCCGTCTATTCATGGGAGCAGCATTAACAATCAGCCGTGAGACTGCTGGGATATAAGCTGTCCACCCGCACCGCGCCGTCCAATCCCACAAAGACCTTCCCCATCACTCGTCTGCTACACCATGGCTCCCAACGGCACCGCCCCGGCGAACCACCGCTTCGACCCCAACTTCACCCAGAATGTCATCAACGCTACCGGTCCCAAGGCCACGCCGCGGGTAAGGCAGGTCATTGGCAGCGCCATCCAGCACCTCCACGACTGGGCCCGCGAGAACGAGCTCACCGTCGACGAGTGGATGCAAGGTCTGGAGCTGGTACGTGGACACTGACGACAGACCAGAGCAGAACTGACTCCCTGCCAGATCAACGAAGCCGGCCGCATGTCCAACGACCGCCGCAACGAAGGCCAGCTCGTCTGCGACATCCTGGGCCTCGAGTCCCTCGTCGACGAAATCACGTACAAGCTGGCAGCCGAAGCGGAGGACGCGCCCACGGCCACGGCCATCCTGGGTCCCTTTTACCGCAAGGACTCGCCGCAATACCCCATGGGCGGCAACATCGTGCAGGGCAAGGAGGGCGAGCACGGCGACCGCACCTGGATGCACGGCAGGGTCATGGACTTCACCACGGGCAAGCCCATCGCCAACGCCCAGCTGGAGGTGTGGCACACGGCGCCCAACGGCCTGTACGAGCAGCAGGACCCGGACCAGCCCGACTTCAACCTCCGCGGCCGCTTCGTCACCGGCCCGAGCGGCGAATACGACTTCTACTGCCTGCGGCCCGTCCCCTACCCCATCCCGTACGACGGCCCGGCCGGTGTGCTGCTCACGGCGCTGGACAGACACCCCATGCGGCCGGCGCACATCCACTTCCTGGTCAGTTAGCCGATGATTGTTCGCGTGCGTGAGGGGGGACGAATCGTGGCTGACGCTCTGCAGGTGTCGGCACCCGGCTACAAGCCCATCGTGACGCAGGTGTTCGACAGGAACGACAAGCACCTCGAGGACGACTCGGTGTTTGCGGTCAAGGATTCGCTGATCATCGACTTCAAGGAGAAGAAGGGCGATCCCAAGGCCGACTTCGAGGTGACGTACGACTTTAGGCTGGCCAGCTTCGACGAGGCGAAGAAGCAGTCAGTGGCCGGCGCCACGCAGCCGTCCACTGCTGGCGCGTGAGCAGGAAGCCCTTGGTTTTTACGTTTCGTATTCCCCGTCTGTCTTGGTAGCGTAGCGCGTGTGGAATGAGCGGTGAATGGGGGAACATTTGGAGCTTCAGAGGGCAAGTTTGAGCCCACGTTGCTCCCAGTCACTCGCCCCGAGCATGGGGACGCAAGAGAATGGTCGTAGGAGATAGCGCTGTAGCTAAATGATGATTATTTTTCGCCGACCTTGGCAGGAACGCCACGGTGATACAGAGGACCCTGAAACCTTTTGGTGGGGGGTGGGCGGCAGGCGGGATCCCCCGCAGTCCTGACGTAAGGCCGCGGATAGCCGGGGTTTATCACGTCTTTTTTGGAGCACGCGCATCTCTGCGAGCATTACGAGAGAAATGCCCCTCACTGGGTCAGCCACTATCGCCGCGCTGCAGCTGTCGATTGGCCCGGCTGTTGGCGACAATCAACAGGAGCGCGGGGTCTTCGGTAAGACCAGCTGGCGAGTCAAAATGTACATAGACGGGTGCGCCCTGTCGGCTACATTGCTTGGCTGTGCATCCCTTTCTTTGGTTCTCACATCCTTTTTCCATACACTTCTTCTACTTTGCAACCTCCAGGCCTGGCCGCTTCTTTGTTCTTTCGCCTAGCCAGCCACTCGCCTCTTTTCCCCAACACACCTCCAACCTACCTTGTTACCCCGCATCCCAACATGTCAACAATCACGCTTGGCCGCTACCTTTGGGAAAGGTTCGTTCTCATTTGCTCGCGTGGCACATTGATCGAGAAAAAAATTCATATCACTGACCCATCCTGCAGGCTGCATCAAGTCGGTGTTGATACCATTCTCGTACGTGGACCGCTCCCGGGTTTTATTAAATTCAAGAAACTTGCCTTACTCACGTGCATTCAAAATCCATAGGGAGTTCCAGGAGACTTTAACCTCCAGTTCCTCGATTACATCTACGAAGTGGAAGGCCTGAGATGGGGTCAGTCAATCAAGAGCTCGGACTTCCCGTGGTTGCAGGACGTGCAAAACTGACGGGGCATCGTAGTCGGAAATGCGAATGAGCTCAACGCCGCCTACGCCGCCGACGGCTATGGTCGTGTCAAGGGCGTGCCGGGTGTTGTCGTCACCACTCACGGCGTCGGTCAGTTGTTTCTTTCCTCTCTCGCAGACGGGGCAAGTTCGTCTGACACGGTGGTGCAGGTGAGCTCAGTGCCCTCAATGGCATCGCCGGCGCACACAGCGAGCAGGTCAAAGTGATCCACGTCGTCGGCCAAACCACGAGGAAGATGCAGCAGGAGCGCATGTTGATACACCACGCCATCAGCAACGATCCCGACCACAAGGCACGCCGGGCTGAGACATGATCCCCTCTTCTCTCTTCACGTGCTGACAGGAGGACCAGGTCTACAGCAAGATGTCGAAGCTAGCGCGGGTGGCCGAAGCAGAGCTCGACGACATCAACACCGCCCCCGCAGAAATCGACGTACGTACCTCTCGCCCCAGCAAAAGAAAGGACCACAAAAAAGCCGTACTAAACCACCACCCACCACCAGCGCGTCATCCGCGAATGCTTCCTCCAATCCCGCCCCGTCTACATCTTCCTCCCCCTCGACCTCTCCCAAGAAACCGTCCCCGCCACCCTCCTCTCCAAACCCATCGACCTCTCCCCCCCAATCTCGCCGCCCTCCCAATCCGCCGCCGCCTCCGCCATCCTCGCCTTCCTCCGCGCCGCCCGCCACCCGGCCATCTACATCGACTGCCTCACCCAGCGCCACAACGCCGTCGCCGAGGCGCGCGCGCTCGTCCGCGCCCTCCGCCTGCCCGTCTTCGCCTCCAACATGGGCAAGTGCATCGTCGACGAGTGCGACCCCCTCTTCGTCGGCACGCTCAACGGCGCGCTCGCCGCGCCGGGCGTCGCCGACGCCCTCGCCGCCCGCGACGCCGTCCTCGTCCTCGGCGACCTCCCGTGCGACACCAACACCGGCGCCTTCACGCGGCCCATCGATCTGGGCAACGCGGCGGTCGTGAATCCGTTCGACGTGCGGATCAAAGGCGAGACGACGTTCGCGGGCACGTACATGAAGCCGCTGCTGGCGGAGCTGGCGGAGCGCGCGGCCGGCGGCGGATCAGAGCCCGATGACGGGAATTGGCCGCCGAGGGAGATGCCGGCGCTGCCGCGCCTGGAGGACTGTCCGGACCACCCCGCGCATCCGCGCAACTGCGCGTATCAGGCTTTCCCCGAGCAGACGATCACGCACGAGTGGGTGTGGCGGACGATCGCGGACGGGTTTTTGAGGGAGGGCGACGTGGTGATTCCGGATACGGGGACGAGCACGTTTGGGTTGGCGGACGCGAAGTTTCCTGTGCGGAATGTGAGGTGAGTGCGTGGGTTTGATCATTGAGCGTCGTGTTGGTGCTGGCGATACACACCTCCCCCTTTTTTTCCCCCTCTTTTTCTTTCTTCTCAGTTGGACATGGGGATCGTGGTGTGTGGTGTGCTAATCGCTCTTCTTGACAAAACACCAGGTTCGTCGCCCAAACCTACTACGGCTCCATCGGGTGGTCCGTCCCCGCGGCGCTGGGGTCGGAGCTCGCGCTCGAGGAGATGGCCGCGGCCAAGCAGCGCGCAGGCGCGCCCGACGCGCGGTTCGCGCGCGGCCGGACGCTGCTGTTCGTCGGCGACGGCAGCCTCGGCCTGACGGTGCAGGAGCTGGGCACCATGGTCCAGCAGGGCACCAAGCCCATCGTCTTCATCATCAACAACAAGGGGTACACGATCGAGCGCATCATCCACGGCGCAAACTACTGTAAGTCCCCCCCCACCAAAAAAAAACCCCACCCCCCACCCCCCAACCCACATTCCCCCTGCACACCCTACATACCCACCCACCCACCGAACCGAGACTGATACCACCACAAACAGCCTACAACGACGTCAACCGCCTCTCCTACCAGCACCTCCTCCCGCTCTTCCAGCACCCCAGCCCGGACACGTGCTACCGCCGCTGCGCCAGCAAGCACGAGCTCGTCGCCGCCCTCGCCGACCCCGAGCTGCGCGACCCCGAGCGCCTGCAGGTCGTCGAGGTCGTCATGGACCGCCTCGACGTGCCGTGGCGGCTGATGGAGATCATTCGGTCGCGCGCGGGTAAAGGGGAGGAGCTGAGGGGGGAGGGGTTCTTTGGGCAGGATTGATTTTTTTTGGTTGGTTGGTTGGTTGGTTGGTTGAGGAGGGAGATGGGTGGGATGAGGCTTGCTGGGATGGGATTGGGAAGAGAGGTTTGGTAGGATTGGGGAGAAGGGAAGTTTTTTTGGTGGAATTGGGTAGAGAGATGGGTTTGGTGGGTGCGGCGAAGGGGGACGGGGACTCTGCGCAGAATGGCTTGTGTGTACGTGGGGAGGGTTGCTAGATTCTCTGGCTACTAGAACTAAAGAATATGGCCGCCATAAATTTGACCCCCCCCTGGGAAAACTACTTTTTCTCCGTCGCTCACCTTGAATTTATATGTAAAATAGTAGGCAAACTCGGAGAGCTCGCTAGCATCCCGTATGCCAGCCTTACCGGCTACCAGCCTCACCGGCTACCAGCATCACCAGTCACCACCCACCAGCCTCACCACCCACCGGCCACCGGCCTCACCACCCACTAGCCTCACCCACCGGTCTCACCCACCGGCCTCACCCACCAGCCTCACCCACTAGCCTCACCACCTACCGGCCACCGACCTCACCTACCACCCCCCAGGGGCGGGCCGGCGGATAAGTACCTTATACCTCGAGTAATCGTTACCTACGAGGACGTATCTTAGCCGGTAAGGCTAGTAGTTAGTAGGTGGTCAGGCGCCGCGGTAAGTGGTAAGAACGGTAGGTAGTAATATAGGTATAGGATGCCAGCGAGTTCTCCGAGTTTGCCTACTATTTTGCATGTAAATTTGAGGTGAGCGTCGGAGAAAAAGTAGGTTTCCCAGGGGGGGCGTCAAAATGCGGATAGGGGGGGTCAAATTTATGGCGGCCAAGAATATATCGAGATTCTGCATGTGGTTTCTTTGGCGGTTTCTTGAAATGCGGGAATCTGATTCGGTGCTGTTTTTTTTCCCTTCTTTTCGTTGTAGTCGGCGGAGAGAAGAAGAAGAAGAAGTGGGGCGAGCTGTGTAACCTCGTGAAGCTTGTTGCCGGAACTGCGTCGGGAGGGGGGAAAGCAAGGAGAAGACTTCCGGACCGCTTTCCGTAAGGGGAGATAAGGAAGAAGAAATCAATGTGATCGGTGTCGTACGTGATGTATGTGTTAATAGAGTACGGCGCTGAGACCTGCATGCATGCCGTGAAAGCGTGGAGCCAGCCTTAGCCGATCATGAGCGCCACATGGCGTATATTCCGTAAGACTATACCCACGTCCCCGGCTCGTGGGGTCTTCTGTGCTGCTTTGAACTCTCGTGAAAGACCAGCTGGGAAGGCGGTTGGTTTGTGTCAGCGGAGTGGGCGCATGAACCGCACGAGGTGCGAACGGAACGGGAATCATTCTGCGCTGGCATTGCACAGCAGTTGTTACTAGCGAGACTACTGTCGCTTGTACGACGTCGAGAAGGCAAGACAGTACATGGGCTGCATCCTTCCGGTGTCAACCGGCATGAGCTAAGCGCATGCGTCTCAGGCTCTATGCTTCTGAGCGGAGGTTAGGCGCGTGGAATGGGTATTGGTGGCATTGTAAGGAGAGTAGTGTTATTTGTGGAGCAGGGTCTTCCATGAACCATGGAAGGCAAGGCCCTCGATTTTCGACAGTTTTGATGACCTTTTCAGCACATGGACCGCGGATGCACTCAAAAATCTCCCACGTTCAACATTCTCCCTTGATGGAGAAGGTTTCTCAACACGTGGTGATTTTCCGCCACGACGGGACAAGCACGCGAGCAAGGGATGTGTGCGGCCAGAAGGTGATTCTGGACAACAGACTGACGTCACCCGAGACTGTCATGTTGGATTCTCGCAGTGTTCCAGAAGGGCATTGAGCATCACGTGATTGCGCGTCGATTCGACCGCATGCGGTATCGGACGCATGAAGTCGCAGCCGCTCGGGAGGAAAGTTTGCCAACTGTGCATCTATTTTTGGGATGCAGGTTGCCAGGCCGAAGTTGCCGGCACAGAAGCGGGTAGCTTGAAGCGAAAGCAACAATGCTTCAGTGAGAAGTGATGCGAAATGGTCATTCGCCGAGGGGAACTGGTCGCGAAATTGCACCGGAAGCCAGTCGGGGATAAGCGTGGGCCGGCGGAGCCTAAGGCGTAGGGGGCTGCGCAGGATTCAATAATGCCGTCATGGATGCTGCAGCAGAGTCCAGAGTCGACCGTGGTTGTGTTCCTGACGATCGCAGAGCGACGGCGGGAGATGGAGGGAGATGAGAGATGGGCAAGTGCGGATGGCGAGAAGGATTTCCGGGGACGGGCGCGCTCGGCACCTGCTTGATCGAGCCTAACCCCGCCCGCCCGCCCGCCCATCGATCCTCCGCGCACGCGCCCAACAAGACACAGTCTCTCACCAGCCTCGAGTTCGCCCTCACAAACGTCGAAGCCTCACCGCCAAACACGGCGCAGGCTACCTGCGCCAACGCAATCAGCGCCCGCTCGGGCCGGAGTCAACAATGCAAGCCCCTCACGCTAGCTGGCAGCTCATGCGGAACCAGCACCCGCAGCCCGCAGCCGCCGCCATCCCGGCCGCGACCTCTCCACCCACCCCCTCTCGCCCAAAGCCGGACCCCTGCCGCTTCCCCAGAGTCAGGAGCACACGCGGCGCAAAGGCGTCAAGCCGTCGGCACTCGAGAGCGCCACGCAGAAGCCACTGCTCGAGTCTGTTGATCAACATCTACCGCGTGCGCCAACGAGCCGGGGCGAGAACACCATGCTGATCTGCGGCGCGTGCTTCTGCGCCGACCGCGTCCCAGGAGCTCACCCCGGTCTGCACACCTGATAGGCACGTCACCCGCCTAGGTCATGGGTGGCCCCCTGGTTCCCGGAAGACTGCATTTCTGTTATCTCACAAGTCAAACCCTCCCAGGCGGCAGTGGGACCCGCCAAGTCACGTCCCAATTAGGTTTAGCTCCGTATTTAAAACTACTCAATACTACTCCAATCTTCTCAGCCAATCACAACGCAGGGCACCCTCCGCCGCCGGAGGGTCTAAGAGCAAACGGTCGCAACTTTACAGTGCGCCGATTTACGTTACGTAACGACTATAACACCCATCTTTAACGCTATACTTTACACCTATAACGAGGTTCTACCACCCTATAAATATATTTAGGTAATAGAGGGGCTACTAATCTACCTCTATAGGTTAATTTAAACGCCGCCGAGCGAATAGAAATAATATCGTCGAGCCCCTTAACTAGCCTCCCTAGTAGCCGCCCTAATAGCCCTCTTATAATACCCCTCTAAAGCTCGCCTATCGTTCGTAGTATATAGGAGGACCCTCGTAATAACGGCGATAGTATTAGCGATTTAATAGATGTTAACGGACCTTCTAGCCAACTATAAATATCCCGCGCTAATAGATAGAGGCTCTAATAAGTCGTAGATACGATACGTCGTGTCGATTTCTTATTTAATACCTTTATAATTGCTTAGGTTACCTACGGCGTCGAGCTTAAGAATATAAGATATCGCTCCTTATAATAACGATAGAACGCGATGCGTATAATCTTAGAGTATTCTATTATAGACCGAATTATACCTACTAGTAAGAAGAGATACTACCGCGAGCTTAATACTCTTATTAGCTACGTATATCTATATAGCGTGTAATACCCGCCTTACTTTAGCTAATTTAATTATACGTAAGATATTAAAGGTCTAAACGTTAAAGAGGCCGTTACTATTATTAAATCTTAAGCCCCTTTATAGTATAGTCTACTCTCTCGCGTTCTCGGAAATCCACGTGCCCATCGGTCGAGCTATATCTATAAGGGTAATCGAAAGATAACGGCGATTAACCGATATATATTCGCTATTATAAGTATAATCTATTACTTAAGGTAGCGAAAGAACTCGAATTTCCTTTTAAGTGCGCTAGATGCCTACCTCCTTACGTCTAGTACGAAATAACGGGTTATTTAGGTGCTAGGCGATTTAAATATATATTATAGATATTATACCGCTAAGCGCTTAGTAGATAGTATAGTAGACTATACGAGGATACGTTATATTTAATTATACTACCTAAAACTACTCTAAACTACTTAATACTACTCGTAACTACTTACCCGGAGTTCCCCCGTTTTTATATAGTAATAGCGGAGACCCTAAACTACTTAATACTACTCGTAACTACTTACCCGGAGTTCCCTCGTTTTTATATAGTAGTAGCGGAGACTAAACGAACGACTCGACTTATATTATACCGTATAGACGTAGCTTAAGCTACTCGCTACTTCTTAATAGATAACGATTATCTACGATAATATAAACTTTCTTAGTACGAAACGCGACGAGGTCCTTAGTAATAAGATAGAAATACGTTCTCTTACTACCTCGGCTATTATTCTCTATTCTAGTCTACTAGATACCGGTCTTATATAGGCTATATATAATTCTACTATCGAGCTTTAAGTAAATAACATCCTCTCCTTATCTAGTATCTTAGGTTATAATAACTATATTAGCGAGTAGATTACGAAGAATCTAATCGTAGACGCGGTTACGAGGCTTTACCTAAATACCGTTTAAACGGTGTTTCGTAAGAATCGTTTAGTTTAATATCTAATAATACTATATATTCGTAAGTTAAGCACTTATAAGACGTTATTCTAGTAGTTCGGGGTAGTATACGAAAATAAAGGTACTATTAAAGGGACTTATAGGGTTTACGATAGCTTATTTCTAGACTAACTCGGTCTAGATCTAAATACCGACTTCGGGTAGCGTCTTTAGTTAGTATACGGCGATTAGCTTATATTATAGCTAATACGGAGGACGAAGAAAGGCTAGTATTATTCTAAGTTTCTATATTATCGCCGTAGATAGCTGCTTAGTGTTCCCTCGTAGTTCTATATTTAGATAAATATCGTTAATACGATCGTTTAGATATATTAGAACTCCCTTAGCTACGGCGAGAAGACGGTTTATTATATTATATCTAATATTACCCTATAGGATCGCAGCCGGTATAGCCGAGATAATATTAAGTATTACTAGCTTAAGCCTCTTCT